GTAGTGTTGCTTCCTGTCAGATCGCAGGCATCTACCCTGCCGTCGTTGTTGCGGTCTGCGGGGTTGATGGTGCTGTGTCCAGCAGTGTTGTGTCCTGACAGTCCGCCAGTAGTGGTGTTGTGTCCAACAGTGTTGTGTCCTGACAATCCGCCGGTAGCACCATGTTGAGTACCAGTCACATCACGGGCATCTACCTTGCCGTCGTTGTTGCGGTCTGCGGGGTTGATGGTGCTGTGTCCAGTTGTGTTGTGTCCGGTAGTGCTGCTGTGGCCTGTACCAGTGGTGTGTGAGCTGTGGGTGGTGTCGGTGGTATCCTTGTCCTTGTGCAGGATGTCCTTGACCTTGTTGACGATTCCAGACATGATTGTGGATTGATGTGTTGGTGTTTGGGAAGTAGATGTAGTATTGGGGTAAGTTGAAGTGATGAGTTGGAGAGTTGAGGAGTTGGTGTAGTGGGTATTGGAGTTTGTTCTATGGAAGAACTGGGCGCCTTCTTATATCTACACTGGGGAGCAAGGCGTGAGCACTACGTAACTTATAGCGTCATTGCCTGGTGTGTTACAAACGGTATTTGCGGGTACTAGCGCCAGGATCAAGGTAAAGGCAGCTGTCTACCACAGCGGCAACGTCATACCGGCTGCGTCACCAACAATATTCTTTCTTACAATGCCTCCACTTCTTTCAATCACGACAATTCCCTGCTGCAGTAACAGCCACACAAACAAGCATCAGCGGGGTACTTGCTGCGCCATGAGGCTAAAGGCAGACTACATCGGGTAATAGCGGGGAACGGCTGCGTCATTCCGCGCTTCTCTCAGCCGCGCATCCAGATCCTGCTTTGCCCTGTCTCACATCAACTTCACCAGAAATTGGGTATGCGATCAACGGTGGATCATTCTATAACGAGGCTAGTTTCGAAATTCTTGCTTGAACAGCCACATGGGCCCCATAACTTCCCAAGTGTTGCGTGGCTGGGCCGCAATAAGTGAGAACTTCGTCACATTTAGAGTTTACTACGTCAGAATGATCAATTGCGATCAGTCGGTACCATATTTTCACACATGGCCGTTGCGCCAGGCCAAGTACATTGCAAGTTAGTTCAGAACCCCTTCTCTTTATCAATTGGCCTGGATGTAGAACGGACAGGCACTACGCAAGAACATTGCACTACATCTTGTTAACTACGGCGGAAAGAGATCAACAGGCGGCAGTTCATCCCCTGGCCTAAATCTACACATACTGCGTTGCTGTCGCAATTTTCTCGCTGCGATGCTGCGCATAGCTTCAGGCTGCCCATAGTGCTGAATGCCCTTGGTACATTCCATCGTAGTTGACAACCTGCAGTATAGAGAAAGTGCTTTGGACCTCCCTTCCTCATTATCCTTTCTTCAGCATAATGAAGCACACACTCAGCTGCTGGATTGACACTGCTGCTTGCTGCGGAGTGTGATCAAGTGTGGCCGCAGTACCAGCAGACATGTTCTAACAAGTCAAGTTTTACAGCGCTGCTGCAGTCCAGCCTCAAATGCCCCACCACGCCTGTTCGGTCCGCTATTAATAGTTTTACTGATGTCACCAAAGTCTCTCTGTTCACTAAGCTAGAACATATACTCTCCATCCCCTTCATTCATGATGCCAGGAGCGATGTACAAGCCAATGCGCAACACAAAGGCGACAGATTCCGAATTTGCTTTTACGTCTTTTACTCCGACGCTCAACAACCATGGCTCCGATTAATGATGCGATTGCAGATTTAGATTCGCGCAATCCAGAAGAACGATACACGCTTAAAGAAGTTGCTGAAAAATGGGGAGTCAACCGACCAACGCTCGGGCGAAGATGGATGCGCATGACAACGTCCAGAAGCGATAAAAACAGACAGCAGCAAGCTCTCAGCCCACAACAAGAACTAGAGCTCATCAACTATATCACGAAGCTAGAGTTTCTGCTAGCTTTTAAGACCGTGTTTAAACGCGCGTTTACATCAACTAATATACAATCAGCTTTTTCGAGGTACTAATCTTATTCTACTTCAACCAGACGTAGTTCTATCAAAGCTTAACGTGCAGCTACGTACACTGACTCTACCAGCTCCTATAGAAGCTCCATAAGAAGCTCGTACGCCCAGTAACGTACGCGAACTTAAAGCTCAATCAACGCTTCTACGTGAGCGCGTACGCTGGCATAAGAGCTTATCACCAGCTTTAAATATTAAAGCAATTAATCAGCTTAAGAAGGGCGCAGAAGTAATAATGCTTTCGGCTGAGTTGATGCGCGACCGGATCACTAGTCTAGAGAGAGCTAATCAAGCAGCGTCAGCACGTAGGCAGCGTAAAAAAAGACGTATACAGAAGCAAGGAGTACTCACAAAAGCCGCTGGCGAGGATCTACTCGCTCAACGTGAGGCTGACCAGCAGATTGCTCGTGAAGAGCGTCAGAGAGGAGAGCAATCAGGCCTTAGCCGCCAGGCTCTCGCGCGCTGTACGTGCTGCAGAGAGACTGGCTATAACTCACGCACGTGTAAAAAAGATACCTTAGCTACGACATGATATATTTGATCGCCCTCTATCTATTATATTATCGCGTTGTTGAGTTACGCGTCTTCAAAAGTGATCAAAGTTAGTGGGGTGCGGCGCTCGCCCGTGGAACACGTTAACCTTGGTATGTACCGTCGTATGCGCCACAATATCGGATGAATGGGGTCTCGCTTTTGGGCCAAACAGCAAGCTGCAGCCGAGGTGCGGCCGAGCGCTTCGAACCCGCCCACTCGTAAATGCCTGACACTTATAGTGCGGCGCAGGTGAGAGGCACGGTAGTAGGCAACAGCGAGATATAAAGAGACATAATACTATGTGCCGACGTTTTCTGCCTCTTGTAGCGACTTTGCGACGAGACTCTTACCATGAGGATTCTGATTACGCTTCCCGAAGATATCTTATATCAAATTGCTCTTGTCCTCGAGTGGGATCGAAGCAGTCTTCTTGCCTTGTAAGTGCGATTCCCGAACGAGCTATCAGAGCGCAAGAGCTATACAAACGTTCTCTGACTTCACGGTATCGAGCAGGGGCAAAACATGTCACACTGCCTACCGCACCACCAGAACTTTGCTCGTCAGACACATTGAGGATTTGGATACGGACAGACTGAGACTATTATATGACGTCTTCTCAAAGAGACCTGAGTTGAGAGCATGTGTCCAATCCTTCCCGGTGTATATGAAATATGGAGAGATACTCGTCGATGCACTTTTCAAGTTGACTACATTACCCAACATTTGCGAGCTCGTGTTCATCAGTTCGCATGAGCAGTTCTTGCCCGAGACCATAACTGGCCTGGCACGTATACGGCAGCAGACACTCGGTAGGCCCACAGAACAAGATTTCCAGTGTCAGTTCCTTGACTCGCATTCGTTTGCCGGAATAAGAGCTGTGACCCTTATCGGTAATTTTACAACTACAGAGATCATGCGCTTCTCATATCTACCAACTCTACGAACTCTCTATTGTAGGGATCTCTCGTCTCTACATGCTTCGCAACTAAGTAGCGAATTTGTTACTCAAAGTCCGAATATTACCTCACTCTCTCTGAGTGGGGACGGCTACTGGAGTGTCCAAGCTAGAACTATCCAAAACATCATCTCAGCGTGCCCTCGAATTGTTGAGTTGCAATGTCAGGTACCTGTAGAGGTGGAGCCGAGGGCCCCGTTACATCTTCGCAGATCGAATGTAATCAGGCCTGTCAGTCCAGCAGCTCTCCAGGTCGCTCTCGCTCCATTACGCACAAGCCTGAGAAAGCTCTCTCTCACGCAACTGCGGCACAACGTGCCTTACGATGGATCTTGTATAGACTTCTCGTCCTTTACTGAATTGGAAGACCTGAAGATTGTATCATGCTGCATCCTCCCGCCGGGGCCGCCTTGCGATGCACGAGAAGAACTGTATACTCGCCTTCCCATTAATCTGAAATATCTAGAAGTAAGAGATTATCTAAAAGAGTACATATAAAGTAGAACTGATTGCTCGGACAGATTGAGTTCCCTCGCGAAAGCGGGATCTTTTACCATCACGCCGAAGGGGAGCCATTCCTCTTTCAAGACCCGTCATCGATACCGCAGTCAATATATAGGTGGATTGTGAAGCTCCTAGAATACAAGCGATCACATTATACAGCTTTGGCACGTGTGAGCATGGCAGATCCACCAGGCGCCATAGGATTGTGGGTATGGGAGCAGAAGTTCTGGGACCCATCGGAAAACATAAGGAAACTATTTGATGCACTGTGTGTAAAGTTGGCTATCAAGCTAAGTCATCCACACCCGTGTTCAGTACTGATTCATGGGAACGGCGGGAATATAAACCCCCCTTTGGTACCTATCCATGGGAGTAAGACTAGCATATGCCACCCACCATCAAAAAGGAGTATCTTGTTCGCCTCCAACTCTTTCCAGGTTCTGGTCGTAGAATATCTCGGCTCTGTTTATCATTTTGAGTTTGGTTGCGTCGTCAGCCCCGTCCATTCTCAACCTATACCCTTTATCCGCGGCTCGTGAAAACATCGCGTACATGACAAACGTCTCAGCGTTCCGAATTGCCTTCTCAGCGCTCTGAGTAACAGTTAATTTCCAATCGTATGTCACGTCGTCAGCTATGTGTTGGATTAGCTGTCTATTGTAGGATGTACTCGCCTCCGCATAGACACTTACTTCTGAACCCATCCTTGTCGATGTGTGTTAACTAATAATGACTGATAAGCCCTGATTGTAAATCGTTACTCATCACCACTTACTTCGTGCGAATATGTCCAAGAACACTACTTGTTTTCCATAAGTCGTGAATTCGGCAAAGGGCCGGCGGCTTGCGAAGTCGCTGTCCAGACCCTTGAATGACGAGAACTTCAAGAAGTCAGGGGTAACAAGTTCTGAAGACAATAAAGAGCTGTCACATATCTAGCAGAATCAGCACAGTTCCTATGGGTATGCTGAATGGCCTTACAGTTATAGTGGCTCGGTTTGCATTCATACCGCTTGGGCTCCTTTCAGATGAGAACTTCCTAGTGTAGGTTTCGGCTTGTGTACCCGGACCCGCACAGCCCATGGATCCGCGACTTTGTCTAACCCAGTTTGTCTCGTCCTGCCACTGCTGCAATGGTTGTTCCTCGACCTTTTCCCCAGGGGATGGTAGACGTGGTAGCTGGTCGTTCCTCACATAGACCGGATCATCTGGATCGTTTGGGGTCAAGGTCCACCGCTTCCCATCTCCACATTCATCATTATCACAGTAGAAGCGGACCTCCGCTGCCACCTGGTTTGTTGTTGATACAAACCGCTCCCCAACGGTCTCGAATATGCCTGCCGACAAGCAAATTGTCTGTTGGCCATCCAACATATCATACCCTGGTGTCTACAGAGCCAGTGTGGAAAACTTACTCTTGACTATGTTCAATGTCGCGATATCTGTCCCGGGCTTGCGGAAATGGAGCAAAAAGATATCATCCATGTAGGGACTGACAGGCGCATTGAGTCTCATGAGGGAGCGGCGTGCCATAAACAGCGCGTCTTTGATCCCGAAATCAAACCCTCCGTTGAACTTCGGGTTTTGGTAGCTGCCGTGTACCCAGTATGTGTTGCTTTGTGCGATGGATGTGGGAGCAATAAAGCTCAGTAAGAGAAGATGATAGACTTTCATGATGACATACAACATCTATGTCGATGAATACGTCTTGTATTTGCTTTGAAGCGCTCCTGGTAGCGATCTGCTTATATGCTTGTGAATACCAACTAGAATGCCATCCCACAAGCCACGCAGCTTAAGGCCAAGTGGCACGCTGTCGGATTCCGATCTTAACCTGTGCCGCAGACATCGGGCCTTTCATGTCAAAAAGAAAAGATCTAGATAGCCTCGCCACCAAGGCAAACACCTCAAGTTGAGCATCTCGTCACTCTTGATGATTTTATTGGCGACGTGTTGGATTGGGATAGCTGGAACTTAGCAAGTTTGGGGCGACGCAAGGCAGTCTGGCTGACTAGTTTCTGTGCTCTTCGTCTCGGTCCGAAGGAGTGGAGAGGCACAGTGTTTCACGATCCTTTGAGGAGGCGTGCCATGGCAATGAGAGTCACGAGAGAAGCTGTGCCTCATGAAACAACACGACAGTCAGGCGGATTCAGCCTGCCGTCCACCGAATGATGGTACCGATGGTATAAATAGACTGGGATGTAGTCATTCTATTCAGACTGAGAGTGAAGGATGTGGCGCATACATGGCACCCGCAACAAGGTGAGCAGGACAACTATGCTAAACCTGCTTTCATTGGTAGTGAAGGACGTAGATAGCGAACTCGCCGCAATGATCATATCTTAGCAGACTTTAGTCCGGCCGTGCCACATATCTGAGACTGATGATGTTGGTCTGGCTTTTGAGGCACGTCAGATGGATACTCAGAGAGGAGTGCCGATATCCAGAATTCCACGAGGCAAAATGAAGTCGGAAATCGTTATCGATTTTGCGCAAGCTTTGTGCTTGGTATTGTAAACTTGTACCCATTCTTGTGCTAGACTATATGCATATATATTCAGTCTGAACTGCATCTCTCTTCTTTTTTTTTTGTTCTCGTGGGTGGCTTTCAGGAGTCACAAATGCTCATTTGCTCATGCTTCAATGTGGACCAAAAAGACCAGTTGATGGCGATATCCCTTAGTCCAGGTATGTTGAATTCAGGACTGTCTTGTTCTTGCTGTCTGCTAGCACAAGTGAGCTGCTGCTGAAAAGTGCGCTCTTCGTCCGAGAGCACTGATCGCTGACGACGTCAAGACTGTGATGGACTTCAATGAATAAAGCGAAGTAGAAAGTTGCAGAACAGTGTCAAATGCAATATCGAAGAAGCTGGGTTACTAAATATCCAGACAGTGATCGAACACGGCACTCGAAAAAGATTACATACCTACCCCACGCTTACAATACCTAAATTAATGAACTGCATGACTGTGTAAGCTCAATCAAACTTCTACCCAATACTAGCAACGTGTGGTGAGCATAAGTTGGACGTCTACTGGTTTGGGTAGCGTCTTTAGTTTCGGCCGGACTTGCACTACCTAAGCCCGCCTCACCAGGGAGCTTAAAGCTAGCGTAGGTAAGAAGATCGATCTTTCCACGAGGAACATTATTATCCCTGGCTTATCCACATGTCAGGACATCCATGTGCGTCTAGTGCTGGCTTGTATCGGCCAGAATCGAAGCCGCTGCTACCCGATCGAGTCACACTCGCCATTTGCCCAGAAGATCCGTTGCACAGCCCATGCAGTATGCGGAGTCGCTCGGAACCTCTTGTTGCTGAGCAGTGCAGTGCAGTGTGAAGTTACTCCCGCGACTTTTCCAAATAGAGATCCGTTTGTGCGGAGATGTCTTCCGTCAGCGGGGTAGCTCCACTCCTTTGTCCCGATATGTGAAGTATGGGCGTAGATCACAAACCCAATGGAGCTTGCTCCGAGGTCTTGAATGGGAGCCTGAACAGCATCACGCAGCCAGAAAGAAAGATTGTGATCGATCAAGCTACATATGTACCATAGGTACTTATCATTACTACATTTCACTCAGCAAGAAAGCACAGCCATCGTCAATTTCTCAAGATACATTGCAAACATTTTAAGATGACGCTACCTAATCAAGTCATTGACAGCCTGAAGAAGGCAGTAGACGGAGCGTGTGCAGACATCCGATCCGACATCCCGGGGACCAGTGTCGTCGTGGTTGGTAAAGACGGTAAAGAGCTATTCGCACATGCCGCAGGGAAGCGAGGCGTGAACTCCAAAGAAGACATGACACTATCGAACCTCTACTGGATTGCAAGCTGCACCAAAATGATAGCGGGAGTTGCTTGTATGCAATTAGTCGAGCAAGGAAAGCTCCATTTGGACGATGGAGACGAGATCGAAAAGCTCATTCCAGAGTTGAAAGATGTTAAGGTGTTACAGAAGGATGGGAAACTCGTGGAGAAAAACAAGAAAATCACCCTGAGAATGTTGCTCACTCATACTGCTGGCTTCGGCTACTCGTTCTTCAACAATGAGCTTCGCGACTTCGCTCATCCTGCTGGCTTCGACGAGTTCTCCGGTGACATCAAGGACATCCTCCAGCCCCTGGTCTTCCAGCCTGGCGAAGGTTGGCAGTACGGCGTCAACATCGATTACGCAGGCTTGGCACTCGAGCGTCTTACGGGCTTGTCTCTCAACGATTACTGCCACAAGAATATTTTCGGGCCGTTAGGATTGAAGAACATCTCGTTCTTCCCGACTGCAGACATGAAGAAGAAGTTGGTATTCATGCATCAAAGAAAGCCCGATGGGACATTAATCGCGCGCGATCATCTGCTGCGTAAGCCACTCGTGGTTGAAAGCGACAGCGTGAAAGAAGTATTCAACAGTGCAGGTGCTGGTGCATTCTCAACACCTGGAGACTACGCCCGTAAGCTACGGCGCAAAAAAGCGTCAGACTAGTTTTGCTGACGGAAGCACAGAGATAATTGCAACGCTGCTGAACGATGGCACTTCGCCGACAACAGGCGCACAGATCCTCAAGAAGGAGACTGTAGATCTTATGTTCTCGAATCAGATTGAGAAATTTCCAGACTTTGGTCGACAAGGTATACCAGATGCAAAGCCTGATCTGACCAATCCTCTGGCGGAAATCTATCCCAACGGGGGCGCTCCTCAAGGATGGGGTCTAACTTTCATGTTGTCCAACGGAGGGCCGACTGGCAGGTCAAAGACGACCGGATTCTGGGCTGGGTTACCAAACTGTTGGTGGTGGGCGGACCGGGAGAAAGGAGTCGGTGGCATCGTTTGCAGTCAAATCTTGCCCTTTGGTGACCCAAAGGTGCTTGGGCTTTGGTTCGACATTGAAACGCAGATCTACCAGGCTCTCAATGCCTGAGCCGGGCCGTTGTCATCGCACATTCTACATGTGAAGCTTTTGTAGATACAGTGTCCTCTTCGGGTCAATTGACGGTACCAGAGGATATGATATTGTAGTCTTTTCTTGAACAATCCTGCAGATCTTATTCTCATTGTGATTTTACCACTGCTGAAGACATTAGAACTTCTTAATTCTTCGTGTCAGATAACGCAGTCGGCGTATAACCGAGGACAAAATATCCAAGTAAGTAATTCCCGAGCCTATACTCTTTCGGTCCGATAGCACAACGATCTTGTCTGACAGGCTCGTGACCTGTGCAGCACATATCCCAGTCCGCGCACCACCACTATGGACGAATAGGATTTTTCGTCGAAACCTGTGAGAAAGAGGAGTCCAGTGGTTCACAGTCTGTAGATCTGGGAATTTAGAGGGTTGAGAGTAACCGTGATGAATGCAGAGTAGGTTTGACGAGCTAAAGACTGTAGATGTAAATGTGATGGTTCCAAGGTCTTTACATGACTTAGGGTAGTCTGTCGCCTGGGCAGCTTGTTGGTTTCTTATAGATCATGGTAAATCATCGTACGATTATGAAAGTATGTTCCAATTCGAAAGTTTGCTGGAGGGATCGCTGTTCTCGCGCGGCATGCGTAACCGTTCCCCGCATCTTCCCAGTCAGGAATGTGGAGCTAGCAATGGGCGGGGCGCGCATATCAGCAGCATCAACTGCCTTTTCTCATGTCCTTGTCGCTCTACCTTTCCTCTTTCTGCCTCCATATCCGGGTCGCAGTCATGAATTTTGTAGACGTCCAACCAGATAGCTTCTTAGACTATGCCTTCACATCGCCATCTACAAATGTGATAACCTCTGCGACAACCGTCGAGGACCAGTAGGAAGCAAAACCGATGTTGTGACCAGTGTCGGAAAGGGAAAAGGGCATGCGATGCCGCAATCCTGGAAGATGCATTGCTGGATGACACCAAGGCAAAGGAGAACCCAACGACGTTCCATTACAGCGGTAAGCTAGTCCACTCTCCGCCGAATTAATTAAATATCTGACTGTCCAGACGTCTTTGGTCCATTAGCTGCATGCAGTAATTTGCGAAAAGACAAAGAAGACATGCACCCGCTGAGTGGGTTCGATCACAACGCGTAGCACAATCCAAGGAAACAGCAGCGAGTTCACTCCCTCCCCCAAAACGTCGTCGCACTTCCTCAACCAAGTCGTCGCGACCGAAGGAAAGTGTTCGGCAGTATGTTACGGAACCTGTCTGTCAAAACGATTCTTATACGAGTGGTGACCTCCGCGATCTGTCCCAATCCGTTCGATATGGGAGTAACGTTCGCCGACTTTGCTTCTGGGATATCTGAGATGATCGATCCGACTCACACCGCTCCGACTCTGGGTTCGATATCACCATCTTCCGTAGAGACGGAAGCGAAGGCTTCTTCCTTCTTTCTACCCGACACAAACGACGAAGACGAGGTGCTTTTGGACAATGACTCTGGCAAGGGGTCCTCACTGGAGACCGCTTCCGATTTTCTAGATGATGCACCCAAAGCTGCAAGTCTATCACCTCCATCCACATCGCACAAAGAACAAGGCCCTACTGTAGACACCAGCGTCACAAAGCGCGTTAGTCGCAAGAAGAGACGTAGAGAAGTCTCACCTCATCTGATGTCAAACAACTCGCCCACATATTCTACCACATCGTTCGCTACCAGCCTGGTTCGTTCGACAAACAACGCTTTACTGACGGATGGCTTACTGAAGATTTACCACAGCAGCTTCGAGAACGCACTTTCTTGCTGGGTGACGGAACGTACTTGTCCATACAACAAGAAAACTGATGTAGCACGAATCAGCGAAGCCCGACCAAACTGGAATCGCATCTACCACCACGTTTTCCGCCTTGATAGACTCGCAGCGAACGTTAGGGGCCGACAGCTCACATTTGCTGAGGACCAAGCCGCGGCGAAGGCGCTTAATTTCGCTATTTATGCATTCGCAACCCAATGGGCACAGTCTAGCAAGAGGTGCAATTCAAGCTATCCCTTCGACGTTGCCGAATCTCGTGAGAAAAGTGCACAGGGCGACAGTGTTGGATGTCCCGAGCCAGAGTTTGATCGTGTTCTGCAGATCAATGCCTGGAACGAAGCTCATAATGCGCTGCACGCTGCTGGTGACATCGAGTCTTTCCGAGTCGTGCTCGCACAAATCGTGTTTGCCTTGACGCAGAAGCCGGCACAGAATGACTCAGCAGAGCAGGGGATAGATGTAAGCGATCTAAAAAAGGAGAAGGCGGATGTAGACAAAGAGATGGATGTGTGTGAAGACTTGCTATCCAAGCTTGATCTCGCCATTGCCGACGGGCCACCAACGCATCTCGAGCAAGGTAAGCCGCACGCGTGCAAACTACACATGAAACAGCCCTAACTTTGCGTCTCATCGAAATTAGGCCTTCGCTTGATTCACTCCTTGAGGTCTCGGGTGGCCATGCGCAATGGAAACTCATGCAGAGCATCCGGAGTTCAAAAACAGTACCGGTGCTCTGCGGGACGACTTGATGAGGCTGATCGGGCAACGGTAGATCTACTGTTCTGGCTCGGGGTCATGTTTGACACGCTGTCGTCCGCGATGCACAACCGACCCCTGGTAGTATCGGATGAAGATTCGAACATCTACCCTAATGGACCTGAGCAGACAGTTGTGAAAGATGGGGATGTATCACCAACTGATCAAGCCGAAAGTTTGTGGGATGGTTATTTATTCGCTCACCAGGATAGCCGTCTCCAAGCCACTCCGATAAGATGGCCCTGCTCGTTCGATCAAGCTGCAGCACTTCTTTGTGATGCAGCCCCTGTAAAAGTTTTGCTTTTCCGGAAGGTAACGACCATCCAAACCCTGGTCACAAGAGGCATACGCGGTCAGAAAATTGAAGACACTCTGTGCACAGCGCTGGATGTCGTTGCACATTGGACGAAATTGTATGCACCGTTTATCGAAGATTGTATACAGCACCACGACCAAATGCATCCGCGCATACAGTCATGGTACACATGCCTAGCTGGTCACTGGCATCTTGCAGCATTACTGCTCGGAGACTTGATCGAGATAGTGGATATGTCGAATAGTGGCGTGGCAGAAGCTCGCGCTCGTCGTGATTCGACAAACTTCTTGGCGAATTTCAGGAGAAATAATTGCCAGATCGTGTCTGATATGGCTGCGCGTGCATGTCCACGCGCCGATGCATCATTCTCGCAGTCCAAAGACTTCCACTTTGCGCTCAATCAGGGCTCGATACTGACTGAGCCTTGGACAGCCGTACTCATTCGCCTGTTCGCTAAGGCTGGCGTCATTCTGTTAGAGGCGGACACCATGTTGCCAGCAGAGATCAGAATCGATGATGAAGACGTACTCTTCCAAAAAGCAGATCAATGTGTCCGTGCCTTGTGGTATCTTGGCCGAAAGTCGGACATGGCACTTGCGGCAGCAAACATCCTTGGAAATGCTCTGAAGGACAAGCGCAAGGGTGTTGAGGAGAAAATGAGCGACATGAGTACCTTTCTGGAAACTGAGCTCTGGCATGATCTTGATGACCTAGACGAGGCATTCGACGTGGACTGTAATCCTTAGGGGTTCGGCGTTCATTGTGCATGGTTGCTAAGAAACTCGGCTATGTTTTGTTAGCTTTCGGATCTAGTGGAATCTGTAAAAGGCATGAAGACTAGAGCATTTACAAGATTTAAATTCTAGATTGTTTGTAGTGAAGGAGTTTAGGTGCATCCCAAATCTGGAAAGATGGAGCCGGGCGCCAAGGCGCTTGATCATTAGCGTGTAATTTCTCTCTGGCGATTGGCCGGTATTGCGCCCCTTTCCCTTCACCACACACCTCATGAACATGTACAGACCGATGTCCGACTGCACACTTGGAAGCGATTGCACATCTCTCACAGACCGTTAATTACAAGTGTGCGCGATTACTCTTCTGGCGGTATTGCAGCACGGAGTGTGGAATCTCGACGTGTCCAGACGCGTCCGGCACGCGATCAAGTGATATCTGTTCGGACTGTACGAAATGGGTATTCCACAGTAGGCAACCAAATTTTGCAACACAATGCAGCTCAGCTCACCATATCAGATTGTTTGATGTCATCAAAGATCACGAGGAAGTTGTTCCTATTGCGCAGCTCGCCGAGGACCATCATCGGCGCTATGGCAGACCTCTCAGAATTGCAATTGATGAGGCTGACTGGAGATTCAACAATCTCACACAAGCACAGGTCTACGCCATCCGCGATACCTCGGATATGGCCTATCAAGGGCAAGAAAAGACCATGTTCTACAGGATCTGTCGTTTTCTCACGCTCAACATACAATTGATATTTGTCTTTGACGGCCCTAGTCGACCATGGAAGAATGGAAAGCGAGGTCAAGGCAAAATCGACTACCGTGAAAGGGACCTCCTCAAAGAAGTGCTCAGATGCTTTGGTATTGCTTTCCACGAAGCTCCCGGAGAAGCGGAGGCTGAATGTGCTCGCCTACAAATTCTAGGCCTTGTCGATGCCGTATGGTCACAAGACTCAGACTCTATCATGTTTGGCTGCACGCTGTGGATCCGTGATGACCGTGTTGTAAAAGAGAAGGGCACGACGGATCGATCGAAAAGAAACACACAAAAGAGCAAGAAGACCGCTCGTGTCGTGAGTGGAAGAAAATTTGAAAGCACGATTGCATCTCGATCGAGAGGCATTAGTTCTCTTCGCCATGCTTGTTGGTGGTGACTATGATAGGCAAGGTTTACCTGGATGCGGACCGAGTATTGCGAAGCAGGTCATCAGGAAAGGTCTTGGACAAAGTCTGTGCATGTGCCTCAACCAACGGGATTGCGATGCATGGAGTCTTTTGTTGGTTGAAAGCCTCCCGCGTAACATTGCTGTGCCGCACGGTTTTCCGAGCTTCAAAACCTTGGTCAAGTATAATAGCCCGAAGGTCTCCGCGGACGAGGTGTTGCAAAAGAACGCGAAATTGAACCTGGACTACCTGAGACCGATCGATGAGCTGAAACTCCTCGAAGTGACTAGCTCGCGCTTCAATATCTGGGGGCGATTGTAGTAAGTTTCGATATTAACATCCGAGGAAAACAATTATTAAGTCTCACTTTGCAGCATGAATTGGGTCGGCCCTGTGCTACTGATGAAATGCTTATCAAAAGGCAGCTCATCAGTAGCACCAGAGGTGGTCAACAGCATCAGGATGGTCAAACAAAAAGCTGGACAAACTGATCGTGGGCCGGTCTTTGAACGCAAGCTTAGCTTCTCGCCGTTTGGTGTGACGACTTTGCGAAGGGAAGACTTCGAAGGTGACCGATTCGGGTATTGGAATGGCGATAGAACCACGTTATTCGACCCGGAACATCGCGTGGAAAAGTGCGAAATGCCGAACTACTGGCTTCAGAAGGCTCTGCCGCCAGATGTGCTTGATCCTCCACCAGCAGTGCCGAAGAGTCGCTCTAAAAAACGCCGACAGCAAGCTGAGGCATCATCAGAGCCTGCTGAGACAGTTGGCGCTATCATAAAGAAGGCACGAAAGGCGCCCCGAAGCAACGCAACGGGTCGCCAAAGCTCACCCACCAAGACCAGCGCACCTCCATACGTGACACCAACGAGACAAAGCCGTCCGAAACGTCCTATAGATCGGACCGAAGACGTCGTCGAGATCTCGGATTCTGATGAAGAGCTCCGTCTGCCACCTTCACGGCGCCTGCAAAAATCCTTGGCACGATCCGACGTGTCTCGAGTTGTCGACCTTGGTTCGCCAAGCTCTTCAGATGAAGCAGCCGATATAATTGCACGACGAATGTCACAAAAAGCTGCAGGTCTGCAAAGGCCGGACCGAGTGGACCATACACGTCCAGTGTCTCCTATCGGTTTGCATGATATCGAAGACGTGCGCGATTTCCAATTCGCTTTACGAATGAGTGTGCGCGAGCGCAACGCTGCACCTTCAATTCCTGGTGAAAGGTGCCTCAACAGCTCATCAAATCCTGGAATGCCTACATATAACGACTCTATCCCCGAACAACCGTTTCGTGTGTCGCGTGGAGAAAGACAAAGCATGTCTTTCAACGTACATGCAGAACCTCTCTCAGGAGGAAATGAGGATTTGACAGAGACGCTACGCGAGCACGCTACATTTGGTGCTTATAATTCGCCGGCAGCGCGCATTGAATTTCTAAGTACAGCTTCGCGAAAACAGGCGGACACGATGCATTCCTCCTCACATGTCTCCCAAAAGAACTCCGCTTCATTGGAGCCTGCAATAGCTCACAACGCTCATCTAACTTCCCCTACACTCGACAACATTCGTGCAGCACGTCTCAAGCACTTTCAGTCATCTGGTGCTGTAACACCCACGAATGACGATCAACCAGGCATTACACAACCAAATATGACACCAAGACGGCCAGTGCCATCGGCTTTCTTTGGGCTAGCCGGTACAGATTGTATCGATTTAACAGATGATTGATCAGACACATTCGATACGATCTATCGTGGGCACGCTGTCTCTGTTGCCGGGGCAGCTCGGGGTTCTGCATAGAATGAAAGCTCGTGATTCAGATAAAATTGCTATTAAATAGGGATTCTGGGTGGACAGAGTGATGATTGCTCTGCGTCAGAGTGAAATTCAGTGAAAGCTCGTCACGAGCCTGCACAACTCACCAATGTCTAATCACTCCTAGGGTACAAAACTTAGTTGTATCATGCATCCTAAGATGCTCTCCAGTAAATCCGCAACTCGACCACCACTGGATTAAAAAGCAATCCGATAGTCAAGACGCCCAATGCCAATTCTTTACGAAGACTTCGTTGAGGACCTACGCGCCGTTCTACCACCTACCATTACGCCAAGCGATCCTTCTTGCCATATTTGCAACTCGGAGTATGGTTCATTAGGGGTTGGAGTGGTGTCAAATCTCGACCATTTCAACGAACTACCCGGCCACTTTCGAAGGATTTTTATTCAGAATGTAGTAGAGCCAGTTACCACGCCATGTGGCCATAACTTCTGTACGTTCTGTATTTGTCAATGGCTCATCGGAAAGGATACTCCCGGTTGTCCCGTCTGCCGAACTCGCATCGAAATTCCGCAACACTTGCTCGATTGGTACATTGGCAACGACATTAACGATGCTGTCGAAGGTCTCTGCACTTCTCTGCACGTCTTCTCCTCAGAGGCTCAGGAGATCATCGATGTCTTGTCTATGTCTGTCCGCCAGTTACTCACTACTATGACGCCAATGCTGTTCCTATGGAACAGTGCAGTGTTCGTGTCGGACTTGCCTAAGCTCATGGTCTCCGTAGCTCGGCGCTTCCACTACCAAGCCATGAGGGTCGAAGTGCCTACCGATCTCCCAGAACTGAAGCTTCATAATCCTATGGATCGATTGGCTGGCATGCGCAAGTCTGACAAGACGAAAAGCCTGGCTTCGTTCACTCGCGAGGATGCACCGTTGACTGATCACCCTCAATCGCACGAAATGTACTCGCGGCTTTGTGAGCATATCTTCAACGTTGGAGACGATTTAGAGAGTACATACGAGCGCTGCTTTACCCAAGCGGAGGTGCTGTATCTCGTTATTAAAAAGGAGATGCCGGATGCGGATGGCGGCGTTGGGATGGATAGGTGGGATGCGTATGTGCACATGCTGTGGGTCGACGGCTTAATGGTCTGGCAGAGCTACTGTGAGCGAGTTAACATGCTCACAGCGAGGCGTGTGACCCGGGTTTTTGTTGATGACGAGAGGGCAGCGGAGGGCGTCTGGGCTTACACTGTAGGCTAGCAAATGATTTTTCTTTGGTAGGAAAATGGATAGTCTCATGACATCCAAAACGCAGCGGGGTGCTTCAATGACGTCTTTCCAGAACCTGTTTTAATGGCGGGTAGCTTCTGTCTTACACATCTGTCAATCTATGTAATCAGGAGTAGATGAACAAGTACATGCGTCTTACGAGTGCCTGTTTGACAGCCACCTCCTCAGCTTCCCAATCGCTCCGTCCCCCAAGGTCTGACTACAGCTCTCCGACTCCACATGCATAAACAGACCTGACAGCTTCGTGAAATAGATATCACATCTGGGACACTTGAAGCATTCAATCTCCTCAGCATCGCCATACTCATCTATTAGTGGCCAGAGATCTTCCTCCTCCAGTAACCTTGCATGTACCCAATTAGTTATGATGTACTTCTTCCATTGGAAGCACATGGCAGCCGATTTACCGAGGTCGTGGATGTCGATACCAGAGGTACAGGTGCCGGACTCTAGATGGATGATCATGCCGCTGTAGGTAGTGAATGTTCGTGTGCAGCCGTAGCATTCATAGTCGGGCGTTCGATGTGTGAGTTTGTGCTGTGTATGTATCAGATCCTAGCCTATCCAAAATACATTTCTACTTACATGTGTTAAGTTGGACGGCGTCTCGAAGTGTTTCTCGCACTCCTCGCAGACATTGTGAGTTTGCTTATGCCGCTCGAAGTACTCGTTGTTATGATGAAGTGCGCCGCGATGACCGCACCCTTCACAGACCATGGCACATTTGGTTTGTCGGCAATGTGTCTTCAGATCATCCCAGGATGAGTACCACTTCTTGCAGACTGGGCAAACGTTGTGCTTGGACGCTTCGTGTGCATTGAGTTCTTCATTCGAGCAAAGGTCAGAAACTGTGCAGAAACGACAATGGTATTCCGGATCGGATGGCAATGGGTCTAATATGGCAAGACCAGTCATATGGAACACCATGGTGATGTCGTGCTTCTCATGAAGTAAGCGGGTGTTGAAAAGTCAAGAGAGTACTTATACAGGAGCAAAGGACTTTGCTTACACGAAGGCAGACATAAGACGGCAACTAGATTGTTTGACTATCAAGCCAGTCTAGCACCAGATGAGGATAGCGCGGCTGGCCGGTACAGTGCATCCCGAATGTAAGCCGCAGGGAGCAATTGCCTATAGTAAGTTTGCAAACATGGTCTAATAGTGTCTTTGTATACCCAAAAAGAGCCAAAACATGTTCTATGCGTAAACTTGAAGTATTCGCCATCCATCGGCTCATCGGCGACAGCCCGGTATGAGCATCGTGAATAATCGGGCAGACTCAGCGGATGACTACAAAACATCGTGAAACTAGACCTTAGGTAAGAATAGCCCGTGAAAATATGAGTCAAGGAATATGTACAAGTACACGTCTTTTGCCGCAGCAAGTGGATCTGTTCAATCTTCTTATTCTCCTCCCTTTTGTCGTTTCTAGCAATTCCTGCAATCACAAATTGGCAAGATGTCCACACCTTGTACCCAACGACAAACCGCTTGTCTAAACAGCAGTAATGCTGTCGAAGATACTGATTTATTGAGCGCTCAACCGCTGCCAAAGTGGCTTATCTCGGCAGACCGAAGAGGCTGGAGAAGGCTTGTACAAAACTTTACTCCGTCATGGGTACGTATATCCTCAACTCGAGCAGAGACGTATGCACAGAATACTGATGCCTCTATCAGTTTGCCGTAACGATGGGTACAGGGATAGTAGCCGTCCTTCTTCACACACTCTCCGACCTCTATCCCAGCCATCACCATTCGCTGCACACTCTCAGCATCGTGTTCTTCGTACTGAACGTCTTTCTCTTCGCCATGATCTTCATCATCTCAATTTTGAGATACGCACTCTACCCAGCCACTTGGTCGCTCATGCTTCAGCACCCCGTGCAATCGCTTTTCCTTGGTACGCTGCCGATGGGATTTGCGACGATCATAAACATGTTCGTCGCGGTCTGCGTCCCAGCTTGGGGCGGCAAAGCACCATACTATGCGTGGGCTATGTGGTGGCTCGACGTGGGAGTCAGTATTGCGTGTTGCCTTGGGCTTCCCTTCCAGATGTGAGTTACTTCTCAAGCCGTATGATAAATGAAGAAGCTTATGAGAACAGGATGACGAAGCACCAAACTCGCCACGAGACGATGACAGCGGCATGGCTATTGCCTATCGTTTCCTGCATTGTTGCCGCAGCTTCGGGCGGCGTTGTGGCGTCGGTACTTCCAAATCCTGACCATGCTCTGATCACGGTTGTCACCAGCTATGTCTTATGGGGCATGGGTGTCCCTCTTGCCTTGGTCGTTCTGACCATGTACTTTCATCGCCTTGCGATCCACAAACTTCCACCAAGCGAAGTCATCGTCAGTGTCTTTCTACCGCTTGGTCCGATGGGTCAAGGAGGATACGCAATTATGCAGCTTGGTAAAGTCGCAGCGGAGATCTTTCCCCAAACCGAAATACTGCACCCAATGGCTGGCGAGGTCTTATATGTGATGGGTTGGATGGTTGCCATTGTACTATGGGGCTTTGGTCTCGTCTGGCTCTTCTTCGCAGTGGCATCGATTGCACGAAGCAGGTTCCCGTTCAATATGGGTTGGTGGGGTTTCACGTTCCCTATTGGAGTGTTTACCATGTCGACGATCAGTATTGGGCAAGAACTGCCGTCGGCATTCTTCAGGATCCTTGGAACAGTGAGTCTGGTGTATTATTCCTGGCCACAGCAAGTGCTAACATTCGCCTAGGTGCTTGCAATCAGCGTTATACTGCTCTGGCTTGTGGTTGCCGTTGGTACTGCCAAGAATATATTGTATGGCAACCTTTTCGAAGCGCCTTGCCTGCGAGAAATGGAGAGAAGGGCGAATGCTGCAGCGGAAAAAGGACATCAAAACGCATGAATTGCTTGCACGGGGAAATGGAGATTTCGGAGTACCAGTAATGCGATAACTGCCACGATGCTTTTTACTCCAATACCAAGACTGCAGTGATGACGTTATGACACTGTATCATGTGCTCATAGATATTGTCGCTGGTACAACATGCACAATGCTTCTGAGGTCGCGGAGAGAGTTACTGGAAATCGACGTTCACCAAGAGGGTGCTTGGCGGCGATGTTCATTGGTGGCGTCAGATGAGGCTGATGGTTGACCAGGCACCAGGCGACGCGTCGAAGGTAACAATACGCCAGTTTCACCCATGGGTCTCGAACCGTGGTACAGGCGGCGGTGATTGGCTGGCGTACCAACATGTGCAGGCGGCAAGAGGTGAAAGGGACACGGTTTTGAGTTTGTCGGCTGCCTTGCCCTGGTTATCTAAGCCTTTCCATACGCTTCGAAGTGATACCCGTGGACTGCGCTAAAATCCGGCGCACGGACAGTCGTGGAGCTACCTACCTCATCATCGAGCTGTGGCCGACTTACTTAACCTCCACCCACGCCTCCATCGTCGACCCATCACCTCCACCCACACCGCAACCCCCCCTCAACAACGCTGCAGCCTTCAGATACCCCCTCCCCAACCAGAAAAGTACACTCGCTGCAGACCAAGACAGACCGCCAACATGTCGGCTGAAGACTACACCACTCCCAAGGTGGATCTGTCAAAGTAAGTTTGCTCGCCACCAGCCTGCGTTCATCATGGAATGGTGCTAACAGGTTCCCAGAGATCCATCTGGCGCAGAGGCCAAGGACGTAAGCATCACCAAGTGCCTTTCCGCGGTTGCGATAACTGACCCGCCACAGAAAGACGAGACCGCAACCGCGATCCTCAAGAAGAAGAAGAAGCCAAACTCGTTGATGTAAGCAATCTCCGTGTCTTTTCTGAAGTCCCAGCTAATAGAACCTAGTGTCACCGATGCCGTCAACGATGACAACTCCATCATCGCCCTCTCAAACAACACCATGGAGACGCTCCAGCTCTTCCGCGGTGATACCGTTCTTGTCAAGGGCAAGAAGCGAAAGGACACAGTCTTGATCGTTCTCGCAGACGACGATCTCGATGACGGCTCAGCGCGGATAAACCGAGTCGTTCGCCACAACCTGCGGGTGAAGCACGGCGACGTTATCACCATCCACCCGTGCCCCGATATCAAATACGTAAGCATCATCTGACGAATCGCTGATTTTGAACTTTGCTAACAATTCCTCAGGCCAAGCGTATCGCAGTCCTTCCTATCGCAGACACCGTCGAGGGTATCACAGGATCGTTATTCGACGTCTTCCTCGCACCGTACTTCCGCGAAGCCTACCGACCCGTTCGCCAGGGTGACACCTTCACAGCTCGCGGTGGAATGCGACAAGTAGAGTTCAAGGTCGTAGAGGTCGACCCACCAGAGTTTGGCATTGTCGCGCAAGATACCGTTATCCACTGCGAGGGCGAGCCCATTCAGCGTGAGGACGAGGAGGGCAACCTCAACGAGGTCGGCTACGATGACATTGGTGGCTGCCGCAAGCAGATGGCACAGATCCGAGAGTTGGTTGAACTGCCTCTGAGGCATCCTCAGCTCTTCAAGTCTATCGGTATCAAGCCACCGCGTGGTATCCTCATGTACGGTCCCCCGGGTACCGGTAAGACGCTGATGGCTCGTGCCGTCGCCAACGAGACTGGTGCCTTCTTCTTCCTGATCAACGGTCCCGAGATCATGTCGAAGATGGCTGGTGAGTCGGAATCGAACCTCCGGAAAGCTTTCGAGGAGGCCGAGAAGAACTCGCCTGCGATTATCTTCATCGACGAAATCGATTCGATCGCCCCTAAGCGTGAGAAGACCAACGGTGAAGTCGAGCGCCGTGTTGTCTCCCAATTGCTTACCCTCATGGACGGTATGAAGGCGCGCTCCAACGTTGTCGTCATGGCGGCCACCAACCGACCCAACTCCATCGACCCCGCCCTCCGCCGCTTCGGTCGTTTCGATCGCGAGGTTGATATCGGTATCCCCGACCCCACCGGCCGTCTCGAGATTCTCCAGATCCACACCAAGAACATGAAGCTTGGTGACGATGTCGACCTACAGACCATCGCCGCTGAAACTCACGGTTACGTTGGTTCCGACTTGGCATCCCTCTGCTCAGAGGCTGCTATGCAACAGATTCGTGAGAAGATGGATCTCATCGATCTCGACGAGGACACCATCGACGCCGAGGTGCTCGACTCGCTCGGTGTTACCATGGAGAACTTCCGCTTCGCTCTGGGTGTCTCTAACCCATCTGCGCTGCGCGAGGTTGCCGTTGTCGAGGTGCCCAACGTTCGATGGGAGGACATTGGTGGTCTCGAGGAGGTTAAGCGCGAGCTCATCGAGAGCGTGCAATACCCCGTCGACCACCCCGACAAGTTCCTCAAGTTTGGTATGTCGCCATCCCGCGGTGTGCTCTTCTATGGTCCTCCCGGTACCGGTAAGACACTGCTCGCCAAGGCTGTTGCCAACGAGTGCGCGGCCAACTTCATTTCCATCAAAGGTCCTGAGCTGCTTTCCATGTGGTTCGGTGAGTCTGAGAGCAACATTCGCGACATCTTCGACAAGGCGCGTGCCGCCGCACCTTGCGTCGTCTTCCTTGACGAATTGGACTCCATTGCCAAGTCGCGTGGTGGATCACAGGGCGATGCTGGTGGCGCCTCGGACCGTGTCGTCAACCAGCTTCTGACTGAGATGGACGGTATGACCTCGAAGAAGAATGTCTTCGTTATTGGTGCCACCAACCGACCGGAGCAGCTCGACAACGCTCTGTGCCGTCCTGGACGTCTCGATACCCTCGTCTACGTTCCTCTGCCCGATCTTGCCTCGCGAACAAGCATTCTCAAGGCCCAACTTCGCAAGACCCCTGTCGCCCCAGACGTTGATGTTGAGTTCATTGCGCAGAACACCCACGGCTTCTCCGGTGCCGATCTTGGCTTCATCACCCAGCGTGCTGTCAAGCTTGCCATCAAGCAGTCCATCTCTCTGGACATTGAGCGCCGCAAGGCCCCGCGAGGCTGCTGGTGAGGACGTCGAGATGGAGGATGATGCCGAGGATGCCGTTTCCTGAGTTGACCAAGGCCCATTTCGAGGAGGCTATGCGTTCCGCTCGCCGCTCCGTGACCGACGTCGAGATCCGCCGGTACGAGGCGTTCGCACAATCGATGAAGAACACCGGTGGCTCAAGCTTCTTCCGCTTTCCCGAGGGTGACCAGCCCGCGGATGGGCAGAACGCCTTCGGCAACGATGGCGAGGACGAGGATTTGTACAACTAGAGAAGGAATGATTCCACGACTTGATGCGATGGAGGACGGGTTGGCTTATTTCACGGCTACATGCCTCGTACCTAGACAGTAATTCCAGACGGCGCTTGCATGAGTGGCGGTGCTGAATGGGGATGGATTTGATAGTAGTGTTCAAGGAACGTCCATGATATGAGAATGAAAGGCATGATTTCCAAGTGGAAGATTTAGTTGCTTGTGATGATTGTGATGTGTTGGGAAGTACTTAACCTGTACGTTACACGCCATCTTGTAACCACAAGCATATTTCCGTCCTCATTCTCTTCACGTTGTATTTATGATACCATGGTGTAATCACGCTGTGTAAGAGTAGAAGGCATATGATGTGTTCTGGCGAAAAAGTTGTTGCTTGCCATGGTGGCATTGTGCTATCTATGTATGCTGCCCTTTTGAAAGGGCGATGATGATGCTCAAACCCACTGGCTAAGTCATCATGACCTGTGCAAAGTCTGACCTAGGACAACCTTAGTCCCGGTCCTTCTCTGCGAACATTGTGGATCAACAATCTCGTTTGAATATATTCCATGTATCATCCTCGCTAGAGTACATGGCGCTCTTGGTATATTGTCCAACGTAAGGAGGACAGCGCAGCGTAGTGCTGGTCTGACAGCATTTGATCCAATTCGATCGCGTGTAGACATTTTGACGCGTGAATGCTTCTTGATATGGCTCAAGGAAGCAGGAACGTATTTTAATGATAATCCACAATTGGTGCCAAGATAGTAGAATCAAGATGGAGGACTCTGCAATCCGGCGTCAATATGATTGCAATGTGCAGTTTGGGAAACAGCGAGAGGGCACGCCTGGTAGGTTGTCAAAGGCTCGAGCGAGTCGCCCTCTTTGGATATCTCGCAGCACTGTCAGACCGACTGCCGTCCGACATTAGCATGTGTGAAGAACAAGACTGGAAAAGCGGAAAAATCACGAGTCTTCTTCAGTGATTTCGCACACTTTCTCCAGCTCTTTGCGCACGGCCTTGGTTCCTTCCACAATGGCCTTGTTTGGGATTTTCAAGTCGTACTTCTGCTCGTCTCCATTGGCGCCATTGAGACCGTTGGTGCCGTTGGTATCGTTGTTCTGGTCATCATCACCCTGCATCTGGCGCCTGATCTTCTCCATGGCGAGTTTCTTTGCTTCATCAGCGGTTGAAGCTTGGCCTGAGCGCAGGAGGTCGGTGACGTAGCGCCTGAGCTCGTCCTTGAAGCCAGACTCGGCAAGCTGGCGGTCAAGAGCGCCTTCAATGTTGCGGATGCCGTCGCCTGAAAGAAGCGCGGAATAAATGTTATTGCGCAGTTCGAGAGAGATTCCATTCTGGGCTTCGGCGAGACCCATGGTAACCGGTTTGTTGTTGGACATGTCTGGAATGGATGGGTGCACAGGGCAAAGAGCTGATGCGGTATTTGACGCGTGTGGCCTCGAGCTCCGGTATGGCTCACGCTGGGCCAGGCTGAATCAGAAAAACGACCGACTTATGTGTGGTGCTAATGCGCGTGCTGTGCTGTTTCCAGTGTTTGGGCGAGTCGAGCGGGTGCAAAGTGGTGAGGTCGAGGCCCAAGAGGGATGTACGACCGTTACGAAGGAGATTGTCGAAATTTCGGGTAGTGAAAATCGGTGAAGATCCGTGGAGCCGATATGGGTGGAGGTCTATGTGGACTAGGCCCCGTGACTCGCCATGTGCTGCCAATACTGGGCGGTTGTGGGAGATGGGGTGTTGGGGTTGCAGGGTGGGGGGAGGGGGGTCGCAACGATTTGATGTAGGATGTCGTCCGATTTACAATTCCAGCATGTGCATGCGTGAAGTCGTAAAGCGTGGGTGATGACAGCTCGGTAGCGGGTATTGACGTTGGCGATGGTACCTGAGGGAGGAGGAAGCTTGGGCCACACGGTCAATCATCAAAGGTCCCGCATTTGCTTCGCGCGGTTCGGTTCTATAGCCGCCCGGGATGCATGGCAGATGCATGTCTCGATTGAGACTGCCAGTCCGCCGGCTGGGAGCCCTTGACTGTCTGCCTCTGCACCGCCCATTGCTGTCGGCTATAGCCCAGACGACAGAAGACAGAAGCCTCTTCCGACGGCCTGCGTGTGTATTGCATCCTGTGTGCACCGCCGCCCTATCCTGTTGCTGCTGCCACGGCCCGCCCAACACCACCAGGCCGCAGGCGTCGACAACAAAGCGCCCAACGTCCTGCACGGCCTAGACAGCAGCGAGCAGCGACGACCGCTCCCCGCCTTCCCTCACGACCCTCGCACCGTCTCGACGTCCCTCCAGCACGGCGCGCCAGCACCCGAGTCGCTCCCGTCGAGGGCGAAACACGCCGGCCCAATCTCGCTTCGTCTCAGACAGGGTGCGCATTCACGACGTGCTCCTCGCGTCGGCGGGAATCCAGGACCAGCATCAGATCTAGTGCTGCTCCACCTGATAGCAGCGATCTCCCCTCCGCAAGCTCTGCCCAGCTCGGTGGCATCCGCTGTCTTCCCTCGAGCGAACACTCCTCCCACCCGCCACACGACGCACGACGCACGACGCTCGACGCTCGACGCTCGACGCTCGACGTCATCTGCCATGGCCTACGCGACCAAGTACCACGAGGACTCGGACGCCGACGACGAGTTTGAGCGCAGCGTCATGAGTCCCGCACTCCCGCCCGACTACGAGCACTCGCCCACCAGCTCGGGGCCGCTGAGCACCGAGCACACGCCCACCACCTTCACCCACTCGCGCGACAGCAAGAGCAGCCCCACGGGCCTGCTGATGGAGTGGACCGAGGAGCAGGTGGCCGACTTCATATCAGACCTCGGATTGGAGCAGTATGCAGACACATTTGCTGGTATGTCGTGTCACGGCTCTGCAGTGTCGTCGATTGTGCTAACATGCCCACAGAGGAGGTCATTTCGGGCGATGTGCTTGCAGCCCTCCAACATGCAGAGCTGAAGGAGATGGGCGTCAATAGCGTCGGACATCGCCTCACCATCCTCAAGGCCGTCTACGAGATGAAGGTCAAGCAGAACGTGCCCATAGAACCGGACGACTACGTGCCCTTGTGTAAGTGCGGTCCCAGCCCTCTGCAAGATGCATCCTAATCAACCCTCTCTCCAGCTGCGGACACGTCGGCACAAGAAGCTCCGCCAACACAGGACGACTTCGCCAAAGTCATCCGAGTTGTCCAGATGCGAGACGAGCGGATACACACAGCCGAGTCTGAGCTGCGGCATCTCAGAGAAGACCTGGGTAGAGTGATAGACGAGAACAAGCGATTGCGTGAAGAAATGCTGCCGCTGTTGCGCATGCTGAAAGACAGCCAGCACCCGCTGCCTCAACAGCCACTACCAACCACACACGAACACCCTGTCACATCACCACCGGCTACTCAAGAGAGATCCGCCGGAAGCAGTTTGTCCCGTAAGTTTTCTACCAAGAAACTTTTCCTTGGGTCAGCTCCAAAGAACCCTTCTCCAACAATTCAAGAGCACCGCACTCTTATCGATCATTCTTCGTTGGATCCTTCGGCAGCAGCTGTGGCAGCGTCCTCACACCTCACAGCATCTCTCGGCGCAGTTCCCCAATTGTCGCCCAGCTCTATTGCCCAACCATCGCCCACATCTCCTGCCTATGCGCAGAACCAAAGCCGACAACAGTACGCTCGCGACATGCGAAGTGGGCATGATCACGACACGCCAAGCTGGCCACAGTCCAGCAACTGGGCGTCAGAATTCGAACCATGGTGTCCGACCGTAACCGCGATCCCCGCGCAACTCCCCGCACCGCTTTCTTCAGACGACCATTACGAAATAATGCCCAACAAACGCCAAACCCCCCGACGACCGAGACCCGCCATTATCTGGCGGTTCCAGTACCATGAATGCTCCCACGTCTGCCCCCGCTTCGACGCCAATCTACGAATCCGCAAGTCGAAATCTTCCAAATCATTCCGGAGTATCTATCGAACGATTCTTTGTCAACAAAGTTTTGCCGGTTGCATCTCAGAGAAATACAACATTACAGCAGATTGGCGGCCAATACGGCGCTCTCACATTGTGCACGGTGATCCAGAAGCGCTGCCTTGGGGTTGAACCGAAGCGACCATTGAATTCTGTTCCAAGCAGTTGGACCAAGGAAAGCCCGGAAACCCATGTTCATGCTACGGAAACACGCCGCGCCAGCAGAAGGTCACGTCAGCACCGTCGGCGGAAATGATGTTCGACCTGTACCATCCGGATCAGACGGATTTGGAGGGTGGGGCAACAACAATAGAGGAACGCCACTACCAGGGGGCGTGTTGTAGAAGGATGATTTGTGCGAAGGGTATACCCTAGTGCCCTTGTTTTTAGGCATATAAGAGCTTGGCGTCAGTTATAGGATCGCCGAAAACTTGCGCCGATCAATCTAGAGAAAGCATGGGGATCTTTTAGACGCGCACTACTGCGCCATCCGCAGGGGCATGGGTTGATCGGAGGGTTCAAGACAATGCATCGAGTTCGGAGTTTGGCGCGGTCACGACATACTTTTTCCATGGACTCTGGAATGATGCATAGCATCGCACGGCTTTACTTTGCATCGCATGACGCAGTCCTTGGCGGCATCGTCACAGTGGAGACAGGACACGCGAGAAATGTGGGACGGACGAGGGAGTAGGCGAAATGTCACTTGACACGATAGTCGTTGCCACATTAGGACGTGCTCAGATGAGATAGGGCGATTCTTGCAAGATATAGGGAGGTTATACGAGAGCTTGGAGACATGTTACAGTGTAGCGGTGTTGTCAGCAGCATGCTACCATGTAGTTCATTCATCTACACACCCACATGTGTCAAAATCTAAAAGAAACATTTCATGCATGCATTCATCATCAGTCAATCAATCAATCAATCAATCCAAAGCTCTCATCTTCCTGAGCACATTGATGCGTGCTACGCTCAACAATGCCTCAACGTCCGATCTACAAAGTAGTACCTGAACCCACCACCCCCATCAGGGATCGACCTTCCACAAGCCCCCGTTTCACCATCGCTCCCACCCACCCGCACGCCACCGCGTCTCAGACATTGTTCGAGAAGCTCATGCGTCGGTCCTATATTGGGAAATAAAGTTTGCAGATTAGTGGGGCCCGCGAGTTCGGGATGGGGGGGTGTGCGTTGGACTAGGTATGGGGAAACGCATAAACGGTGTGGGAAGGAAGAGAGGGAAACGCATTGACGCGTCGTTTGGGGATCATTGGGTGGCAAGGGTGGGAATTTGATTTGGAATTGGGTGCTGGGGGGAGGGGGTGGAGAGTTGGCATGTGCTGTGGTTAGGATGGATTGGGGGTGGACAAAAGTGTTGTTGCTGTTGTTGTTGTTGTGAAGACTGAGTTGGGGAATGGTTCACGGTCGTCATTGATGGCATTTCAGAGTCATGTACACCGTTCAACGTCGGCTAGGTTCGTTGAACTATCGCGAGTCACGACGAGACACTGGCGCGCGTTGTGCTCTGTGAAGAACCCGCTTCTCTACATCGTGGCGCGGTGCCATGTCGACCTTCTTCCCAGGGTCCTCTTTCGTGTACCGTGCAGCTGGTAATCTTGTCACCGTTGGGATCAGGACCGCGCCGTCGCAGGGTGTGACCGCACGCTGCCGAGCAAGTGTATCCCAGCACCATCATCCTGTGACAAGTCGGACTGCGCCCTCTTGCGTGTCCTAGAATAGCATTTCTCGCAGACCCTTTCAAAACGGCTTAGCAGCCTTCCTGCTCTCTCCCTTGCCCGTCACCGGATCCCTAAACTCCTTCCAACTAACCGGATACATCAGCCTGCCCTCCTCGCTCCTCGCCATGACCACGCCAAACTCATTCCGATCCGTCGCGACGTAGTAATTGCTCTGATCGCCCAAACTGATCACGACGCCGCGGATCAAGTCGCCCACGCGGAAACTCTCTTCAATCTTGATCTTGTCCTTTTCCGTCGCGCGTATGTCTTCGCGCCGTATTTGACCTTGGAAGGCTTCGCGGCAGACGGTGTCGCCAATGACGAGGATCTCGCATGTGGCAAAGCGCGCGCCGAGACGCGTTATGCGCGCGAGAACGGTGCTGTCGACTTCGGGGAGGATGGGTGCGCCGCCACCGCTGCCTGTGCCCAGTATTCCTGGATCTGACGTTGTGTTGGGCGGTCGTGATATCGAGAGAAGTGGGACGAGTTTTGACTTTGAGGCTGTAGCAGCGGTTTGTGATGCGCGCGACGGTGATGATACGACGGGTCCAGCTATTGAAGCGTAGATTTGCTGCTCGTGAATGTGCGTGCCAGGTCCCGGTAGGTATTTGTCTGTTGGTCCAAGAAGCTGCCCTGGGAGGGCTAGAGATGGAAGAGCCATTGTCGTGGTGTTATGGTACAGTGTAGGGTGCGATTGATGCGCGTTTTTCTGGTCGCTTGGTTATACACTTATGCGTTTCGTAATACTTCGCAGTGTACCGTGTTTGGGCGGACGTCGTAGTTGAGTTGTAGCTGGGTGATCGTCGAAGAAGCTCTGGAACTTTTTGATTCGGGAGAGCTACTCGCCTATTGTTGCGTCATCAATCGGCTAAACATGCCCCACCTGCATCTCCAGATTCGATATCAGAAAGACGTGCAGGAAAGAAGATTGGATTACCACGATGCTTTGATAAGACACTACATTACTTTACTGAGCGTCGTGTTTGCGATGGGCGTCTGAAGCGCGCCAGCACTAGCTATGCCACCGCAAGCAGCATATTGGGCTATCAACGCCCAGCTGCTTTCCACGTGAGAGAACGCCGTTTTGCCCAATTCATGTATGCATACATTGCTCCAGTCGCCAAGCCATGCAAATCCTCCCACAAAATCATGAAGTTCATTCGCTCATGCTCACATTTCGGTAGGTAAACCGACCGATCTGCCCTTCCCTAATTTTCGCACATTGGGTCCCGAGGTTTGACTTGACCCTGTGTTCCCGCTCCGGCGACTAGACGGCTTGGTAGAGCAGAAGGGGCTCGCCGATGTTCTCTATCTCCGGGATCGTGCACTTCAGATCGAAGGCTTTCGAAAGCACAATCTTGAAGATCTGCAGAAAGTTAGTGCCGAACATGTCAGGTCGTGACAATGCGTACCTTCTGGACGTTGATGCTGTGGCTCGTACTGCTAAAGATTAGACTAGCCTTCATCGCTCTCGCGAATCGCTTGGCCTGGCGGGTGTCAGGCAGAGATTTCAATGGTCAGAAGTACTCTCATACCTGGTTGGATATTTCTTCCTGCTCTTCACGAGGGAAGTTGACGAAGTGGTCGTACTTGGTACCGACCAGGAACGGGATCGCAGTCTTGTTGAAGCCACGCCCTTGGCGATACCACTCTTTGATCGAGTTCAGTGTGCTTTTCCTGGTCAAGTCGAACATGAAGAGTATGGCCACGGCATCGTTACAGACCAACGGCAACATGTTGACGAACTCGCGCTGACCACCCAGATCCCAGATGGAGAAGGTGATCTCGGTGTTCCGGATGGAGATGGTCTTCTCCATGAAGTTGACACCTGTGTGGGTTAGCGGTCGTATGCAAATGAAATAGTGACCAATGCATACCGAGTGTTTGGATGTAGTCTTCGTCCCAGCTGCCCTCGACGTATTTCACCATCAGACTGGTCTTGCCGATCTGGGCATCTCCAACCATGCCAACCTTGATTACCACACTGGCGTTCTTGTTGGCAGCCTCTGGCGGGGTCGGTTGTTGCTGCTGTTGTTGCTGCGCACTCCGCTGGTTCTGATCCTGATATGAATTTGACCTTGAACCGCCGTCCGACGCTGGGTACCGTCCCATCTGCGGAGCTCGGCCGCGAGTGCGACTGGCCCATGTGTGTCTCTTTGCTGCCATCGTAGTTAGCCGTGCCGTGGCGGTGTGTCGGCGTCTGAGGGTGGTGTTGAAGCGCGAGCCATTGTGGGTAGTGTACTGGTAAGCGGTGTCGGAGTATGACGTCGAAGGTCGGTGTGGTTCTGGAGTGTAGCCGTTGTTGTTCTGCGCATAGGCGCCGTTGTTCGGGTGGAAGTCGGGCAGCGGGCCCACGGTGGAAGCGGTAATGGTCGTGTTCTGGCTGTCGTCCACGTCCATTGTCTGGTCCATGTGCTTCTGCGTTTCTTGGGTTTCGGCGACCATGGGCTGTTGCGGTTGCAGTTGCGGTTGCGGCGGCGGTAGTGGCTGCACTTCTTCGACAAGCACGTGTTGTTGTTGCTGCTGCTGCATGCCGTCGCTGGGTATCTGTGGGGGCGCTTCCTGCATGTGGCCCTCGCTGACCATGTGCTCCGGGTGCATCTCCATGGCGAAGATTTGTTGGTGTTTGTCTATGCGCTTGACTCGAGGCTCCTAGGATGTGGTTGGTGGGCGAATAGGAGAGGTGCAAACACCGGTCGAAGCACAGCCAAAACAGCCCCGCTGCAGCTGAATGCGCGCACGCGTCGAGACCGGGCCTGTCGGGATAGCAAGAAGGGGCTATGTTTGCTGGATCATGTGTTGACGCGTGGTGAAGACGTGCAGCAGTGCAGCAGGGCAGCGTAGCTCCAGTGGCTCTGTTAGGCGCTACGGGGACGAATGCAGTCAATCCGGTGGCTTGCTTGGGTACTACTGTGGGCGACCGCCCTGGGAGCGTTTCGAGGCGATGATGGCAGCTGAACAGTGCGTCGGCGCTAAGATATGGCGATAGGCGACCAAAAAGTTCGACGCAGGAAATTTCCCCGCGGCGAAGACGGTTTTTGAGACATTCACACCACAACCACACATACACCCCAGGACCACACCCAATCATGGCGAAGCGACCAGCCGACTCGGAGCAGGAGCAGGAGGCGATCAAAAACGGAGACCGGCCCATGGAAATCGACCAAGACGAGGTCGGCGACTTTGAGGACGAGTTCGAGGATGAGTTTGAGAGCGAGGACGAGATTCTCGAGGCGGGTGTAGATGGTCGCCCTGACGAGGAGAGGGAAGCGGAAGAGCGCGAAAGTACGTCCTGGGCAGTCAACTTCACAATGCGCGCAACCGTTAACACGCTCCAGATGGCATGGACGTTGATCAAGGCACCTTCATACCCGGTCGACACAAGCTCTCGCCCGGCGAAACCCTCAACCCCGATCTTTCCACATACGAGATGCTCCACACACTCGAAGCGCCATGGCCGTGTCTGTCATGCGACATAATACCAGACGGCCTGGGCTCAGACCGCAAAACCTACCCCGCAACCGTGTACGCAGTAGCAGGCACCCAAGCGGCGCGAGGACGGGACAAGGAGAACCAAATCATGGTGATGAAGATGAGCAGTCTGTCGCGTATGGAGAAGGAAGACGAGGAAGAGGAAGATGATTCCGACGACGAGGCTTCCGATCCGATTCTCGAGACCAAGTCGATACCACTGACGAGCTGCACGAACCGCATACGCGCACACCAGACACCGCAAAGCACATCCGCCGCGCCTCCCACCACCCTCACAGCCGCCATGACCGAGTCAGGGCAAGTCCTGGTCTACGATGTCACCCCACACCTCACTGCCTTTGACATGCCTGGTACCACCATCACTCCCACACAAAACAAGCCTGTATGCACAATACGCGCACACAAGGCCAACGAGGGCTATGCGCTGGACTGGTCGCCACTGATCCCCGAAGGAAAGCTTCTGACGGGTGACGTTGCTGGCAACATCTTCACCACCACCCGAACACAAGGCGGAGGCTTCGTCACCGACACCACACCGTTCACGGGACACAAGGGCACTGTGGAAGAGCTGCAATGGTCGCCAACGGAGAAGCACGTCTTCGCTTCAGCATCGAACGACGGCACAGTCAAGATCTGGGATGCGCGATCAAAGTCCCGCAAAGCAGCCGTCAGCGTCAAAGTCTCCAAGACCGACGTCAACGTCCTAAGCTGGTCGCATCAGACCGCACATCTCCTCGCCACCGGTGCTGATGACGGCGAATGGGCCGTCTGGGACTTGCGACAATGGAAGCCTTCAACGTCCATGGCCAGCGACGTCAAGCCCACGCCTGTCGCAAACTACACTTTCCACAAGGAGCAAATCACGTCTGTCGAGTGGCACCCTACCGACGACAGTATTGTGCTTGTTTGCGCTGGCGACAACACACTCACACTGTGGGATCTGGCTGTCGAGCTCGACGACGAAGAGAGCAGGGACACCGCGGGTGTGCAGGACGTGCCACCGCAGTTGCTGTTTGTACATTACATGGACCAGATCAAAGAAGCGCACTGGCACCCGCAAATACCAGGCACCATCATGGCAAACGGGTGGGTCAGGGTTCGGTGTCTTCAAGACGATTAGCGTCTAGTGTTGTGTTGTGGCGGCAGTAAGAAAGCAATCAAAAACTATTCACAACCCTTCCAACTCTGTGGCCGAGCAGATCCGCAAAGTGTGCCTTGCAAAGGAACTCTGTTGCTATATGCGACGTTCGCAATCGATGCATTCCATGATCCTAGCGCTTCTTTGTTACGCGGGATCACGTTACTTGCATCCTTTCACCAAATGCGGTACATGCACAACAAAGAAGGTGTATCTACCCCGAATAACTTTTGATTCAAGACACACCTCATCTTCAAGTAACCTTGATCCTCCATCATATCTGCCTAGACTCAAACTCAACATGGCGCCCTCGACTCCTCCCCGCCAGTGCGACTCTCCATACCCACTATCCTCGCCATCACGCTCCCCACAACAACCGTTTCCATCTCTCCTCTACACGCCCAAGATTCTACACGTCGCGGATATAAGCTACCCAGAATCTTACCTGCGCACGCCATTGCCGCTGTTACCTTTCCAGCAATCAGAGTGGCTAAGCAAACCTGTTGACAAGGTGCCTACGAGCCCGGGGCTAGGGACCTACGAGCTAGATGAGAGTCTCGGCGAGATCCTGGAATCGATAGAGGGACGAGATGAGGTGGATATTCAGGAAGAAAGGGGCGTTTGGGGAGATGGGAAGAGGGAATGGGATGAGTGGGAGGAGGGAAGCTTGAAGGAGTGGTCTTGCATGGGAGAGCAGGCGAGTAGGAAAAGAGGGTTCGAAGATGAGGAGGGTAGTGTGAGGGTGAAGAAGAAGTATAAAGCGTAGATGATGAAATATTATATCCTTTTGTGTTCAATCGACAGTCCATTTTGCCTATTTTCTGGTGTCAGGTCGATTGAAGACATCAGCGTACACAGCCCGTGGAGGACTACCATGGGCCAACGTTACATCGTCACAGCCACTATTGAATCCGCAAGCCAAGCTTAGTATCGGCCTGGTTCGAGTTCAGGGACAAAAGGCTATGTCGTATGAGGCGCAGCACAAGGGTGTCATGCAACCAGGTACCGAAACACCTCGAGAGTCTAGTGAATGCCAGTCGTCGCAAGCCGTCTGACCGGAAATGAGGTGTCTGCCTCCATCAGGCTTGAAGCGACACCTGAAACGGGTGAAAGTGGTTGCGGGATATTCAAGGCGCTGTTGTGGCTGTGCAGGAAGCTCGACAAAACAACGTAGGCCTAACGCGCGGCATGTGTCGAGGTCTTCAAATGAATTGAGATTGCGTATTTTCAGCTGCCAACGTTCCTTTCTCTGATGATCATGTCGATATTGACACTGGTCCTTGGTCTTTGACCTTTTGCCGCATGCAGACAGTAGAATCTTTCGCTTAAGTCACGTGCCCTCGTGGCGACGGACTCGCCGTAATGAGTTCTCTTAGGCCACCAACAAGGTGGAGAAAATGATCTGCAATGCATCATGTAGAGCGGTTATACTTGCCTCTGGTCGCTGATCTATGGTGGTCCAGTCAAGTTGTGTTGTCGGATACTAGGCTCAGCTTGCCAGACTGGTCTAAGGCCTGGATGCAGGTACTTGAGTTTACCACGGCGTCCCCGTACTCTGCGTGGAGTGAAGATGTACGGAGCGGCGATTACCCGAATCTAGGCACGTATCAAGCAACAGTTCAACTTCCTCAAAGTTGGATACTGTGACCGAGGAAGTTGGCAGCAGCTCCGGGTGCCATGGCCAAGACGTGAAGGGTCAACCAGGGGTCGCAATGCTACCCACATGCGGTGAAGAGTACCAACAGGACTCTTTCCTAGCCTAGATAAGCCTTGAGTAGTGAGGTAGAGCTGTTAGCCTGTCTGTAGTCCTCCAATGTGACCCTGAATTTGGGTACTTTGGTTTGGCAGCCCGCCGAAAGATGGGCTTCAAGGCGAATTGGCTACCAAATAATCGCACGCTCCACCTCGTCTCCTTTCCAGCTCTTTCAGATGATGCGGAGATCCCGATCGTAGCCCGGAGGCATATTTGAGGCTCTGAACGCTCTGGCAAACCGGCCTACTTTTCCTCATCCATGTGTCATCGGTGTGCCACTCGGCCGCGGGGTATTTTAAGATCTGAGATCGATATTCATAGTAACAACGATGGGGTTCAAGCCATCTCGCGTGCCCAAACGAAGGCTCTGATGGCACGCGATGCAAGACATCTTGAAAGAAGGCATCATCCCCGTCACAACGAATGGAAAGGTAGCTTGAGCGAGATTTTGACATCTGACTTCGGCAAATTGCTCGATTAACTTTGTACAATCTTGCAAAGGTCGCGGTCAGGTTGCTTGATGGAGTCCTTGGTGTGCTTGCAACTCGGTTGGCGTCCACCGTGCAGCTGACTAGGCGCGTGGCTTCTATCACGGGAACGACGGCCGCCGTGTAACACATGTCCAGAAAACTCGATCGCAGTAGTGGCGGGCGGAATAATCATGGTAAAAGTTGGTCGAGAGCAAGAAGCTAGCTCGCCGTTAATGAAGGTGCAGGGCCAACCGATCGGGCCAGTGCGCTTCGGCGACGCCACAAGGAACGCCATCGCCGCACTCCTCAGCTGAACTACCCTTGCCAAGACTTTGAGGATATGTCGGACCTGCTGAAACTGCCACCAAACCATGCCTACCCTAGCAGCCTCGCTGTATTGCGTTCAAAGGCGCGATTCGTTGCAGCTGAGGATTACGCACCTTTGCCCGTTTGTCGATCATGGCGACGGCCATGCTTCACTTTGGCTCCGTCATCAGCACATGTACGAGCAAGATAGCCGCTAGCCATTGCTCCCAATGTTTCGCGCCGCTACCGGTACCGGCTTAATCTCGATCTGAGGAGACTGGATGGCTTGCTGTATTACCTGTTTGCGTATGCTGAGCGTGGCGCTTGCTGTTGTTGCGATCGATGCAGTGTCCTGACATGCGACCCGCTTGAAATAAGTACTTATTCATACCCCGGTGCTAATCCTGTACGAACGTCTATACTCATTGCATATTATTAGCTGATACTGACCGGGAGGATTCGTACCTTAGTGCTTATGCAACGGTTGTTCCGTCTTATCACGTAGGTTCTATGAAAGGCACCGTTCTCCCACGCTTCACTGACTGAGCCATAGTTCTAAGCACCTGCATCATCCTACTCTCTCTTCATGCCAAGGTGGCCTACTAGCCTGTTCAATTCACACTGACCTTCTCATCGGTTCATGGCTCCTCACCAAACATTGACTGAATCATCCTGGTTAGAAAGCTGGACATTATTGACAGTCGTTGGGATTATCTTCAGAGTCGTACTGTTATTTTCGGTGTTCGCGGCTGTCATCAGCTCGTTCGGTCTCTTTTCAACACGACGAAAGAAAATGCTGGTCCAACAGAACTTGTGTCAAGAGAAGATGTCGATAGCGAGTCTGGTGATAAGGGGAAAACTTCCACCATCTACACAACCAGAAGAACAAAATCAGCGGCTTAAAGCCCTGAAAGAAGAACTATCACATGCCGAGTACATACCGATATATCCGTGGATCGCACCGCCAACCCCTCTACCAGGACCTTACGATGCACCTTACTATCCGCTCCCGAGTATCCGAAAATACTCTCATGATTCTTCGACTACCGAATCACCTCCACCTGAAGAGCTACAGTCGGTTTCATACACCCGTCGCTTACCCACGAATAGCACATCCGGCACAGCAGCGCAAGAGCCGGTTCTACACGGCACAACTACCGTGTCGAATCATGGCTGGCGTCGAACGCAGTGGACAATTTCCAAAGGGTGATCCAGGCGCGCCATGTACAAAAATACCAGCGGACACACAGCCAGCCACATTTTCATCGCGCATTCGGCGTTTCTTCGCGGTACGCCGTGTCGTATGATGCTGCAGGCATCTCACGATTTCCGCCACCTCTGATCTAGGTTCTTGGCGCACATGTGTGTGTGTGTGTGAGTGTGTATGCGGCAGCAATGGAGGAAAGCGGGCCTTTCGCTTTTCATATGGAGACTTGAGAGGTGGCTTTCTCGCCAGCTAGCTGAGAAGTGGAGTTGAGTGGGGTGGTCCGATCGAGCACGAGCGGTGCATTGTTAGGCGTTGTGATTGTGAGGCGGTGCTGGTATTAGTGGCCCGTGGCTCGTAACTATCGCTTGTAAGGGACAGCTGTGTGCATGATGTTTTCCCTTTCAGACTCCAGGCTTTGAATGGGAAGACGGGTTGGCGGAATTTTCCGTTCGATTCTATAGCGTTGGCGTCTGGAGCATGTGATTCGATTTGGCAGGCCTCACAATCATGTTATTGCAGTAATCGTACAATCAATCAGTCTATAACAAACACAATATGACGCACGCGAATCTAAACCTTTTGCCCGGAGCTGAGTAGGATAATTCTGTCCCCGAACCCCTAACAGACTGTGCTGCTACCAGCAACCGAACTCTGTTGCGTACACACTGCGCGTCGCTAGCTCCCGCCATTCAGTAGCACATGCTTCAGCGAGGCTGGGTCTAGACGACATAATTGCCTGAGGCCTACATGAAAGCCTCGGGATCTCGTTGCTACCCATAGATCGATCGATGTCTGCTAGGTTTTCGAATCGAAGACTGCATCCGGACGCACCAGGCGGTGAAGCCGGCGCCAAAGGCAATGCAGTGATGGTACGCACCTGCAGTAAGCTGCACAGTTTTTTAGGGTTGTTTTTTTTGCATCGTCTATCAAGTATATGCGAGTTCATGTCACTTAGTCTGCCAAGGAAGGACAGTGTGTGTGTATGGCGATCATTCCTGCGTCGACGGACAGAGGCATTGCGCTGTCGATCTCATGTATTGTGGGAGGCTGAAACAGAGCTCCGCGGGACAGGCACTCCCACACTGAGTGCTTTCAGCTGGTGTGGTTCAGCTGATTGCCGCAAGGATGATCGGGAGAGGCTTGCGTGGTGTGCAGTTGCAGCCGTGTTCGATCATGTATGCTGTCGGATGATGTTCGTGTCGTGGAAGCTGAGATGCAGAAGGTCAGTACACTCGGGGAGATGGCCATCCATAGAAAATTGGACACAGATTGCTGGAGAGCATGAAGATACGCTCTACGGCCTTGGAGGTGTTGTTGCACTGTGCTGTATTTCCTGTGCTGTATTTCATGTTGTAAGGTATATGCGCTCGCTCATGTAGACATCCATTCCAAACGCCCAGCCCAGACCTGCCCCGATTTGTCGCACCCTGTATTCACACGCCATCATTGAACAATCACCTCATATCCTGAGGTCGTCGTTGCCTTGCATCATACCTCTCTGTCTCAGTGTAGAACCTGATCAAGCTTTGCGCACCGATTTCATCACCAATTCTGAACAACTGCGCGACATCTACATTTAGCGGACTGTCCGGCTCCGCGCTCGTGAGGAGCTGATGTATTGTGGTCATGGTCGCCGTAATCGTGAGTGCGGGCGTCCAGGCGGTTTTCAAAGTGTCGAGGCAGATCTCCCCGGTCTTGAAGTCGACGTTTGGGTGACAGATGGGTGTGACAAAGCGGATGGAGGGAGGCGACAGTGGGTACGCGTTGGGTATGTGAATGTCGAGGAGCCAGCGGCCGCCTATTTATGTCAGTCTTCTCGTGCATGCCCAGCAGTCTGGGAGCATACCTTCATATGCTGTGCCAACAACACCCTTCATGACCGCGCGCCAGTGCATAACGTCGTCGTCTATGGGACCCAGTTCCAGGAGAGCTTCATTGGGGTCGCTCTGGTATGTTTGGAGCTCCGTCATGAGGCGCTTGATGGGCGATGCATTGCGGGATGAGCCTGCCATTGTGTTTGGATAGGAGGGCGAAGATGGCAGGATATAATACGCGCAACTGAGTAGGGTAGCGATGGGATGTGTAGCAGGAATCTCAGGTCTATCCAGACAGCTCACGGAGGCTGGTAAGCCCTCTTTGCAGGTCCAGGATCCGGGATGATGCACCTCGGCATGGGAGCTTCAGCCGCAATCTGATCGGAGCTCGGATCGCCCTGGCCCCACCGAAACTTTGGTCATGTTCGAGAGGAAGCAAGCCGACATTGCGCAGACAACCCCGCCAACACGAATCCACTTAATACCGTCGCAATGGTCGTCCCAGAGGCCACGCTCACCCACCTGAACCGCGCAGATGGCTCGGCGACATACACTCACAATGGCTTCTCCATCATTGGCGCCGTCAACGGACCGATCGAGGTGTTGCGCAGAGACGAGATGCCAGAGGAAGCGACCATCGAAGTCAATGTAAGGCCGGCAGTCGGCGTTGGAAGTATGTAATCTATATTGTGGCCAGCAATTGTTATACTGATAGCCCCCGTAGGCCCAAAAGAGCGCCACCTCGAGACCCTCCTCCACAACACGCTGCGCAGCATAATACTCACCCGTCTCATACCGCGGACCCTCGTGCAGCTCACTCTGCAGGTGCGCTCATTGCCCGAAGAAGACGCGATGACTGGCATAAGCAGCGTATGTAAAGCTCCACTCTCGCGCAAACACCTCTAGCTGACCTGCAATCACAGACCCTAACCATCCTCCCACACCTCCTCCACACCGCTCTCCTCTCCCTCCTCAGCGCATCGATACCCCTCTCCACAACCCTGACATGCGTCCTCGTCGCCCTCCCCGCGTCATCCACGCCCCTCCTCTCGCCCACCGCCAACGAGCTGCTCCGCGCAAAACCCATCAAATCCGTGCACGTATTTGCCTTCTCGGGCGACAGGCGGCTACTCCTGAACGAAAGCGACGGCAGCTTCAGCTACGAGGAGTGGGAAGAGGCGTGCGAGATGGCCGAGGACGTGTGCTGCAGAGAGGAAGAGGGTGGTGTGAGTCTGGGGGGAGACAGCATGGATGTAGATGGGCAGACCGAGAATCTGGACAAGTGGCTGAGGGAGGTTGTCAGGCGGAAAGTGGAGTGGGAGCAGAGGTGGAAGAATGGGACTTGAGATTGAGCCCCAAGTCGACGTCGATTTGGAAATACAGAGCACAGAAAATGGGTGCCTGACACGTCAGGCATGACTACAAAGCTCGCGCCTAGTATGTGATTCCGACAAGGACACGAATGAACCCGGCTTGAAAGAAAGTAGAGGGCTTGTTCACAAGGCATGCGGAGAAGCAGTCGTGCAGGCAGAGGCAGTTGGTGCGCGAGCTCAAGGAGATGATCATGACAACAGAGTATGTTTTGTAAGAAGACTATTTTGTGGCGCAACCAGTATGCAACAACGCCTAAGCGCTACCAAGCGATGCTATATGTGTGGTATATAATTCGTAAATGTCGTGAAATCCGTCATGTCATCGTAGATGCTTCCTTTCCCTCGCAATGCAATGCAATGCCATGCCATGCCATGCCATAACCCCAAAAGAATGAATCTTGTTACACGTCCTCCAAGATCCTGGTCGAGTTGATCTTGTCTTTCTTCGCTTGTCTGCTCAGCAACTCCACCAAGTGTGCCTGGGGGTCCCAGTCACGCGGCACCTCCCAAGTCCTGACGCCTTCCTTGTTCTCTTTGTCTGCAAGCTTAACATCCTTGCTGACCGCGTGTGCCTCACATAGCCACTCCCGCCATGCGTCTGTGTCGGGGCATGCATCACTTCTTGTGACCCAGGTCGTGTTCTTCGTGACGATGATAGCCTTCCAAAGCGCTTGCGTGAAGGTCTCGTTCTCGGACGGGTAGCCCTTGGCGTCCATGTTCGAGTCGGAAAGACATTCGTTGGTGACCTTGTAGCAGGACGTGTCCCAGTGGAGCTTTTGTGGCAAGGCAGCTACAATCCAGTATGCAGCACCTAGCACCATGTATGATCCTGCCCAAGCAATCTGCACTTGAATTTGCGCGTTGGCAAGGCAAATGACACCTCCCATAAGCATCATGGTGCCTACCAAGCTCAAGATTCGATAGGCAGGCGCGTGCTTCAGGAGGTAATCTATCTCTGCGGGCGCGAAGTACAGCTCGCGGGCTACGTTCTCGTTGCAGCGGACAACGAGGAAACTGCCTCTCGGATATCGAATCACGACATCGCCGCGTGGTACGCTACCCGACGTTGATCTACGCTTAGGCAGTTGTAGTTTCCATTTGTTGCCGAGGCCGATGAGGCTCGAGAGCAGCGACAGGAGGCAGGTAGCAACGATGGACATGCCGTCCTTTTGCCATATCGAGAGTGCGAGGAGGAAGGCGGAAAGGGAGAAGCCAACGAATATGACAAAAGTCAGCGGCGCGACGGTTTTCGATTTCAAGTCTTGTTCGTTGATGCGTTCGATCTCGACGACGCGGACCGAGTATGTCGCAAGATTGTTCGCATCGCTAATGGATGTTAGCTGGTGTTCCACGTGTTGAGCATCTCATGAACTATCGGACTCGACCCGTTTTCAAAGTTTGGTACGTGTGGGGAAGGGTCTTCAGGGACCGTCCAAGTTCGGAGCAAGGGTCTTACCAGACAATGTTTCCGATGTGGTTGATGTTGTCTCTCTTATTGCCCGAGAAAATGCCTGATACGGTTCCAGGCGCGGGTTCAAGCACCAAAGGCCTAGTCGGTCTCATCAGCGCTTGAGGGGCCGGGATCAAGCGTGGTAGAAAGATCCATTTCGAAAGCGTTGAGACCTGAGCGTTGGCAAGCACGGAACCCTCTCCTAAGATGGCCAGGAAGCCTACAATATCAAGTTGAAGAGAGTCTAGTTTGATGATGCCATTATCGTTCGGGGCAAGCCAATGCATCCCGGTAAAGGTTGGTCCGGCTATGCGGTGTAGGGCAATGTTGGACTAAGTGTCAACCTGATATCGATGTCAAAGGAACGAAAGCATGGGTCAACTATGTCGGTACGAAGCGGCTAGAAGCGAGATGGGACCGTTTTTAACCCAAGTGCCAAGTTGAGGCAATAAGGATGGGTGGTGAAGACGCGCATGCTGTGGACAAAAGTTGGGATGCAGCGTGTCGTCAGTTGGGGGCCAAAAAGCGCCTGCGCAACGCAGAAGGCCTTGCGAACAAGACCCCCAAACGCCTCCGGTCAGAGAGCCAGCCACCAGAACGTCGTAGTCGAAAAGCAAGTGGAACGCTGTGCAGTTCACAGCCTCACTCGTTGTCGTTGGTGCACCCTATTGGGTGTCGCGAATGCCTGAGGCCAGGAGTCAAGGAGGGGTTCTGTCGCTGACAGGACGAGTGACTAGGCTGCGAGTTATCCGCTGCATCGGAGGCGCTGCATAGCCTCAATTGTGCGATGGGCTATGGGATCCTCCCCATGTTTCCAAACTTCATTCTTGCAACCGATCCGCTCGTCGCAACAACTTTCGGAGGTATTGAGCTACTGCGCCCCGTCTGCAAGTGGAGCTTGACCTCGACTTTGATCGCCCACCCATCGCTTGATCAAACAGTTACGCGGCCGTACGCGCCAGGCTGACCGCTGTGATACAGCTGGGATCGATAACTGCAGCAACCGCCGAGAGGTTGTCGAAAACATCATATAAGAGCTGTCGCATCGTCCGAAGGTGTATCAGGGGAGAGACAGAGCGTGCGCAAGTCGAATGCGCTGATGTATGTGGTTGCTCCTTCCTATGTCTTGTATCCTCAGGCACGCGATCGCTGCATGCCACTTGCTGCAATGTCCACGAGGAAAGTGCGCAGGGCCTTGGTTCCTCGCGTGAATAGTGCAGCTGCGCTCTCTGTAATCCTACTCTCTTCTTTCATTATCAAGTCACAAAGTGCTTCGTCTAGAGTCATATTTGTCCAGGCACCAGCGCATTCTTCAGCCTTCCGCATGGCCCTGGTCCCTCTTCGAGGCGCAGCAGCTTTCATAATACCGAAGCCATCTTTTGTGAACCCCATCACTGACAAGTCACTTGCACAATCAGGCCGAAAAACAGGTCAGCGGTTGTCAATTCTGGTACACTAGCCACATCGCCAGGATAGCTCTCTTGCTACAGCGTGAGCTTTGCCGTAGCGGTTCTGGTCTCACCGAAGCTCGAAACTCAAGTATCAGAGCTCCTACACAGCCCAGTGCCGGTCAACACCTCAAGGCTACCAACGAATAACATTCATAATCAAGTGCCACTGCGTCTGACCCAAGCTACCGGATTTGTTTTCTCAACTCCTACCGCTCTCTCGGCATGCGCAGCCGGTGAAGGACGCAAACAACACAGTCGACGTCGGAATGCCCACTGAAAGCGACTCCAAGGCGTCGAGTGAAGTCTCAGAACTCTCGTCCAAGGGTTGCCTGGCGAGGTGTGGTATCACGCTTCCGTTATTGGTATGTGCTTGCTCTCCTTTACAAATACGATAATACTTATTCAAGCCCACAGATCCGTACGTGACAAACGCGGATCTCCTGAGGATCCCAACAGAATAGTCATGAAGACCGCTGACTCTCCCAAGAAGAGGAAAAGAGTTAGCAGCCCTTTACCAAGCCGAAGGAAGCCTACGCAACAATTTGAGCCAAAAGTCATAGACGTGGCGGAGGATTACTCGGCAGAAGTAAATGATCTCTTTGACGCAGCACTTGGAGATATAGCAGCACTTCAAAAGTACAGTAAAGAACATGATGAGCTACTACGTGAGGAAGACGAAGAAATGCTTGCGGATCGCGACTCGAGGCTCGAGAACCACTTCCAGATCCCCAGGGATGATCTGGGACGAGCAGGGATGCCGCTTGTATCGTACGAGCCTTACGAGAATATGAAAGGAAGGTAGTATTTGTCAACGTAGCCTCGGAGGCAATACCCGGGAAGGACACCCGGGATATGGGAGGGCAATTTCTCACTAACAAAACCCACATCAACGAAAAGAGTGAGTTATTTAAAATTGCACAACACGTCCCAAAGGGCGGTTTGTTGCATCTCCATTTCAATGCCGAGTTACACCCTGAGCGGCTCCTAGAACAGGCACGATCGATCGACAACCTTTACATTCGGAGCATTCGTCCACTACTCACGGAGGATGATCTTGATGAGACCGAAATGGTTCTTACTGTCCTAGATCCTGACCAGGTTGAGGAAGGCGTGGACATATTCTCCGAAAAATATCCTGGCAATGCAACCAATTGGAAGACTGCAGAGTCGAAGTGGAAAGTATGGATGCCTTGGAAACAGTTTCAAGCAGATTTTCAAAATCACTTTTTGAGTAATAAGTATGTGCAACCGCATGAAACTACCGCTTCAACGATCGCCGCTTGCTGCTCAGAGCCAGGAGCAGACATTCGTTTAAATCCTGCTGAATTCTGGCTGAAGTCAAAGATGGTTCTCAGTGAAGAGGAAGCATATGGCTTTGGTCAGACTGTGAATGGGTGAGTCCTTCGCTTTACTTGGCATAATTGATACTGACACAGCAATAGGGTTTGGGCAAGATTCAATCAGGCAACGCGGTGCTTCAAAGGCCTTCTTAATTACGAAAGCGTTTATGTGTGGTATATTGGTGAGGCAATTGATCGCATGATCGAAGAGAACGTCATGTATGCTGAGCTTAGACCGATGCTGCTCGACAAATCCATACCCAAGGATAGCGGCAAAGAAGAGCTTAGGAATGCGGCGCAAATGCATCTCATTGTCAAGGGAGTTCTGGCAAAACAGGCCCAGTTGAAGAAGCAACAAAGGCTACATAAGTTTCCGTTTGGTTTGAAGATCATATATTGCACTCCGCGGTCAATACCCAAGAAAATGATGCAAGAGGAGATGAAGCAGTGTATCGGCCTGAAGGAGAAGTTCCCAAAACTGATCTGCGGTAAGCTGAGTTTACAAGTCGAATGCTTGCCAGCTATTAACATTCTACAGGTTTTGATTTGGTGGGTGCGGAAGATCGGCCTAACCACATCGGCTTCTACAGAGACGAATTGGTTGCGTTCAAGAAGACTTGCGAGGCACGCGGCCTTGACATTCCTTTCATGTTTCATGCTGGAGAAACCCTCTTGGATACTGGAGGCTCTTCAGATCCGAGCAATTCCAATCTGTATGATGCAGTAGTACTTGGTTCAAAGCGCATTGGGCATGGTTTTGCGCTGATGAAGCACCCTCACCTCGTTGAAAAGTTCAAGAAGACAAAAAACAGTCCGGGCATATGCATTGAGCTATGCCCCATTTCCAACGAACTTCTGCATCTCTGCCGAAACATCAAGGAGCATCCGTTCCCCGAGTTACTAGCCGCCGGCATTCCATGCACAGTCAACTCGGATAACCCATCACTCTTTAGGTATGTTGTAACTAAACACTTGTCGGAGAAATTGATTACTGATTCTTCATGCAGTAATTCCATGTCGCATGAGTTCTATCAGATCATGGTAGGTGCGCCCACCATGTCTCTTTACAGCTGGAAACAGCTGGCACGATGGAGTTTGGACTATAGCTGCTTGACTCCTGTCGAGATAAACGAAGGGCATCTGATACTTTCCAACGACTGGAAGTCGTTCTGCAGATGGGTTAAGAAGGAATATGGCCCAATCGTGGTAGACAATGAGGTCGATGAGGCGATGGCGGAGCAGCACGAGAAGTACCAATGGCGCAAGGTGCTCTCCTGAACACAGCCTGCCTGAAAACACACTCGCTATATTCTTGTGGCTTTCATCACCACAAATCGCTGCTTGCCGGCCCCTCCTAAAATTGACGATGTTAGTACAATTATTTCGTCAGAAGGAAACACTAATGCGCCAAGTCGTTCTGGACACCTGCACGAATAACAGCCGATTTCGAACGAGGACAATGGGTATGCTCGTATTGGATGCAAGAAGTAAAGTGAAAAGTGTAATTGAAAGGTCGAACACGGCGCCTTCAGTGGTTGCACTTTGTGTAGTTCACTTATGCTTGAACGAATCATCGTTCAAAAGCAAAAGAGTATGTAGTTTGCTACCAAATTACAGACGATTACACAAACTTGATCGATTTGATATGGTTTCGATTGCCGACGACTGTTCAAAGCTACCGTGGTGAGCACTACCCTCGTTTGATTGCGATGGAGTACGATCACTGTCTAGTTATCGGATCCACACGGCACTGTGCATGACTGGAAGTTGCTACGTTGAGCTGTTCTTCATACTTTTCCGTCGATTGAACCTGCCGAAGTCTCAATCGCGTTCACTAGGAAGGTTTCTTTCCTGCGCCTCGCATTAGACCCACCACGTAAAGCTTGACATAGTGTGTGTCACTTCTTGGGTGCAGAAATAGGCCGCGATCATGTATGTAGCCCCATCACACAGCTAAGCTGTGCATTACGGCACAGCGCATTCTTCCAATAAGATGAGATATCCTGCAGCAAGGATATGTAGAAGCGATTGGCTGCTATGGGCAGTTCCTCCTATCAGCGTTAAGGTGAAACAAGAATGTGGGACGCGCTCGGTCATCGAAGAGGACACTGCATTTGCGATGTATCCAAGTCAGTCGAGCCTGCCAGGCTCCTATCAGCACACAACACGGATGTTATCGTACTCTCCATGTCTTCATATCGTTACCAACCGCTTTCGTCGACAAATAACAGTATACGTCTTCTTCGTCTGATGCCAAATCGAGACCCGAACACTGAGATACAATGCGAGCTTTTCGAATACTCGCTACAAGACTCGTGTGAAAGCCATCTGTACGAGGCTCTCTCCTATGTGTGGGGTGATGCAAACAAGAAGTTGCCCGTGATCATACACGGACATCGCTTTGACGCCACTGTCAACCTTCATGCAGCGCTTTCACGGCTTCGCAATCACTCGATAGAACGAATACTGTGGATAGATGCAATATGCATCGACCAACAGAATACGGCGGAGAAAGAGTACCAGATCCAATTCATGGCAACAATCTACGCTCGAGCATACCGTGTGGTTGTCTGGCTTGGAGAAGCATCGGATGATAGCGACCTTGTTTTTGGAGAGATGCTCCGTGAAGAGGGCAAGACGTCTCCGTTTGGCGCAAAAGCCACAAAGATCGATTCAGCGGCCGTTGCGCTACTCAAGCGGCCGTGGTTCCAACGTATCTGGGTAAGGTGATCATTCTCTGACAGGAGCCGTGCTGAGTCTATATAGATACTGCAGGAAGTTGCCGCAGCCCGGAACATTGTCGTCATGTGCGGGCGCGACCGAATTGACGGGTATGCCTTCTGCTTGGGCACCGATGGCTTCATCGACTCATATGAGATTCCGTTACAATTGCAGAGCCTCATACGTTCTGTGAGCTATCTCATACGAGGGGCCATCTTCAGACCTGAGTACTCCCTGACTCAGTCTAGCCGATCAACATTGAACATATCTCCACTCAGTGAACTGGTAGACATGTATCATGCCAATCATGCTACTCATTGCCACGACAAAGTATACGCCTTACTCGGTATGAGTACGGATAACCTGAGCAATGGTGACTTGTTGCCAAATTACCGAATACCATGGGCAGAACTTCTGCAACGATTGGTTAGGCATGTGATTTCGGACGAAGTATCTGTGGAAACGTGGGGGGAAAATCAGGCAGCAGTGATCAAGAGTGGAGGCTGGATCGTTGGCGAAATCATTTCAGTGAAGATTGATCCAGTTAGAGGTGACAGGTATCGTGTTGAAGTTTTGCTCTTCGGAATTCCGCTGCAGAGTGGATTGTTAGCAAACGTCAAATACCACTGGACTCTACAAACAACATCGAACAGTATTCACACCGGTGATCTCATATGTCGTCTGAGAGGAGCTTCGAAACCTACAATAGTCAGACTTGGCAGAGACTATTTCAAGATCATCATGGTTGCAGTCAAGTTGATCGAAGAGGAACTCAAATACGAGCAGTCTGCTAGCCCTTCGATAGGCTGGACTACCCCAGTGCTTCCCCAGCGCACCTTTCTACTCCTCTGGGACTGGGAGCAAAGCCTCAGGAAGACGCTGCACTCCGAATACTACGAGACATGGATACGGATGACTGACTGGGAATCGGAGAAGGCAAAACTTGAAATAGAAAGCCACTTGGCCCGAGCGAAGAGATTGTGGAACGTCACACTGACCTTGTGCGATATGACCACATCGACATCCGCATATCTCAGAGACTCACGGATGGAAGAGCGAGGTCGAGAAGCAATTGGAGAATTTGATGTAGCGATCGCACACAAAGGTCGATCGCCCCTAAAGCTCGCTACGGTCAGAAATCGCTAATGCGCGGAAATAGACATTACTGCCTCCGAGCTCCGTGTGGTCAAAAGCTTACTGCTTGAGCATATTGACCTGGAATCATACTCGCACAATGCCAATAGTGGGTTACAGCCACTACTCTGGGCCGCAGATGGGAAGCATGATGTGGTTGTTGAGCTGCTACTTGACTCGATGCATAAGTTTCCTCCAACACTCTTGTCACAGGCGGCAAAGAAAGGCCACGAGACTGTCGTAAGGCTGTTACTTCAGAAGGACATGACTGAGCACGAGTCTTCGAAGACGGAAAGCTATATGGCGTTACTGTTGGCAGCTGAAGCAGGGAATGCGGCTGTGGTCAAACTACTGCTTGACGCAGGCAGATCGAACGTGGATTTTGATGCTTCTAGTACTGGCGCAGCGCTACTCAAAGCAGCAACCCTGGGGCATGAGCATGTTGTCAAGCTGCTCCTCGAAACAACCGACATTAAGGTTGATGTCAAAGACGAACATGGACACACTCCGCTCTTACTGGCAGCAAGCCGAGGGAAACAAGCTGTAGTCAAGCTACTACTGGCGACAGGAAAGGTCGACTTGAATAGTAAGGGTATATATGGAGATACATCACTGTTCCAGGCGATAGATGGGGGTCACGATGAGGTGGTCAAATTACTAGTGAGGACAGGCAATATTGACCTCGGGGCTAAGAACCGGTTCGGAGAGACACCATTGGAACGCGCGATAAGCAAAGCACGACAAGCAGAACCTTTATCGGCTTCGGAGCTTGGTAGCGTGGAAGACCAATGGGGCATGCTTAATTGGCCATCGGAAAGGGAACGAAGAGGCCTACAAGCTATCATTACATTGTTGCAGGACACTGAAAAGATAGAGGTGGAAACGAAGAATAAACAACTGCATGAGCCTGGCAATGCTGAGGAGATAGTAGAAGATATAGCAGAGGAGACATTCTCCGTTAAAAGACTGCTATCAAGGAAGATGGCGAGAGGTAGACAGCGGATGGCTAAACTACGGTAGCTCAATGACCTACAGCATCTTTCTACCACTTTTCGAAGCTCAATTGAAAGGCTTCACCTCGTGATTTATCTATAGATTCATAGTTCATGCTGTTTTTAGCCCCAATCGCCGCAGACACTTCCAGCTACCTCTTTCCCTCGCACACGCTGTACCCGTTCTCTCAATCATGCCATCCTGTCTTGCTCACGGTCTCGCTCCCGGTATAGCTCCCTCGCTGATCATCTCTACTCCATCCATTTCTCAAACCTGTAGCCCTTTGCTCCCTCCAGCACTGTCAGTTTCAATGTGCTGAACACGATGCTCTCATATAACTCGCGACCGGCCGCTCTAGCCTTCTTGTGCCACGGACCTAGACCGCCCTGGTACGCATCGGCTCGTGAGTGCCAGAAGCCTACACCACATGGATTAATCATATGCCCATTCTCAATTTAGAACGGACTTACAAGTCGCCAGATTCCTCCTCTCTCCATCGGCCTTGCCAAACCAATACTTCAGCAGTCCACCACTCTCGCAGGCCTCGCGGTGAGACTCGTAATCTAGCTTGTACAGCCACTCTTGATCGATCCCCGCTTTCAATTTGCTCTCGAAGACCACGACGTAGAACTCAGTCTCCGGATATGAGAAACCGGACTCAATGCTGAGATCTTGGAGCAAGTCGAACACACGGTCAAAGTTCAGAGCCTCAGTGTACGGCGCGGTGGCGTAGTCCGAGGATGTGGGTGCTAGGGCCGTAAGGGCTTTTGCGAATAGGAGAGACGGAGTGGTAACATTGGCGAGGTCGAGATAGTGTCCGGGGTTGTTGTATGGCGAGGAGATCAAGAGGGTGGAATATGCTGGAGAAGTTGTCGAAGGTGTCTGGGTACCGCCATCACCGTTGGTTTTGGGGAGTTGGTCAAAGGCCGCGGCATGGAAGCGGAGGAGATCGAACTCTTGGGTGATGAAAGCAGGATCGAGGACCAGTGTGGTGCTAGTCAGAGTCTCCGAGTCGGGTGTTGTTGGTGTCGACAGCACGGAAGTGATACTGAGGGAGGGCTGTTTCGCGCGGGAATTGGTCAAGGCGAGTGCTGCATCTTCCGCCTGGTGAACTTGGATGTCGATTCCGGGCGCCATTGATGGTGTTTGGTCTTTCTGAAGTACTGGGTACCTTTTTAGCTAAAGCGTCCCAACGCCAATCCGCGTCTTACCAAATGCGTATAGATTTTCGCAGTTGGAACCGAATCTTATAGGAATCGTGATTCCGCAAGGCTATGTTGAACTGTTAAAGAAGACTTGTGAGAGTATTACTTTTGTTGGGATATTGAGGTTCGCGGTCGTAGTGAGTCGTAGTGACAATAGAGGTACATTGCGACAAAGCACGTCGAATCACGCAATCCAAAAAACGCCATTTTAGGCCCTCGCTCACCTAAAACACAGGAAACGACGAACGCCCGAAGTCATGAACATTGAATTCCAACCTTGTATTTCCAAACGGGGAGACATAATTAGCTGTGCTTGACTATCACTGGGGTCAAGCAGCGTCGTCGAGTTTGACAAACTTTTGATGACACATGTTTCTACACTCGCACATGATAGACGAGAGTTTCAATGCAGCGGGGGTACATTACATAGTTTTGATGGTGAAAGAAAGTTGTCAGTGCATGTTTGGACCAGGATTTGCCTTGTGAAACGTGGGGATATGCAGGTACACGCGGTTCGGTGCGCTAGTCGCGAGCCGAGCAGGAAGTCTCAAATTGGCGTAGACAATCAGATCAAAGTAATTTCAATTGCCACTACATGAATTTTCTTTCAATTACAAGCAGTCCCAGAGAAGTGGATAATACGATAACAGATAGCAGATGCTGTTGACCTTCATGCAAAATCAGTTCGAATTCCAGCGCCATTGACGCAACACCATTCCATCAACCACGACCCCTGTAGCTCCGATTCTGATCATGTCGATACTCGGCAGCATACGTCATTTGGTCTTTGTATAATTTGTAAAGCTTCATCACCTCTCCTGCAGATTCCATATGCTTGACTATCTTCAGAGCTGCCTTCTCCCTCTTCTTGTCGCTCCAGCCATCTCTTTTTACGAGCTTCTCAGCTGTCAGATAGCCTTCACGCACAAGATAGTCTTTGACCCAGCTATAGAGGTGATAGCGCCAGTGATGGAGTGTATGTGCGACTTGCGCATTCGACTTACATGTCGAACCGACGGTAAACGCTTTACTCTCCGGCGGGAGACGTGCGCCTTGAGCATCGTACGTTGGCTTCTCACCATTCAACTCGACTTCCGAATCAGCTGACAGTTCGGAGTCATCGTCATCGTCGGAGTCATTTTCATCGTTTGAATCAGAGTCGGAGTCGTTGTCAAGTGGCTCCAGTGTATCTTTGTTGTATGGCTTTCCAGTAAACATCAACTCGTCGCTAGCAGGGTGATTTCTTCGATTGCATGCCTCGCAGTGTGCGTCCATGATATCTTTCCTGCTTCTTGAGATCTCCGTAATCATCAAGTCAGGCCTTGCTCGGAGCACTCGTGTAAAGTCAGAAGTCCAAGCCGAGGAAGAAAACTTAGAATTAGCAAGACCTTTGACTTCATCATCAAGCTTGCGAAACGTGATGTCGTAGACTTCGCTTTTCGATTCGAAACCTGGGTGTATCTTCTTCATCACCATCCACTCAATGGCATACTTGAATAGTTCTCGAGGTTTCGAACTAGACAACCGACTGAGTATAAGAGGCATGAAGTCATTAGGAGCAAGGATTGGTTCACCAATCATCGCATCCGGGTCGTTGTCGATGAATGCCTCGTCCTCCTCGTCTTCGAGGAACTATAGCTTTATGTCAGGAAAAGTGAAATAAAACATGCCCGGGTACTTAACTTACCATGTCTAGAGCATTGGCATCACGGTCAGACCCTGGCTCCTCCTCTTCTTCGTCCTCATTGCCGTTAAGTTCTTCCTCACTTTCCGGCTCCTCTTTTATGATCTCAAGATCTGATTCCGTGTCCAAGTCCGATTCTATGACAACTCTGCGGGTACGAGCAGGTGTAGCAGACGACGAAGGCTCATTAGTGCCAGCCCGTCGCTTCTTGAGCGCTTCTAGTGCCTTTTGTCGTTCGCTTTTCGGTTTCTCGTGCGTACTCCTCAGTTTGCCACGGTCTGGCAGTGGGGATGAACGAAGGAAGGCCAGATCTTCCTTGAGATCCTCGTCCTCCTCGTCTTCCCCGTCGCTTTCGGCGCCGTCAACGTTCTCCCCATCCGAATCTTCACTCTCCTGGCTTTTCTCTGATTCGTCAGACGGTGTCGCACGCCGTCTCGCAATCCTCCGTCTTTTGCTTCGTGGAGGAGACGCTTCTTGCTCTGAGGCAGATTGACGTTTGGCTATCCTGCGGGTTCTTCGCACAGGTGTGACCTGGACTGTGGCTGCTTTGTTATCATCTCCCTCTTCGCCTGTGGAAGATTGATGTTCAACATTCGTCCTCCGTTTGCTCTTCGGGAGCCGTAGCTCATCATCCTCTGGGCTATTGCGCCGTCTTCTTTTTGTCTTTATGACTGTTACACCCACGTCATCCTCCGCCTCACGTCTGCGCTTGCGAGACGCAAGTTTGGCCTTCACTTGTATGTTGTTCCCTCCCCGCTCGTCTTCTGATGTTTGCGAAGCAGCGCCATCGATATCTGAGCTGCCAAACATGTCATGTTCTGTTCTGTTCGTCGGGATACCAAGGCTCATGCCTCTGTGCGTCTCCGCGGCCAGCTCATCCTCACTCGATGAATATATGACGGTCGGTTTCGAGGCTCTACTTGCGCTAGCTTTGGTATTCCGTGACGCTCTCGTACTCGAATGTCTGTTCGGCGTAGATGCAGGGCTCTTGGAAGGTGACGCGCCCATCGTTGCGGATGGCGGAGGTTTTGCAGCTGGCGAAAAGCTGATTGTGGTCTGCCGCTTGCGATCACGCTTATTTCTAGGAGCCATGTTTGCGAAGTCGCGGTGAAGGACTTTCTGCGTGCAGAACTTCGGAGCGATTTCTTCGACTTCACCTCGTGGCGTTTGCGCCACAGATAGGATACGCGCTAAAAAGATGTTGTAGACAGCGCGATGTTAGAGCATGTGGTCGCAAGGTAGTTGTACGTGTATAAAATATGTCATAGAACTATTATGTTGTCCAAAATAAGGGCTTGGGTGTTGGTTGGGATGCGTACCCACGGCGGGGAACAGTCTGCACGTAGCTGTCGCAGCCACAAGAACTTGGCCAGGGTCCAGACACGCGAAAGCACGTGACGTCTCTGTTCATAGGCTCCAGCGCTGGTGCATTTACTTCACCTCTGCTTCGTCGCACGATGGTGTACATCCACTTTCACGCTCAATCACGCTTCATGACCTGCTTAAATCTGGGTTCTCGTCAAGCTCTAAAAGAGCAATGTCCCGAAAAGACTCTACGTCGGCTCTGTACTATTAGTTCACAGAACTTCGGTACGACATCGGTGCCTGAGTTTCACAGACACAGTGCCCACAGTGATTGTGGTCATGGTCATGTCTAGAGGTTCATAGTGAAAGCAGCATGTTCTTGGACCAAAGCTTGTCAACATCGTGCCAGAAAGCTGCATTCGTTGAATCGTGTATATGCAATGAATAACCGTAAATCTTGTGGTGAGTAATCGCCCTTGGGACAAGCACTCGGCGCGCTCATGCAGTCGTCTTGACAGGTTCGCTGGTCTTTATGTCGAGGTTTGCAACGCCGTCAACAAGTGTAGCTTCTTCGCTGCTCTTCGTAGCAGCAGCAGCATCAGTGTCAACATCCTTCTTTGTCTCATCGATAGTCTTGTCACCAGCCTTCTCCTCAGCTGTGACTTCAACATCTTCCTTCACTTTCGCACCAATGCTAGCCTCTTCTCCTCCCCAGAGGTATATCTCGCTCTCTCCAATTGGCTTCCCAGCCTTCTCCCACCGATCTTTCCGTTGTTGTTTCCTCTCTGCTGCCATTTCAGCCAGAGCTGGCCAGTATATGCTGTGATCGTATTTGAAATCCACCTCACCACCGGCGGCAACCATGAGCTGTGATGCGGGGACATGGTCGACGAGGGGCTCATTGTACTTGATTTTCGATTTCGTGACGGGGTCGATGAAAGGGCTTATCAGCTTGAGGAAAGCAGAGATATACCACGGCACTATCTCATGTGTCAGTACTAATCCTTGCTGGCATAAAGTGGTATGCGAGTACGTACAGTGTGTGAGAAGCGCCCTACCCAATCGCTCCGGGTAATGACTCTGAAGGATATCTAGCACTTGCTTCGCAATGCTCATGGGTGGAGTTCCACCCGAACTCGTGTTGCGGAAGTCGATCAACAATGCTAGTCCTTCCTGGCCAGGTGGGTGCAGATCAAGCGTCCGCTCAAGCATATACACCAGATGTTCTACCTGCTTTTGGCTCGGCTTGGTATTCTGGTTCTGTGGCAGCAAGTACAGACACGGGCGGCCCTCCTTGTCAAAGCCCAGTTGAACCTGCTTGCCTTTTGTGTTCTCTTCGGATATGTAGTCGGCAGTGAAGGTCTCGGTGCCAAACTCACGGCGCCATATCAAGGTCGCACGTAGTCGCTGGATCGCGGATTTAAGGTCCCATTTGGTGGCGCGTAGGTAACGAAGAAGACATTCGCGGGTGAGCCAGAAACGCTCGTCTTCGGATACGGGCGCGGTCTCCGTTCCGGTCTTTGTGGTGGGGAGAGACTCCCAAGACTTGACTTCGGTGAGAAGTTCGTCGTACTTGGTTTGCTGGTCAGCCGTCAGCGCCGGGGGAGCTGCAGGCTTGCAACCGGGCACTGGCTCTGCGAATGGTTTCATAGCGGACATTGTTTCCAGATTGTGGCGAGAAGTAGGCTTAATTGACCCTGAGAGAAGTTGAAACAATTACCCGCTATCGCAGACTACCGAAACAGCATCAATTGCGGATTGCGGTGTGACGGGACAGTCAGCACCTGCATAACTTTTGGAAGACCCTGGTCCTTGTTTGCGCTAACCCTTCACACGCTAGTTGAACCACTCTATCGCGGGACGCGCGACGCGTCTGCCGACACGCGCAAAACGACCTTGTCACAATTCCCCTCATTCACTCCCAAAGTATGGACGACCTGACGACAGAACTCACGGAGCGCTTCGAGCGCTACTGCGCTACCAAAGACGATGAATTCCCTCCCGATGTGCTCAACGAATTGCAGTCGATGCTGCGACTATACTCGATATCACCAGAAGAGCTAGACTTCAAATGGCAGGCGTACAACATGAAGATGGGCGGGGAGGAGAACAAGATGGATCTCAAGACTGCGCGTGACTTCAAGAAGACGATGCAAGATACGCTCGAGCGAGAGAGCAGGGGCAAGGCTCAGCAGAGACATGAGGTCAAGCGGGCAGCCCCCACACCAAGAGCAAAGGGAGGGGACATGTACGATATGTTGGAGGGCTTGGTGCCAAATTCGCCACGGCCGAGTGGCGTGACCGGTATCAATGGCAGTACCGTGAAGAGGAAGGCAGACTTCCGGACGCCAGCTAGCAAAGCCAACAAGCCCCATGAGATGAGCTCACCAGGCGGAAATGCGACGCCGAAAGCCGATGCCTCAAGCGGACCAGCCTTTGACTTTGCGTCCCGCAAAAACCCAAACGACATCACCGAGCAATTTATGCAAGGCGACATTGTCATCCCAGAGCCACCTTCTGAAGAGCCCAACGAACCACGCATCAAGCTCAAAGCGAACACCGACATGTCCAAGTTTTCGTACCGCACCATGGCCATGAAGCTGTCCGAAGCGTCAGAGGTACTCGACGACAAGATTGACGAGTTTCGCGAACTAATCCGAGAGCACATGAACTTGGACGAGAGCGCATTTGGCAACCCAAACTACCAATCGCCAAGCGAATTAATAGCAGTAGGACGGATAGCAAGCGACACCAGCGAAGGCAAGCTCAACACTGCAGCACTAGTCCTGGAAGGATCAAGACGTTTTGGATCTGGTCGACGTGTTCCGCTCAATGTCGACGGGCTGGTCAGCTACAACTTCTTCCCTGGACAAATCGTTGCTCTCAAAGGAACCAATGCATCGGGCGATGCCTTTGTCGTCTCTGAAGTCCTCTCCTTGCCTCTTCTCAATCAGCCCGCCACTAAGCCAGACGAGCTTGATGCCATAAATGCACGCTATTTGGATTCACCCGAAGCCGACCCAGACAATGTACGCCCACTGACGATGATGATTGCCTCTGGCCCATACACAACAGACCAGAACCTCGATTTCGCACCTCTGCACACCTTCCTGGACAATGCCGCCGAAGCCTATGCAGATAGTATCATTCTAGTGGGGCCTTTCCTCGATGCAGAACATCCCCAGATTCGCACAGGAGACTTCGATCCACCTCCAAACTCCAGTCCAGATCAAGCCACCATGACGGATCTATTTCGACATCATATCTCCACCGCACTGCAGGCTTTTTCGAAACGCGTCCCGACATGTAACGTCATCCTCGTCCCAAGCTTACGAGACGCACATCACCACCACGCCGCGTTTCCACAAGACAAATTCATCAAGAAAGAGCTCGGACTCGGTGCAGCAGGGAAAATGGTGCAATGCGTGACCAACCCCATGACACTGAGTATGAACGAGATGACGGTGGGCATGAGCAGTATCGATATTTTGGACATGCTGAGACGAGAAGAACTGGTCAGTGAAAAGTCGCGCGGTATCAATATTTATGAGCGATGTGCGCGAAACGTGATTGAGCAGCGAAGTTTCTTGCCATTATTTCCGCCGCTCGCGAGAGATAAGATCATACCACCTCCTGCTGCTGTGGAAGATCAGGTCTACAAGAATGGCGAAGCTGAAGAGGCAGAGGAAGATGAAGGACCCAGCCCGTTCTTACCGCTGGGGACAATGCTGGATACAAGTTACCTCAAGCTAGGTGAAATGTTGAACGTGAGGCCAGATATCCTAATCACACCTAGTGTACTACAAGGTACTGTCAAGGTGAGTTGTGCGTCGTCAATGAATTTCGACAGTGCTGACATGTATTCAGGTTGTCGAATCCGTTATTGTTATAAACCCTGGTACTCTGGCCAAGCGCCGCGCAGCAGGAACATATGCGCGTGTCATTGTACAACCCGCGGCGGTCAGCGATGCAGAGAGGGAGAAGGGATACGCAGTTGCGCACAAGCTTTGGGAGCGCACGAGGGTGGATATTGTACGAATATGATCGGGCTGTTATGTGGTATAGAGTGGCATGCCTCGGCCTAGGCTGCGCATGTTTGGCATGATAGGATGAGACTATGAATTCTTGTACATCATTCAAATAATGCAAGTCCAAATCGTTGAAGTCCAAGGTACTTCTGTGACACGTGCTGGGACAATGTTCATAGCCTGTGGACAATGCCTGGTATCCGACGTGCTTGGATCTTCGCAGTACTGTGGGATAATTTTATCCGTGGTGCTCAATGTGACAGGTCTAGTCGGTGGCGCGTGTGTAGTCTCGCTCTGCCAAGTCAATTCACTAGAGCATACTGCTGTCCAAGTGCAAAGCGAAATTATGTCGTGAACGCAGGTTGATATTTTGCTACCAAAGCCTGACGCATCCCCTCCATCCTTTAACCGTAAGGAAACAATGCATAATGAAAGCCATGCAGATTCATACTGCCCGACGCTTTCTCACTCCATGCCCCCGATGTATATTGGCTCGTGGGAGCCGAGTCGAACCGAAATGTATCGTCGGGTAATCATCGCGTTCCACCGTTACGCCTTCACTACTCCAGCCATCGCATTTGGCGAGTGATTTATCGGTGCTGCAGAGTTGTCAGAATAACAATGTTGGAACGGCCGAGAATCGTAGTCGCAGCCGACTGTGGATGGATTGTAGTGTGGGAAGTTGAGTGGGTTAGAGAATCGTACCTTGACGAAACCAATGTCGGCGGACTTCTCACGGAAGCACTGACGGCAGATGTTCAGGCCGTACTTGCGGATGAGACCAGCAGGGGTGGGTGCAGACGCGGCTGTGAGTACCTCGTTAGCCACGGTCCCAGGATATAAACCTCGCCATTCGCCCGCTTCTGCTGCGCTTCGCTCTGCAACACTTCCACCACTTCTTTCCGTAGCTACCCAGAATATTTAAAGGTGTGAACGTACCACTCGCGGGAGCCCTTGCCGTAGGTCCTAGGACGCGAATACCAGACAGACTCGTGAGACATGTTGGGTGGATGTGTGTGGGGTTTGCGATGTCGCTGCTGCACTTCAAATTAGCATATAAAGTCCAAAAATGGTCTCCCTCGCTCGCGCATGGTTACTGACAGTGTTGGGTGCTGGAGGGCGGGACTGTCGGTCGTTCGTAGGCGCTGTCGTTCACAATGTCAAAGTTTGGGGTTCGAGATTCAATATTGAGCGGCGGATCTTCGGGTGGGACGTTAAGCGAGTGGTCCGTGCCACAAGCTCCTTCACTGCCACAGGTTTGCCATCGCCGACACCAGATCAACGAAACAAATTATTTGAGCACTCTATCCTCGTTTCGGGCATTGCCAAATATTCTACGCTTACGGTTCCGGCCATTTGTTATCATTCCGACGCATCAATGCTCCGACCTCCCAAGTCTTCTTCTCACATCGAGCGCCAGGTTAGAGGCGCTCATGGAGCCTGAGAAAAAGGGTATATGAGAACGTCAGCTACAGATTTCTTGCCGACCTGTGAATTCAGCAAATATTGCGATCAGGCAGTGTTGACTTGTATATCGAATCAAGGTGGTCATATTCATCATTAATCCATCCCTAGCTCATCACAACACCGGTACGCCGTCATCGAATAAAGTAAAACTACCAACTAACATATCTCCTTCTCCTAGCCGTTGTTTGCGTGCCTGTCTTCAAAGCGCTTTCGCCCTTTAAATCAGACACGCATTTTCAGGTTCGTAGGTCGATTGACCTTGTTTGAGCTGTAGAACCACTTGCCAGCACCATTCTGCGTCATCGAGATCTTCGATCCTCCATTGTTGAGCCACAGCTCCATCTTCTTGTTGTCACCATTGATGACATTAGTCGTACATGCCACGGTGATTGTGCCGGACTGCTTCGAGTCCCACGTGTAAGTGTCCAAGGTCACAGTGTCATTCATCGTAGGGTTGATCTTGACAGTGACGTTTGCCTTGCTGGAGATGGAAGAGTTGGACTTCAAGCTGACAAGGAGTTCGAAGACGAACGAGGTCTCTGTTGTAACCTTAGGTGCGCTAACGGTGGCGTTGGGAGAGCCGCCGTTAGTGATGCTGGCAGATGGCGAGGACGGCGAGGTCTGACTCCATTTGAAAGTGAGATCGCTGCTGGATACATTGGTCTCTGTGTTTGAGCCAACCAGCAAGAAACTCGTGCCAACGCGTTGGGCGGAAGCAATTTGTGCGACAGCGGCCACTGGGCTAACGACCTGAGCATCAGAGGTGGGTTGCGAGGTCGCAGACGCTGTTGCTGAAGCCGATGCCGAAGCGCTGGCATTGGGGTCTAGAAGGTCGCTGGGATTGCAAGATTTCGATGGCGCGGGAGGTGCGACGCCAGGGAAAGGCGACAGAGGTCCGTATTGCTTGCCATCCAGTACCGTTCCCTGAACGAGATCGCGAATGTCCTTGAAGGGAAATGGTGGAGGGTTCGTGCCAGGTACATCGACCTCAGGGAAGATCCACTCACTCACTGCCATGATGTATTCACCAGCTTGAATGCCATCCTTCGTCTCCTTCACAGGGGTATTTGTTGTGATGCGATATTCACGCGTGTAAGGCGCTTGAGCTTGCGTAGCAATTTTGGTGTCAAATTTGCAGCGCGTCTCTGCCTTGGGAGTGGCAGTACCAATGGGACGATAGGTTTCCTTGCCAGTACATGGATCGACGTCGATTGCGCTGATTGTAACAATTGCGTTGGCGCAGTTGGAGAGAAAGCCGACAACTTTGATGTCAGCAAACTCTACATTTGCTGCACTGTCAGGGACACCGATCAACATGTCTTCCAGTCGGATGTAGTTCGGTGCGTCAGTGCCCTGGGTGGTGATATGAAGACTGATGCAGGTGATGTCAGATGCGAGGATCTCATTCGCACCTGCCTTGAGCCCGGAATACTCGATATAGTCACCAACCTTGAGTGGGACCATACGAAGAGGATCTGGGGCGGTGAATGACTGGCCGGTACCACGGTTCGAGCTCAGGCATTTATCGGTGTTGCCAGGATAAGGAATGCACATTGGGAACCCAGAAAAAGAAGCGACACTGGGGCTCCCTGTATCAGCCACCCACATCGGTGCTGTATCGACCTTGGGTCCAAATAAGCCGTCAGGGTCGTTGATACGCACTCTGACGCCTCCGGAGATTGACAGACTGCCATCTGAGTTGATGGCGGTGATGTATCCTTGACTGGCTTCAAGGCCAAATCTTTGGGCGACCGAAATCTGGCCGGCGAGAATGGTTCCGTCAACGATGTTGCCGACAACAGTGGTCTCAAAACCACCAGCTCCTGCGCCACATAGGTCCTTGAATGGTGCAAAGACTGTGGGAAATTGGACGATCAGATTCTTTGGCACCTTGATATCAAAGCCGTTGACTTGGATCGAGCCGCCAGCGTTGTATTCAGCACCTGCACTACATCTATAGGATATTAGTCCGAGGACACTATATTTGTCGTCAAGTCACTTACCCGTCCAGTCCACCAACGACCGAGAACGGGATGATGGCTGGAAGCTGCGCGAAACCTAGGGAGGCGAGCGACAACAGAGTCGATAATTGTACTGAACGATACATCTTGAAGATTATGGAAGAAATTGATCTGAGCAGGTACTTGAATCCAGACAGCGGAACATGTGGTACTGTTATACTTCTCTCAAGGCAGTCACTGTCCGTCACCTAGGCTCAGAAAATCGCTTAAACTGGCTGGCCAACATCACAACGAACACTCTGTCCCAGATTTATACACCTAGACCATCAACCTACGAGGTCTAGTCCTCATGAGTAGAGCCCTGTCGTGTGCCTTCACGAGGCTCGAGCGTATTTTGCTGAGAACACACGTGCTGCTGCGACCAGTAAGTAGCGAGTGACGGACGCCATCGATACTTCCAAGAGGCGAAGCGAACAAGTCTGCTGAGTAACGGCCCCCCGACAAGCACTACGACGGCGGGTCCCAGTCTTTCACCATATGGCAGCCAGCCACGTCTATAGAAGCCAGAGTCCAACAAGCAAGCCACAAGCCACGACACGCTCCGTGCAAGGCTTGCCTGTCAATGTTGTGCTACAACTCTGAAAGGACCGATCTCGACTTCTTGGCCCGAAGTGTATCTTCCCCAGATGTTCTCTAGCTTGGCGTGCGGGAGCGGCTGAAGACTCATTGCCAAGTCGATTCTCGTACAGTCAAGCGGGCGGCAGCCGCACATATAGCGCCATGCAGAGGAACCTTGTACATGTTTTATGTCCGGAGATCAAGTTATGAAGACCTTGTATCGTGATTTTGATTTGTTCATGCAAGTAGCAGAGCAGAATAGAACGGTCGTTGGACTCGCCATCTCGGAGACGTGGTATCGGCACAACAACATGCCTACGCAGGTTTCACTCGTTGGCATTAATCGGAGATCCCTGAAGACATGGCATGTGTATGTTTTTCAGCTTCGCTACAATGGCCGCCCCGAACGCCTCAGTGGAAAAGCCTCGACGCAGTCAGCATTTTCTGAGCGGGACGAGCTGCTAAGTCTATTTCGGGTGCGGAGGACTCAAGCTTTGCAGCCCGGTCCTCGGTTCACCGGCCGATCCAGGTGGCTTGCTGTACAGATTAGCAAGCGCACCTGGAGACGATGAAGGCAGCTAGAGTAGAGAAGCGAAAGGTTATCGTATGGCTGTTCTAGAAAGTAAGCACACAGCTGAGCGGCTGCTTAATCATAGCTGGCGCTACGGGCTGGCAGTCGTAGCATCGCCCTGTGTTGAGACATCGCATTGTCCTACTCGCATTTTACCAAGGAACACCCGTAGCGTCTCGAATTGTTTGCCTCCTTCTCATGACTTCGATGGAGGCAGCTGTTCCCGTCCGGCGAAATGACCGGCAATACTGTGCAAGAACGATGGGGTCTAGGTCCGTGGAAGAAACACCAACTCCGGGTGGCGAAGGCGAACTAGAGCGAAAATGACCCTAATAGGCTATTTCTTTCAGCTCAGCCCACCTCAGATGCATGGGAGCGGCATACACGGTGAAAACGACGAGGCGTTTGTTGGTGTATTCTTGATGAGCAATCGCTCTTACTTCGGTACATGCATGGAGGATTCGAGCTGTCGCATCAGAGTTTACGTTCAGCTTCGTGACGAGCACATTTTGCGCTTGACTGCGTGCGAATGCTCACTTTTGCAGTGTTTCGCAAGTGATAGAATCGAGAAGATGATGTGGACAGGAACACAATTCATATGTAGTGATCGGAGTACTAGATGCGTTGGAATGGAGTAGCGTTCTCTCCTTGCAAGCGTGAATTCTCGAACCCCCACGTGCGGTACAGGCGATGAATGCCCCGCATTTACGCACACAGTGATTCTACACTACCAACAGATGGGGATCAGAATATTATTAGTATGGTCGTAGTCAAAATCAACATATATACATTAATCACTCATTTGCTCATCAATCACCCGATACATCGGCCTAATGGCCCAATGGCAAGGCGCTTGACTACGATTACATATCCGAAATCAAGAGATTCCAGGTTGTAAGTAGTGTCCGCGATATTCTCAGGTTCGAGCCTCTCCTAACACATCTCAGCGACCCCTGGTTAGGTCAAATTATCTTTTTTCCCATACGAATGATCCTTTCTTTTTTGCTCCATGGCGGACATGAAGCTTCAACCATGACGACCTTCCTTGTTATCGTAAATTACTTCATCATGTAGCAAAAGTAAACACTGCAACTTGTGAAAGGTTTGCAACCCGTACACATTCTGCAAATGTTGATGGCTGGACTAGTTAAGTGTCAGTTGCTGCTGTATTTTACCACTCGTGCAGAGACAATAATCACGAAACATTAAGAACATGCTGTATACACTATATGCACATCAGCGGGCTGACTGATCTATGATTGTGTTTTTCAATTGTTTTTGTATATGGTGTAGATATGTGTGTGACGCGTGAGCGCAGGGTATATAGGTCGGATATGACTGCGACGCCTGCCGTAATCCTCCTTATGCACTCGAGACCTCGAGTTTCCACCAGAACATAGGAAATGCTAGACGGCTGTGAAACATGCAAAGCAAAGCAAAAGTGCAGTCAGCGCTTGACTGTCACATTGCCAAAAAAAAAAGATCCGCTCAAGTCGCTAATAAATGCCACTCAAAAACAGGGGAGGGCTGGGCTCTAGATCTGACTATTGCGCGTCGGCTTGAAAACTGGTACTCGAAAAATTGCTCGATGCAAATATGTAAATGCGCGACTGACCCCCACTTTCGGATTCGGCGGGTACCGGCATGGTGGATCCTGGCGCACTTTCGGCGTATGAACGTTATTCGGGAAAAGACAGAGTGGCTCCCAGTATGGTTTTGTGTGCGATGTTTGCAAGGCAAACTTTTGGATGTCATGCTGCAGGAACAGGGCCAGGGACAACACGCGTATAGCAGGCACGTGTGCAGTGTTTGATGTCACCTGCTCCGTCGCCGAGGCCCCGAAAAAATGACGAACACCGCGTCCAGGTTTGGAAGGACCCTCTTTCCGGTGGCTGGATGACACGTGCCCTGGGACTCGCGTGCGCAGTCAAGTAAAGTTTTCCGAGTGAACGGTCACCGTCCTGGAAGAGTCCACAATTAGTAACGCGAAGAGGCCATACTGTCCGAGGAAATATCCTGTTTGCGATCGACTCCAGGATGACTGCGTGACTGACTGACGTCGACTGAGACAGCTGTCTCCAAGGATGGCATGTGGCGCGACGGCAGTATTCGTGAAAACAAGGCCGCGTGAACGTAGCGAGGGTCTTGATGCGTGCATGCCCAACGCACACAACGGTTGTCGAAACCAGGAAACCCTAATGAAAATATTCAAGGTAGTGCGATCATTGCGCCGCAATTCCAATCCACCTATCCGGTACTGTGCTGTGAAAGGCAGGTGCCTTGCTAGGCCCGGGCTTCCTGGGCGGTAGCCAGATGCGTGCCTTGCCGACGGCCTTTGCATCTAGCTTGCCGACTCGCCGCATATTCATTTCAAGCACAATAACGCGCAAAAAGTCGCAGTTCTCGCGAGGCTCGCGTTGTCGGACAGCAGGCGGTGTTGACAGAGCCCTTCCAGCTTCGGAAAAGGGATCCGAGGTGCGTCGGCGGCTCTTGGAGCGGCCACGTCGGTCGTATGTCTGCATCTGGATCATCGGCGCATGGGGCTCGGCATCGGCGTCGATCATGAGCGCATCGTGTAGCTGCATGGATAGCTCGGTAGGCGAGATAGGCGCAGGATGGGGATTCAGGTATCGTCGCAGAGCAGGAGAAGGCAGGCCTTCGACATGCTTGGGTCGCATTTCGCTCGTAAACTTGGGTGCCAGCAAAGATCGGGTGAGGAAGTCATCAGGCGGTACGCTCGGAGCTGTGAAGTTGGAGAAGGATTTGGCCGCGGATTTGAGTGCCTGGAGTGAAGCAGTTAGGTTGGACTTGAAAGACTTGAAACGTTCTATCGTGGGTGGAAGCGAGTCGACGACCTCGTTGACATCTGTTGCAATGAGATCTTCGCATTCTTCGGGACCGTAATGGAGGAGCGGGTGGTCCAAGACGCAATCTTCTTTTGGCGGCGAGGAGACTACTCGCTCCTTGCGCTCGGGTAGTGATTTGCGGCTTATTGAATCGGGTGTGCTGATGTTGTCCCAATGCGAAGAAAAGGACGGGTCGTCGTAGTCTAGCGAAGGAGGAATTGTAGCCAGAGATTCGCTAGATATTGACCGCGACGTGGAGAATAGATGCTTGTCTTGCTCCATGCTCTGGAGACTGCCGTATTCCTCTTCGGACTCGTCGACACGACCGAGCAGCAAATCCAGAGGCGAGCCCACCACAGAGGACGGGGCATCGCTGTCGTCTTGCTTCCACTCTTGTATCAGCTCATCCATAGATATCCTCCTGTCTGCCATGGCGGGCTTGCGACGACGCTGGGGCATCTGGGGGATTGAGGTAACAGCCAGTAGAGCGGCCACGGCTGGAGGAATCGCATCCGCGTTGTGAGCAGAGTGGGTGCGAGCAGGTCTGGAGGCACTCTGACCTCGCATTCTCACCGCCTGGGGCGCTGATGCTGTTCTGGAAGGCATACGAGGCGGAATGACGACGGGTTTCGAGTGTGAGTGCATTGTTGTGGGCGGCTGCGCGAGTCTTGGTTCGGGACTGGCTATAGGCAGAGTGTTACTGGATAGTGGCCTTTGAACAGGCTTAACACTGCGCGGAGTGGGTGGATTCCTGGCTCGCGAGCCCATTCTTTCTGATCTGGTGCGCGGAGACGGAGGAGACTGCTGCAGATACGACCGGGGGCGTGTACATCATCTTGCAAGCGTAGGCCCTGACGGCGTTCTGTCCCCGTGACTAGAGATTGGTGCTTCCCAGGTGCGGCTAGAGATGCTGTGACGTTTGGACGGGCGGATTTTGTTACGTTATTCGCTGTGACGGGATTGGACGGGGCACCAAGGGAAGCCCGTCAGGAACATGCAGGGACGGGTTGGCCGGACGTGGCCGGAGGCAACTGGTGATAGTACTATGCAGAAGTTGAGGCTGAACGGGCGAAGGGGTGGAGAGGAGGAAGGGTGAAGATGCGAGAGGAGAAGCCGCGAGGCAGACGTCATGCAGCAAGGTAGCGGTGCAGGTATGTATGTAATGTGTACGGAAGGGACGATAAGGGTTATCGGCGTGCCGGTATGATAAAGAAAGGGCCCTGAAGGCTCGCGTGGGCACGGCCGGCAGTCGATAGGCAAGCAGCGAGTATACGGAGCGCAGTAGAGCCCTGTCGCACTTAGGTACCGCGGCGGGTGGAAGAGGCCACGCAGTCCAGTCGATAGCCTCTCTGGGCCGTCCACGTTGTCACTGCGCAACCCAGGCTGCTGATCCTCGTTGTTGCTCGAGTGTGCTTGAGGCGGCAACTCGGGCATTGCGTCTCTACTAGGCCGCTTCCGCACATGCGCGACACCCCCGGCGCAGCACGCGGCCTTATTCCAACCGCGAGATGCATCGTTATCCACGCGACTGTGATAGGCCCGCCGCCACCTCCGCCATCTTGCTCCGTTATGCAGCCCTGCCGTCCCCGCCGCCATCCTTCTGGAAGCACGCGAGTCGCTGAGCACGCACATGGCGACCCATCACCGGACGACTGCGCAAATGACTCCAGCCATGATTATGCCACCATGAGTCGATTCCTGTGTATGGCGGTGTACTCCTACGGTAGAGCCCGATGACTGGTGACTGTGTCCACAGCGCGACCGGTTCCCTTCAGGATTCCACGCTGCTCGGCCTGTCAGCGTGCTTATCGTTATCTCGTCCGCATGCGGCTAATGCACTGCACGTAATCGTGCTTCACTGGCTTGTGGGGTGCATCCGGGGCATGAGGGTGTGCTGAACCCCGTCGCCATTTATCGTCATCAACCACTGCAACGTTTCTTTGATTGCTCATCAGCGCCCTCGCCTTGCCATGTGAAGGAGTCTTTCTGCGCTCCAGCAAATCTCTGCATAACTCTCGCGCAGCAACTGCCACTTGCACTTGGAGCCGGTCTCACCTTCTGCATCAGGACTCGAGCTTACTTGTACCAAAGGGGAAGGTTCAAGAGTCACTGACATTCTGCGGCTCTGCGCAGAGCATGGCATGGCCCTGTCACTCCCTACACAACACAAAACAGGCAAGTATATGCTTTCATTTACCCGAGTGCCCGAAGACATGCGCAGTCTGCTCATTTCCGGACATTATGAAACCATCCATCTGCACAGCCTTGCCAACATGCAGAAGGCATGCTGAAGTCTCGGTGGATATCTTGACATGATCTTCTCGTCGGACAGTACCCAATGCACTACCATTCGGTACGCCGGACGGAATAGGCATGTGCTTTAGCCTAGATGCGTTGAAGGATTCTGCTACTCCGAAATGTTGAACAATTTCACCGCCTCATGTCTCCATCTGAGAGTAGCTCCCTCACTTTTCCAGAAGCTTTGCGCGGGACACACAAATGCGCTACCGACCCCACACCTATGAAAAAGGCAAGTACAAATGTCTAGATGCATCGCAGGACCACAACTACTAGAGACTGGCAAGACTTGTCCAATTTAGAAATACCGGCCTGGTAGATCAGTGGACCCTTTGAAATACATTCGCCGTGACTTTTACTTGGCAGGGTCTCGCTGTCTGCCGTGTACGGCCAAATAGCAAATAGTTAAAAAGGCGTTTGGCCGTACCCGTCGACTACTGCCCAGGTGTATATCAACGACCCACACCGCCTTGTGAAGTTATGGAAGGTCCATGGGCAGGCTGCGGGCACCTTCTGCAGACCCTGTAGATCATACGAAGCGAGCACATAATGTTCCAACCAACTGCGTTGCATCTGTCGCACGCTTCAAAGGCACAGAATTGAACATCATGTCTTGCATTTTCCGCATGCAAATCGTAGTAGTACACGTTGCCGTCTGCATGTCTCGTCTGGAGATACCAAGGTGCATCTCGCTTCGCCTACGCACAATCAAAAACGCCCTTTATCCAAGGCTTTCTAACCAAAGTGCCCGCCCACTCAAAAACGCCTAGTTGACGCGCTCCACTTCCGCAGTAATCAAAAAAAAAATGTCAGAGGGATAAAGAGAGCCAGGGCCTGCCGTCAAGGGTCCGCATGCATCATGCACCGCGGGATGCGTTGCGCAACGTACGTGGCGGTTCTCCCAACCACCCACGCTGCGCAATCTCGAAGCGAAGAAAGGTATGAGTCGAAAGAGAAGAAAAATTTTCAGCAGACCGTCGCGGCCGACCCAAGCCGCCGTCTTGATGCAAGAATTACAGAGATGAGGTGCAAAATAAGGGAGAAAGAAGATTAAGCCAGAAATGCTCGCCATGGTGTGCCAAAAAGACAATGGTACTGGGGGCTGGATGACCCAGACGAGGGCAGAGCGAAAGGTAGACGAAGGCCAGGCAGACGCACTTCAGTAGTCACCGTCGTCTGTCCAGCCCGCTTCTGAGCCCTCGACAACGCGGACCAGACGGCCGTCGTTCTCTACCATCAGCTCCCCGCCGTCGACGTTACGTATACTTCTGATCTTCTTGCCTTGCACACCCCGAGGGCTGGCTGCATGACCACCTTCAGGAGTGTATCGCTTCATTTGCCGTTGACGATATTGATGAAAGTCGATGTCATTCTCCGGAGGGTCGTCTGACTGTTCACTGAAGGTCTCCCAGTTCTCTGACCCTGACTGCATTGTAGCGCCTGTGCCTGTCGACGACGTCTGTGAGATCTGGCGACTGCTAGATGACGAAAGGGATGGCGGTGGGTACGAGGGGGCATAACCGCGTACGCTGTGGCTATGTGACATGTATGCTCGGTCATCATAAGGGTCCTCTGGTGGCACATTTCGCACGATACTCTCGCTCCGGTCGCCGCGATTGAATTCGAAGCGGTTCATGGGGGTCTCAGTGGGCTCTGGTGGTACGAACAGGTCCTTCATCCGTGGAGGTGGCGCCATGGGAGGAGGCATCTTTCGGATAGTAGACGAGTCTTCGCGCGAGGGCGGAGGAGGTCGACGTTCTGGAGAGTTACCACCGTGTCGCAAGCTGTTCAACGGCGCGCGTGCGGGGATCTTAGACGGGCTCTTCGCACCACCTGCAGAGGACATGACCGAGCTGGCAAGAGCATTGCGAGATACGCTGGCACCGAAGGTCGACACTGGTGTCTTCGCTCGGCTTGGAGGAGGAGCTCCGCGAACTGTCCCTGCGCGGCTGTCACCACGGGTGGGCTGGGCAGATTTGGGCAAAGTCGCTGGCTTGGTGGGCATGCTAGAGTTGGAGGGTGTCTTTGCTCTTGGCGGAGCTGCCTTGGAGGCGGCAGCGTACAGCTCATCCAGATAACGCTGGCCATGGACAAGAAACGGACGGCCATACTCGTCTTCCCATGCTTCCAGGGTGCTCTTCAGCTCGGCTTCGACTTTGGGCAGCTCCTTAGCGATGCGCTTGCGCATCTTCTCCTCTCGCAGCAGCTTTCCTGGGTCGCGCTTCTCGCCCTTCTGGCCGCGAGCCATCAGGCGCGAGGCGTCCTGGCTCGACTGTTGGAGGTCGTTGCGCTCTGTGATCAGCTCTCGGTGTCGGTCAATCTTCTGCAAGATGGGCAGTCGCTGCTCCTTGAGCGACTCTAGCCGCGCAATCTCAGCCTCGTGTGCGGAGAGGAGCGCATCGCTGCAGACGTCGGAGAAGGCGGGCGTGAAGTCGAGCATTTCCTCCTCGGAGAAGTAGAGGGCATCCCACAGCTCCTGGAGCTTGCATCGCGCTTCCTCGACGAACAGGTGTAGATTCTGGCGCTTGAGCTCGTTCAGGCGCGCCAGCTCATCTTCGAACTCGTTGATGGTGCGCAGACCACAGCCGCGGTTGCTGTTCAAGAACTGCTTGCGCTCGTGCTGCTCGATGCCCAGGCGCTCCCACAGCTCCTCGATGGTGGTGCGCAGCTGGGCCAGACGTCGCTCACGGCCGCGCTTCTCCTCTACGAGTCGCTCCTTCTTCGCCCTGAGTTGGGCCAGGTCGTCCTTGTGTAGGCCCAGCTGCTCCGGCGCGTCGCGGTGACACTGCACAATGGCGCTGTCGGTCTGTGCCTGGGGGGTTCCGAGCTCGGCCCATAGCTGGATGATGTCCTGACACAAGACCTTGACCGTGTTGATGCGACGCGTGTATTCCTCGTAGACGCGCGAGAACTCGTTGTCGAGCTTGGCGACGTACGAGGGCGAGATGTCGAATGACGGCGAGACGTTGGCGTTGGGCGCCGTGGGCGGCAGCTTGATGTCGACGAAAGACGTCTCGAGGTGCGATGCGTACGACTCCAAGGCCTCGGCCAGCTTGCGGACCTGCTCGAAGCGCTCGCGGTGCTGCTTGCTGACGGCGTTGTACTTCTCCTTCAGGCCCGCGAGGCAGCGCGTCAGCGGGTACGTGATGGCGGTGGTGTCGTGGTCGTCATAGTTGGGGTTTGGCTTGTTGTCTTCCAGCGACGCCTCCATCATCTTGATCGTCTGGATGAGGCGCTGGGCCTCCTCGGTCATCTCATGCTTCTCGTTGGTCACCTGACGCAGCTGGTTGTGCAGTGTCTCGGAGAGCGCGGAGAAGAGCTGCAGCCAAGTTAGCGACGGCTGCAAGGCGCACATGTAATGTCAGTCTCCATACCTCTGCCTCGCGCGAGTCCCGCTCATGGCTGGGGACGCCGATCTCGTCGAACAGGCCGTGCAGCTGGCCGATGATGGTGGTGACCTGCTGGGCGAGGTAGCTCGTGTCCATGGCGACTGCAGACCTGCCAGCTGTGTAGTCAATTGCACATGCACCGGGCGTACGTAGGTCGAGAGCGGTGTCGGGAGTCTGGAGACGAGGAATGCGCTAGCCGACAAAGCGAGGGAATCCTGTAGACGGTGTGCTGTATACTGTATACTTGATACTTTATATACACGTCCAACAGCGCGGCAGGACCAGAGTCCAATTGTTAGGCTACACACGAAGTAGAAGTGATGCAATGCTGGAGGTGGTCGCAGTCCCAAGTGCGCGCGGCCTGGTGGTCATAGTGGTTCATGTTGGTTTATTTCTGGACCGTCGTCTCCCGGGGCAACGCCCGCCCGCTAGCCATGCGCGTCAACAACAGGCCGCATCACGAGAAGGCCAGTTTCACCTCGAGTAGCTCCGCACCACTCAGACGCGGGGCACCATCTCACAAAACAAGGCCGACCCGTGGTACTGTATGCACCATTGCGGGTACTGCGCCTGTCAGCACATGGATCGACTTGCTTTGCAGTGGCATTTTCACAACACAGCTTGAGATCAAGGTGCCTTGCAGGTGCATAACAACACGCAACAATGGCTGTCAATGACTGCAGCGCATCCTAGAGCATGCAGTAGCATATAAAGACCTACCCCGCTTGTTCAATCATCTCGAGTATCCCGTCAGCCGTGCAAGCTCCCGGTACATCTGCGAGTCCAATGCAAGGGCATCCCAGCGCATGATGCCGCCGACTAGTTGACTTCACTGTCAACAAACCATCAGACCGTGTCCCGACAACCACACCGAGCCTTGCAGCGACTCCTTTACTGTAAAAAGTTAGCCTTTAGTACTGTCTTCAAGCACCCTACATCACCAAGCTTAACCAAAGCACATCACAATAGTCAAGTTAGCTTAGTAACAATTGTATGTTGAACTAAAGATCGAGTACTGATGCCGGCTAACTGTACATTCCCCCACTTAGGCGCCGCGCTCAAAAAACGACTAACCCCGTGGGCCATCATCTACATTTGGAAGAAAGCAACTATGCATAGCTTGCCCATCCCATGTACAGCACCGCCAGATTCCTCTCATCGGTCGCCTGCTGAATCAATTCGTTGACAGTCGCCTTCGTACTCAACGTCTTGCTCAGCTTCTTTTCCACCACGCTGAGCGCTCTGCCAGCTTCTCCCGCCTGTTCCTCCTTCTCCCTCTTCTTGTTGCTCTCGTGTACAACTTGATCTTCCATCGCCGCCTGACCTGACGGCGCAGGGGTCCCACCAGGTGCGACAGTTGAAGCCCGGGCACCATTCTGCACATTAGTGTCTTGATTGCCTTCTTGCATGCGCTTGGCTTTGGTAGGAGTTACGCTCCAGTTCACAAGCGGATCATAGCGAAGCACATTGAGCAGCGTCATGATGGACTCGCGCTCTTCGCGAAGAGTGTCCATGGTGAACTCGCAACTGCGACGGAATACTCCTTCGGTCTTGGTGTAGCCCATGGCGTCGACGAGATCGCGCGTTAGGCGGAAGGGAACGACCTCTGGTACCGGTAAGACACGTCCAGCTTCGAAACTGACGCCAAGGTCGATATGGACTACCTCGCCCGACTTCTCGTCTAGGAGAATGTTGTGGCAATGCCGATCTCCGAGACCAAGAACGTGACCAAGAATCGATATGGCAGCCGTGGAGCGTGTATATGCTAAGCGCCGCTCAAACCATTCATCGGGGTCCTGGAAGCGCTCGAGTAGGAAGTAGCGCAAAACGGGATGGAAATTGTCAGCGACCTTCTGCCACACCTTGGTACGGGTTGAGAGTGAGTCCTGCTGGGCCGCACCAATCTCCTTCCTGCATCGATCCGGCTTGTAGTCATTCGGATAGTACTTCTCGTGCGCTGGCATGACCCAGAGATGTAGTGGGATTGTATTCTGTACGAACTCCATGAGTCCAGAGCGCGTGGATAGAGGTAGAACCTTATATGTTCGAATGCCAATGTTGCGGATACGCGTAGCAGTATGGTTTCGGAGGAGTCTGGAGACTTGATCGAATACCTGCTCCATGATAGCATCTTGACGGAGATCATCGTTACCGGATTTGAACTAAATGTGTCAGTGAATACGCACTATTCAGTCAGCGATATGACCACCTACTAGCTGCTTATATGGGCGTCCATCTGTACCGATAGCAGTGATGACCTTTGGTGCACTGAGACCATTTGCAATGCTCATTGTTGACTTGAACCTCTGAATCCGTGGCAGATCCGTGTAGTTCTTACTTGCCCTAACCTCCACCTGCAGCGTTGCTGGAGGGACGTTAAGCTTTGGTACCTTACTGACGAGGTCTTTGGACTCTTTGTATCGATCCAATGGTAACTCGCGGCCCTGCTGTGTGCTTTCCTTCTCACCCTTGAACATGGCAAGGTGATGATAGATTTCGTTTGATTGATATATCGAGCTCCAGTACGACCGGGCAGTCTTGTCCTGGCCCAGCGCAGTGGCAAGACCTCCAGCTGCTTTCTGTCGGGATCTTGCCGACTCATCCTTAGCACGAATGGTATCCTCACGAGTTATGGCTCCCACTTTCATATGAATCGCGAAGATTTGATGCATCCCATGGTAGGGATGCTCGACACATATGCGGAACACAAGCTCCATCAGGAGGTTATGAAACGCAGTCTCTTCAGCCTGCAAACGCGACGACAACTGGTTCATGAGCAGCGCAAATTTGCCGCTCGGTACGTCCTTGAGATAGGACTTGACCGCAGCATTCGCGAGGTCTGTATCCGCGTACTCTAGCCAGAGAGAGAAAACGCGAAGTGCGTCGTGGTTGTACTCATCGCTGGCTATCAGGGAAAGCAGATAGTTCTCGAGACATTGTCGCAAGAATTGTTCCCGGCCTTTGCGTAGCCTCTCGTACTCAGCGTGGTCGAGGTCGTACCACGTCTTTGCACGACGAGCACTTCGGTGGTATGTCTCTCGCATGCCTTTGCTCTTATCGGTCTTGGAGAGCTTCGTGAACTCATTGTACTCCTGCCATTTGCGATCCATGACAGTTTTGATGCGGTCCATGTCTTCGGCTGCTTCTGGGCTTTGAAGCTGCTTATCGCAGAAGAAAGCGAATTCGTGAAATACTTGCCCTGGTCCAGAACCATGTTTTTGGCCTTTTAGTTCCCGGATCGCGGGCTCGAGATACTCTTTCATAATCGAGTCAGGCTTCTCCAAGCGTGCTTCAGCAAGGTGATGACCCTGAGGTGATTAGAAAGCATTTCTTCAGCAAGGGCATCGTCTGAGACTTACCAGTCTAGCAAGAAGGACCGGCAGACTCAGGTCAACCTTTTGAGAATCAAAATCAGCATGCTCAATGAGATGCTGTCGCATGCGTATCGATATGTCGGTTTCGCCTTGCTCCCATAGTACGTTTGCAACTTCATGCTGTGCGGTAGCTTCAATGTCTAGGCCCACACGCTTTACAATCTGGGACGATGTCGGAGAGATAAGTAACGCTTGCTAGTGACTCTTGAAGAGCCCCATGCTTTCTGCAGATCGTAGAGGATGAAACAAGAGCTTCTACCTCCATATTACGCACAGTGCCTGTCCTTGCGTGCAATGAGTCCACAAGTGCTGAATTGGCACTGATGACGTTGAACAAAGTCTCGCGGCACGAAAGGAGCTGGCGTACATCGCGGAATCTATCAGATGTTAATGTTTCATAAGTTGGTCTCCGTATGATCATGTCTTACTCGCCAGCCCGCATCCACTTCTCTCTCGCCCTCATGCGATCCCATGTGTCGAGCAAATGCTCAGACCGCTCGGCTCTGATAACTTCATCAGCCTCCGTCAGAGCTGCCAACGTTCGTAAGCGGGCCTTCTCTGGCACCGAAGAGTCGCCCTGGCTAGTCAGAAAATTCATGGTAGCTATCAGCTGTCGTTCAAAGTTCTCCTTCGCCTCTACCGCACTTTTGGCAAAATGCAACCCCTGGAATGCCTTGAAAAGTGTGCTGGACTCAGTGTGGTTCGCCTCAGGGGCCTTGATGTCCCATTGCCCGAGTTTGCGTGCAGTATGAAGCGTACTTTCAACAACATCATCGCCTATGTCTTGGAATTGGTCGTTCGAGAGCAGCGAATGAGTAACGCTGTTCAGGTTCAGCATAATGAGAGACTTCACTGTTCCACGGGAATCCGAAGGGTCAAATGCGTTCGTTCGGCGCATCTGACTATCGAGGCGCGCCCCACGGAAAAGAAGAGTTTTACCACCGTCACCCTCATATTCGAGACGGTCTAAAACAGAAAGTAAGGTAGAGCCACGCTCAACTCCGTAAAACGAATCAGGCTCGTCAAGATTCTTGTAAATTGAAAGCTGTAAGTCGAGCGGTATCTTTGGTGCCTCGACCAAGACGGAAGATCTCCTGGAGCTACTCTTGATAATAGGCTGACCGGAAGACGTCTCAGCAAACAGAAGAGCGCTCCTGTACATGCCGCAAGTGTTCGCAGCCTGCGATGCCGTCAAGAAATCGATCTCAAGCCAGCGATCTCGGTCTACGCGAGTGGTCTCTTTTGGTACTGGCTGGCTGCGGAGATATAGAATGGCCTCGATCAAAATGCGCACATATGGCGTGGTCGGCGAATCGCACCGTTGGAACCATAGCATCATGGCAGCAGAAACGCACTTCCGAACCCTGCGTTCGCCTTCGAATTCATTGAGTAGGACGAGATGAAGTATAAACGGCAAAAGTCTTTCCGCCATCGAGTCGATTCCGTCGAGGAGATTGGAGAGGGCTCCAAGAATGGGATCGTGTATGCTGGTCCTACAAAGCGCCATCGCAAATCCGCGAATCCAAGCAGGGACAGACTCAGTAGTGTTACGGGCAATCGACTGTTCGAGACTATCTGCACCGGTGAGAGATGCTTCGAGTGAATGGTCCGGGATGGGTAATCCCAGTGCTTTAGCAATGGCTTCCGGTATTGCCATTGCCATCTCTGCGACATACACCGGATCGCGCTTATCAATTCGTGATATCAATCGTCTGACAGCGTCCTCTGCCAAACTTACTTCGGCGCGGTCGTCACTGTAGAAGAGATCGATGACCTCTCGGACGATAGCTTCCCTGGAAGATTTGCCCTAATGCATCCTTTGCGGTTTGCGTCGTAAGCGACCATGGTTTCGAGTGGGTTGTATTTCGTTTGACTTCGCCATACGCGCTGTAAGCACGTCCCAGCACCTTCGCTGCCCACAGAAGATAGCCGTGTCCAACGCCATTTCGTTGGCAAGAATCCCAGACAAGAGGTGCATATTCTGCAGCATCTCGGTCTACGCCCAGTATATCATCACGGGCCATCGAAGCCGGCTGAAAGTTCTGGCATAGCAGATTGAGTGCAACCTCTCGTGAAGTTTTATTGAGGAGCTTGCGGCCCGAGCCCACGTCATCGAGAATCTCGAGTAACAGCTTGCTCTCCTCACTGCCACGTAATGAGTTCCCTTCGGCTGTCACCTGAGAGGCTGCCGTTGTAATGAGCCTGAATGCTTTCACTGAAGATGAACGCTCACTGGCACTCATGGCTTCTGCGTGAGCCCTGAGATACTCGGAGAGCCATTTGTGGAATCTGTTCGCCGCGGTCATTGTTGACACATGTTGTGACTGCTGGGTCGTACTTTCCTGTGTAGAGCCGAGGAATACACGCACAGAGATGAGGATAGAAAGACCGATACCCGTCAGAAAAGCAAGGTGCTTCCGGAGATAGTGAGTGCCATGCTCAAATAAATGTTGCATGATGCCTACTGCATCTTCTGCGCATTGCACATCTATCAGAAAAGGTCGCAATGATTGGAGGGTCATCTGAAGTGGGTATCCCTCATAGGCCACTGGGCCGGCCAAGGCGACAAGGATGCGAATCTTGCGGATCATCGACCGGGCATAAAGTGACCCAAGAGCCGGGTGGATACGATCCAGAATTGAGCGCAAGACATACGTATATGAGTTTGGTGACCACAGAGTAGCCGGGTCATCGCCTGTGCGTCGACACAAACGTTCCAATTGATCTGGGAGATAGAATGCCGAGAAAGCAGGTTCGATCCCAATGTTGAGGTTCTGCGATGAGTGACTGACGTCAGTCATGGCTGCCATGATCTCGGCTGCAGCAACGAAAGCTGGCTTCTTCTCCAGAGCCTTAGGAACGCGTTCTTCATGATCGATAGTTTGAAAAATGTAGCCGAGAATCTGAGGGGAATGTTTCTGTATGGTGCTGTAATAGAGATCGCTGCCGACCAGCCTCTTGAGCAAGTCTGAGTTGCTAGGCTCTGCTCTGTTACGTGCAAATCCTCTGCATGTGTCCCAAGCAATTGTGTATGCGGCTGCCTTGCCCATGTTTGCTAGCAAGAGGTCACCCACAGACATGCCTAGTCGATCCGCGAGGTACTCCACTTCTGTCTTCCGTCCACACATCATAGCTTGGCCGACTGCTTCTGCCGTAATGTCGCGCAACAGTTCTTCTAATGTATTGTAACCAAAAGAGACGAACGGTATATCGGCAAGAATGCGACCGCGATCAAGCCATATAAATATCACTTGAGGTGCAAACAAGCGAAATAGATACTGCGAGTTGTCCAGCCCTCGCGCTCGCGCAACGTTGGCTATACAGGTTTTCGCATGCATAGCTGCGCCTTGTACGGAGCCGGCTGTTGCGAAGATGAGATAAATGCATTGACGCAGGAGTGTATGCCACTGAGATGCCAGCTTAGACAAGACAAGTAAGCGAACGGCGATCCCTTCGATGCCTTCATCATCGCCCGGCAAGCTGCTGTCGACGTCTCGGAGGATCTTGTCGTGCTCAGAAAGGACAAAGTCTTCGAACATCGTTGGGAGTTGTTCTGCAATGTGGTGCTTCACTGTCATTTCACTCCGCGCAAGCAGTCCGAAAAGACTTGTACGAACAGACGGCACTTTGCGATGCTGTCCCAAGTCTGGATGATGCTTCAAAAGATGGTGCAAGAAGACGGCAACGAGCTTCTGCAAATTCGCCGATTGTCTGACTCCATTCTTCTCCATCTCTTTGACATAGTAGGCATATAATGCTTCCACATTTTCATAGAGGTCTTGCGCATCGCGATCTATTGTGTCGGGTCCCCATACCAGTACGGTGCCAATGAGCACCTCGACTAGCATGCCATTGGCGACTTCTGAGGTGTTGTATTCGCGAGCACGGGGGTCAATAAGGGCTTCGCTGTAACGTTCAAGCAGATTGAAGCAATCATTGCGAGAAATTGCGAAATCACTGTCCCACAACGCACGAAGAAGGGGACGAGACCGAAGGAGTTCGCTTTCCTGAAGCGACACGAGAAAGTCAACGAATTTCGTTGGAATCCGGCTGTGTTCTAAATCACTCTCAGCAGCAACTGACGTTATAAGCTGTAGATAAGCTGCGCATGACGCACGCAGGGCATATGTGTCGCTCTGGGCTTGAATGTCATGTCTGGGAACGTCGGTTTCCGATCCATTGACAATAGCTGTGGTCTGAGAGTCTGCTGTATCGTCGACATCCATGAAGTCGTCATCCTCTGCGTGAAATGATTGTCTGGTACTCCTGCGATCACCAAGCGCTTTGCAGAGGTGCTGTGCCAGGACATGAATACCAGCTTGCTTGAAAACATCCAGCTTCAATTGATGGATTGAGCTGATGCAGGGCAGACTTTTGGTACAAGTTTCGAGAACGGCGTCCACCTTCTGCTGTTCCACTTGAGGCCTAGTCAAGACCTCAGCCAAGGACTTGCAAAGGGTTGCAGTGCACGACTCTATGGCACTGACGCGGCGATCTTCGGGGTCACTGTGATGAGCAACAGCTGGTGCGACAATACAGAGGTTTGTGACAATCCGCAACATGTCAGAAGTGATACTTGTAACGCTTCCAGCAGTTATTTCTTTCCACCTTTGGTTCGCCTTTTCCAGTTCAGACAGACAAAAGTCGACTATTCTGCTTTCGACTGGTGTCGGATGATGCTCAGAAGCAACATTGGTCATTGTTTTGATAAGAACTGTCGGCGGTGACAATTCATTCTTTTCTTTGCTCAGCAAGAGCAAATATTGGCCAAGATCCCGATATTGCGAGGTTCTGGTTCTAGCTTGTGCAATTGGACCTAGGACTAGGAAAGAAGCAGATTCTGTAGGAAGAAATTGTCTGTCCAAGCAGGCATTAAAGACGCGCAAAACATCGCGTGCATTGCAGTGGTGCGCACCTGTGGATGAGTATGTTCGTTCAGACCAAAGACCTTGCAAAGTCAGGAAGTAAACAGTAGGGGATAGGGGATCACGTACTAGGTGTCCATTTGCTGAACAACCAGCTCAGAACTCGTTCAGAGGTGGTATTGAAATGCGTTGGGTTCTCTTGCATGCGCTCACGCATGATTGTAGCCATCAAGGACGAGCTTGTTTCGGTGAGAGCAGCAGGACCACTTAACTCGATTGAGAGGAGCATTGATTGCACAATATCGGAGACAGCAGAGAAAGGTACGATTTGTAGCCTGAGTAGAACATCCATCAAGTGGGAAGCAGCACGGGAGACTGACATGGACGTCGCGGCTCTGGATGCGCTCTGCCAAGCGGAGATCCAGTATGACTTGAGTGAAGCATGAGTGGCAGTTCGCTGGAGCGCAGCTCTACACGAGGTTAGTAGCGGTCAATGGTGGGATACGTTGGTCACTGACCCAGCGAGGCCGATCATTGCCCATACCGCATGGGCCGGGTTCTCATCTGCGATGCATGAAGTAAGTTTCTCTAACATGGACTGTAGGTCTTCTTTATCGACGGGTCCTTCTTGAACCATGAAGGCGACCACCTGCAATGCTGCGCGCTTGGCATTAGATCGGGGCTCAAGGACATGGCGAAGGTACTCCTGAAATAATTGCGTGACACGTACACGTTTAGCGGCATTTTCCATGTTACTGTACTCTTGGCTGGATGTGCATCTCTGTTGATCGAGCATGTGTGAAGCTCTTGCGATGGTGGATACAGTACCCCATAGACCCTCAAATCGGACTTGCTCGGTTTCCATGGAGAAGGCGCAAGTGTTCAGTGGATGAGTGTCCTTGTTGGCGTAGCCTAAGTGGCGGAAGCATAGATGGTCTTCTTCCAAATACTGGTGAGCTGTAGTGTCTTGCCTTTTACGATATTCACCGTACATGGTCTCAATTAATGCCTCGAGATCGAACCTGACTGATTCATCGTCTGGGTTGTCTAGGAGACTGGAGATGTGAGCCTCAGTATGCACCAGTGTGATAATGATCTCATCTCGGAGCGCCACCTCAGACCACATGGGCTTCATCAGAGGAAGCAGCTCCCGGACAGTCTGCTTGGTCAGCTCTAGAGACTGGAGCGCAATCCTTGTGAGTATTGAATTGATAGCAGCAAGGGCAGCGACCGCACCGCTGCTACGTCCGGACCTACGGCGAAGATATTGGAGCAGGCCAGCAATAACTGCATCAGCCTTGTCGAGCAGAGGAGCATTTGCGGCCTTGACAAGAGAGCTCAGGCATTGTACGAAATCCTCTGCGATATGGGACTTATCGTCATTTGCTGACTTTGTTCTTGCGACTGGAGCGCGGGGACTGGCACGCGATGAGGTGACATCAGTGGACTCGAATGGAGTACGTGCTCGACTGGAGACGCTGGTGCTCCAGCTGTTGTGAGGCTCAACTTCTGGCTCTGCTGGCGCGAAGAAGCTGGACAGCGAGTCTATGCAGAAGTCTACCGCAGCGTCCCAGCAGTCTTTGGAGAGGCGCTCGACGTGCGGTTGATACTCAAACAGCGATCGTAACGTCTTGGGCAGGTCCTCGAGCAAGGGCTTGAGAAGCGACCCATCCGTGTCTGGAAACACTTCAATGATTGTGTCTATGATGATCTCCACAGTGGAGCTCTTGATGGTTCGCACGCCCGTGGCTATGACATGGCGCAATGCTGAAGCAGAAAGAGGAAGGAGCACGGCTGACTTGGCCGTCTTGGTCTTGCTGCGCAGAAACGCGGAGCGCTCGTCTCGCAGACACTGGAAGAGGGTGTCGCACAGCGCCAGGTAGGCTTTGTTGCCCAATGCCTCGAGAGTAGGCTTGCCGCGGTTGTGCTTGAGGATGTGGACAAGATCCTTCAGACCATTGGCGCGATCGACCTGGCGCGAGGCTTGGATGAGAACTGGACGGGTCAGCAAGATGCCTGGTGTCGAGTCTCGATCATGTGATTACGCTTCGCATCCTGAATGTTGGTCACCCCCATGCTGGCGGCTCACGGTGCTTCGCGTCTGGAGGCAGTTGCGACCAGCGAGCATTGCCGGCGGGAACGGGCGGAAGAGACGTGTCTATGGGCGGAACATGCTCCCAGCAGATAGGCGACCACTATGTACTGAACGACGCGTCGTACACGCTCGATTTCCTCGTCGTCTTGCGTGACGGCGGCGGTTGCGGAGCTCTGCGCGGAAGTCTGATGGAAGTGGGAGCTAGCCTGGGTGTGGGTCCCCACCCAAATACTTCGTAGTCTACCCAAGCTAGCTCCTGGGTCGCGTCGCCAAAGTCAAGACAAGCTCCAGGATCATCAAAGAAAGAAAACACGCCCAAACACGCGCGCACCTGCCCTTCCTGCTCGCCCTGCCCGCCATTGCCCCGGCGCATAATGCTCGACACGCCCACACGCATCTCCCATGGCTGAAGAAGACAGCCTCGCCGCCCTCCAGGGCCTGCACCGCGACCTGTGTGCGCACATCGACCTGCAACTGCCCGTTCTCGAGCGTCTGATCCAGAACCTGGAGGCGCATCTGGAGGACCTAAAGAGCCTGCTAGACAAGAAGCCGCAGAGCGATGCGAGCAGACAGGCCCTGAGCGCCGGCAAGATCAAGCTCGGCGACGACGAGTACGAGGTCAACGATGACTTCAAGCAGCAGACGCTCGAGCTGTCCGAAAACCTCAACCTGGACGAGCTCGACGCCGCCGCCCTCTTCCTCGGTGCCGAAACCGAAGCCCAGGAGCTCGACCGCTCGCAGCTGCAGACGGCCGTGATCCGCTTCCACCGCCGCCGCGAATATGTCCTCCTCTGCCTGCGCATCCTCATGAAGACGGCGCTGGATGGCGCAGACCCTGACGTGCCGGGCCTGGACGCGCTGCAGATGGCAGTGCACATTGTTGTCGGCGTAAACGAGACCACCACCCTCTCGAATGCGTACGGCTTCTGGATCAAGTGCCTGACCACCATGGGTTCAATAGAGCAGTGGTTGACCTCGGTCAGCGACCGCCTGAATGCCACTTCCATAGTTGGACAAGTGCCACTGGCGGGCTTCGTCGAGATTATGACCTTCCAGAGACAGAGTCTGACCAGGCAGCACGAGAACCTGGCCGCCATATGCACGCACATGATCAAGGCCGGATACATCAATCTCGACTGCTACCAATCGCTGCTCGCCCGTGCAAAGACTCTCGAGAGGCACGACCTCATCACCATCCACTACGTACCCTTGGTCCTTCGCGCCACATCCTGGGCAGCCGCTGAGACAAATCTCGTCTTGAAAGATGCACGGAAGCTCCATGACCAGCTCATGGCAGGGCGCGACAACGACAACTGGACCTTGCGAAATCTCCATGCTGCAACACTGGCATGGTGGCTGGCTGAATATAGCGGGAGATATGTCGATCCAAACACCCAGGACCCAGCGATGCAGAGCATAAACTTCGAGGCCGAGGCCACTGCGCGTTCTGATGCTTTCCTCCGAACACTCGACGATGGCGCCTTCCACTTCATGCTCTCATTCAGTCAAGATGTGCGTCCGACGCGCTGGTACGATCCCCAGAAGACGAGCATGTTGTCGACACTGCTGCAAGATACCGCTGTTCTCAACACCGAAGCAATAATTCCAGAGGGCTTTTTCAAGACACTGGTCATGGAACAACTGCAGACTTTTGTAGACTCTTTCATTACCAACATGCCGGACACGCTTCGAAGACTCAAGGTGGAAGAAGACGATCAACGCAGACGGTTGCAATTACATTTCCAGCAATCTACAGGTGAATATCCCATGCACCTTGAAAGGTTCATGGTTATCGTCGCCTACGCCTTCGATGGCTTTCCTGACGCAGCAGAGGACTTCTGGTCTGACAAGGAGAGCAATCTCTACGGCTTTCTGCAATGGGCCGCCAAGCGACAGCCAACGCCTCGGATTGCCATGTTTTGCGAAATGCTGCGCGCCATTTCTACCGGACAGGCCAACGCAGACTCGGCGCATCGCTTCTTGATGGAAGAAGGTGCCTCCGCCTCTGGAAAGATCCGACGTACCAGTTCTCTAAGCTACGGGCACATCTTCAGCGAGCTGGTCGAGTTTGAAAAGGACATCCGCGAACCGAAGAAAACTATCCAGAATGGAGGATACGTCCCTTCACAGAACCCCGTGGATCAAATCGTGGAACCTGAAAGTGCTACCATGCTGGAAAGCTACCTACGTTTGCTGGCGCACGTAGGCCGGCAAAGCGAGGCTGCTCGAAACTTTCTCCTGGACAACAGAGAGCACGATTTCGCCAACATTTGCTTTGGTCTTTGCACAGACAAAGTCGAAAGTGGCCTGCGCGCCTCAGCATACGACGCTCTGTCTGCCCTCCTCGTTGGAAAAGACTCTTTGCGTGCCTCCGGTATGTGGAACCTGTTAGACAACTGGACAGTGAACGGTTTCTATGCAGGTTCTAAGCCAAGCACTGCAATGGGAGCTGTACCACGCGATGACTTCTGGGCTACTTTAGCAGAGGGCTATGATGAGTCGGTGGCCTTTGTTCGCTTTCTCCACGCTCTTGTTGAGCCATACCCACAAAACCAAGGCTTAAACGATAGCTTGCCTTTTCCCGAAGGACTCGGTTCTTCACGTCGAATGCCAGGTATCGAGAGCTATATCGACTTTGTCATGCAGCAGGTCTTCGCCGAGCGTTCTCAAGACATCATCGACCCACTGCAACGTAGCGTTATGCGATGGACATGTCTAAGCTTCATGGTGACTTGCCTTCAGACCTTCAACGAAAACTTAGTCGTCTTCGCAAACAAGTCTAGCATACCCGTAGATGCAGTCATTGATACATCTTCTCTGGCCGTCTATGTTGCTCTACATCCATTTACAAGAGTCATGGAATGGCTATTCAACGATAGGGTGCTCAAGGCACTTTTCGCGGCATCCCATCACGACGTGACTGAAGTTGATGCGGCGCCATCTGATTCACCCCTCGTGCAGTCGTTGCTGCTAAGCATCGAGGTCATGGATCAAGTCATGAAACTACAGGCTACCTATCTCGACATCGTCCGGCCAGTCCTAAGGCAGCAATCCTCTTTCCAGCATTCTCCTGTATCCAACCTTTCACTTGCCTCGTTCGAGGACGCAGTGCTCAGCAATCTACAAGTGATCGTAGATCTTGGACTGTATTGTGGCACTGGCCACGAGGCGTTGACCATTGCTTCACTTCAACTGTTAGAGAAGATGGCCTCCTCACGGAAACTCGCAATTTCTCCAGCTGGCTTCGGACAGCGATCTGGTAGAAGCAAGATTGTAGGAATACTTGAAAAGGACAACGAAGCTGAGCGTATTGGAAGATCACTTTCGGGACTGATGAGGTTTAGCGCAGACGAGCTTGAAGCAGGCCCGGATGCCTCTGGATACACGGTCAAATTACGCATCCTCGACTTTCTCAACAGCTGCCTGGCTGCAGTTTCTCTGCGTCCTACCATTGCACACATACTACTAGGATTCTCCTGTGGTAGTAACACTGTTCACGTTGCCGAAGACAGTCTATGGGCAAATGGTCAATCACTGTTTCATGCGATACTCTTACTCAGTGTCGAATATCCAGACAACAACGGCGAAGAGTTCTTAGCGTGGCGATCCGCGCTCAAGACACGTTGCTGGGATATTCTGCAGAAGCTGTGGCGTTCACCACTGACAAGTGGCATTGTCATGGAAGAACTACGTGAGAACGAATTGTTGTTCATCGAGGCGCCTCAACTGGTCCCCATATCGCTCAACGCCTCTTGGGACGGCGTCTCCTTTGCACAAGGACTAGAGCAGGCGGCTGTCAACGACTACTCATGGTTTTTTGCTGATATTCCGGGCATTGCTCTCCAAAATTTCCTCCAGCGACGTGCTGCCTTCCTGGATTACGAATCACGCGAGCTGCGCCTCACCGTCAAAGAGAGCATGCCGACGATGAGGTCGAGAATTCAGTCGGTGCTACTAGGCACCAGTGTGCGACCTGGTGAAGATCCTGTTCTCAATCCCACCATATTTGATCTGTTCGATTTCGTAGAGTTTGAGTATCCGGAGCGCTCCTTACCTGACCAACACCCTATCTTCGAAGGTGTCAACTTATCGTCTTGCCTAGAAGAGAAGGAAGGAGTGGAGCTCTATTCAGAACCTCTGCTGGAGCAGGTAATTCTCTTGAGGATGAAGTATTGGCGCAAGGATGGAACCATCCCAATTTGTGCTACAACAGATGAGCAGATAGAAGCAGAGGCTCCAAAAATGGCCGAGGCTCATGCACTTCTACGCGTATTCGCTGATTGGAATCGCCGACAACAGTTACGTCGATATCATCGCGAAATTCTGCAGTCTTGGATTCAGGTACTGATGGTCGCCGTGCATAGCTGCGACTTTGACGCCGGTTCACGATCCTCGTTTATCCTACAAACGATTCAAGTAATTCTACCGAAGCTGGAACAAGCATACACTTCTGACGTGTTCACGGCACTGCAACTCGCCAGTCTAGCCGAATCTCTTGTTCAGAAGATTGATTTTGCATCAACCGCGTTTGACAAAACCGGAGACTTCGCCAACGATCGCATATCGCAACTGTTCCGTGCAGCATTGGCAGGCATTTACAGTCCCGTCTCCAGCCCTGAGCTACGAGAGTACTGCTACCAAATATGCTTCCGATACATACATGGCACATTCCACAAAGCATCGACAAACACGCTTCTTGGTCGGCATACTATGGACGCAATCAAGAATTGCGGTAGCCATCTGATCGAAACGATCTGCGACGACGCTTATAGCGGGCAAGGAACCTGCAAGATCTCGGCGCTTCTCCTCCTCAATGCCATGGTCGCAATTGCAACTCGTCAACAATCCAAGCACATGCTTGAAACCTTCGTGTCGCTGAATTTTGTTGGAGTGCTAGTCGACAACTTGAAGCACATTCCCGAAGAGCTCCGCGCTGCTGCTGCTCCACAAATCCCAGCGCTACTCTCGTACTACGACGCCTGTCTCGCACTCCTTCTTCGCATCTGCCAAAGCCGGCTCGGCGCCGCATATGTTCTTAATGCGGGGCTTTTCCTGTCCATTCGGGATTCGCAGATTTTTGCGGTTGATCCAGATATTGGGCTGGAATTTGATGATGCGAAGGCCTTGAAGAAGTATTATGAACTCATGCTTTCTGTACTTCGAGTCATCAACGCGGCAGTCATTGCAAGAGGAAGACAGAACGATCAAACCGTGTTCCAAGCAAGGGAGTTCTTGAAAGACAATCGCCATAACATGGTGTCGATTTTCAAGAGGAGCGTCAATGTCGGAGCTGGTCAACACATGGAAGTGGAACAAGAACTTGTTGACTTGGTGGATTGTTGGACAGTGCTGGTGGAAGTCACGGGGTTTTTGGAGGTAAGTCCACTTCGTCCGTACACGTTCAGCCTTGACTAACATGCTACTAGTACGAAGATCAATCAAGCTTGAAGAAAGCGCGGCCGAACATGTTCTCTTAGGTCGTCACAGAGAGCCTCATCACCTCTGGCGAGGAAGCGTAGGCGAAGAAGAGCTAGCGTGGCGGTTTATTGTGTGCATTGGTTAGCGCGTAGTAGCATGTAATTGAAAAAGGCGATCAGACTTCAAAAAGATGGCTTTGATGGCTCTGGGTTGGGGCGCCTAGTGGCAGCAGATGCATTGATAGTATTCCTACAACTGGCGAAACATGCCACCTAAGAACTTCCAGAACGCCAATAACATGCAAGCCTGCCACGCGCAGGCGAAGTTTCTATCCCCTTGGCTTCCATGATGAGCCTCTTTCAGTCTACCATGCATGCGGTGATGCTCGTATCGTGTGGTTCTCTACCGGAACTTGGCCACTCCCGGCACATCCTTGATGTGCTCGAACTTCTCGCCCATTTTGACGACCGAGTATCGGATCAATCGAGGGTCCAGACTCATGGTGCGGCGGAGGGCGTGTTGTGCGCGTGCACTCGCGTCGAAGCGCATGATGAAGTGGTGGCCATAGTGGTGTGTAGACTGCAGCTTCTTGGCGGGTTTGGGCAGGAGGAAGGTGCCCCAATTGGAGTAGCCGCGCACGACGCCCTGTTGGGAGAGGATGATGTTGCCTGCGGTTTTGGCGATTCTGTGGGAGCGTGTCAGAGCTGGGCGGGTTCAAGGCAACGAGGTGATGGCATCATCGTACTCTTTTACTTCGGAGAGGCGGCCAGGCCGGACCTGGCAGTGTCAGTCACAGTGTCGGAGCCCATGCATTTGCATTGCAGACATACCACTCCTATCATCTCGTACAGCATCGTGCCTGCCTGTGGTTGTGTCGGTGCCGGCACTTTTTGCCCTCTCCCGCCGCGAAAACGTTCAGTTTTCGGGCAAGGTACGCGACCGGGACCCGCGCCGGCACGTCTTGGCGCCCATGATATCTCACGAGCTTCGAAGCTCCGAGCCTCAGCATTCCGCACACACGACACGACAAAATGGCTGCTTCTTCTTCTGTTGCCCGCGCGGTCCGCCAACTGGCTTTTGTCGCGGCGAGGAGGCCCGCGCCGTTTGTGTCCCAGAGATGGCAGCTGCAGGCGCAAAAGCAGCGGCTATTCTCGGTATCTGCCGCATGTATGTGACAACGGGAAAGAGCAATTGTAGTTCGTGGGGGGGCACGAATGGCTGACGGTTGGCAGTAAAGGAGAAGAAGTACACAGAGGACCATGAGTGGATCGAATTGTCCGCCGACGGCAAGACATGTACGTTCTTTCAATCAGTCTGCCACAACCACACGCCCCGGCGGTACTGATAGCGCTCCAGGCACCCTGGGTATCTCGGAATATGCCGCCAAGGCCCTCGGCGACGTTGTGTACATCGAGCTCCCCCAGACCGACATGGAAGTCAGCGAAGGCGACGCAATCGGCGCCGTCGAATCCGTCAAGTCGGCCTCGGACATCCTCACGCCCATCAGCGGCACCGTAGCAGAGGTCAACTCGGAGCTCGAGAAGACGCCCGCGAACGTCAACAAGGACCCCGAGGGCGACGCCTGGATCGCAAAGATCACCGTTTCTGGCGAGCCATCGGGCAAGATGATGAGCAAGGAGGAGTACACAGCCTTCACTGAGGACGCATAGGCGTGCATGACATTATGATATCCAAATGAACGAGTTTGACTCGACGCAATTCAACAAGCGTACGAGACAGGGCATTGTCACCCTTTTGCAACCTTAAACACCACCTTCCCTCTTGCATGGCCACTCGCTGTCTTGCCAAAAGCTCCTTCATAATCTTCCAGTTCCCACACAGAGTCCACAGTCGCTTTCAGTAAGCCTTGCTCGAAAAATCTGCCAATTTGCGCCAATTCATCGCCTCTGGCTTCCATAACGAACCACTTGCTTTTGACTCCAACAGGCTTACCACCCTCAGGCTCTTTGAATCCTGGCACAACTGAAATGTAGGTCCCACCTTCAGCGACGCCACACCAGCCGTCCAGCATGGACTTGCCGCCTACGCAGTCGAACACCAAGTCGAACTTGCTGCTGCCAGAAGCAATGTACTTGTGGACCGACACCTGAGTATAATCTATGACTTCATCGATGCCCAGCTCTTGTAAATACTCTTCATTCTTCGCGCTTGCTGTGCCTGTAACATGTGCTCCTGCTAACTTGGCGAATTGCACAGCCAGTAGTCCAACACCGCCTGATGCGCCTAAGATTAAAACCCGCTTCCCCGACGCTTGACCAAGTACTGCTCCTCCATCGTCATTCACTCGAGGCAACGATGTTGGCGCAAATGAGCCTGTCAATCTGCCATGCTCAAACAAAGCTTGCCACGCTGTATGAGCGCTCATAGGCACGCTTGCTGCCTCCAAAGTTTCAAGCCCTTTTGGAATCAGAGCAGCTTCTGATGGCAGTATAGTGGCGTACTCCCTCGCTGTGCCTTCACGCTTCGCCATGACACGGCCATAAACTTCATCCCCACTCTTGAAGCCTTTTTTCTGGCAGCCTTGGGGTATAGCAATGATGGTCCCGCTGACGTCGTAGCAGGGAATGTGTTCTTGAGGCCAGTTTACAAATGGACCCCAAGTCAACTCGCCATTCGTGATTGCGGTGCTGTGGACAGAGATGAGGAGTTCATTTTTATTCATGGGCATTGGGTATGACGATGAGAAGGAGAGCAAGTTGGTTCCTGTGTTGAAGACTACCGCGCGTTGATGGACTGGCAGAGACATTGTATTGAGGATGGCTGTGGTCTGGAAGACAAAATGATTGGAAGAATCACAACGTGCGATATTAGAAACAATGGTGGGAGAGCTCGTTCAGGCCTGATGAGCCTTTTGTAGATTGACTGGGGGCACTGCGCTTTAACGCATCTCAGACATTGCAAAACTCTTCCACCTCTGCATGACTGTTGGTCGCGGACCGGTCAATACTGAATCACCGACAATTCCGTTGAGTAGCCGCGACCATTCGACAATTCGTATTGAGTGCAAATTTTTGGTTGTTGATTGGACAAGATCTTGTCGCACGAAAGATGCATAAGCAGTAGAAGCGACTTCTCCGGCGTTTCTCCCCCAGATGTTCCTCGATTTGGTCTTCGTTGACAATCGATATACTACATCATATGCATGCCGTTCCATGAGCGTAGAGATTTCTCGTAAACTTCGCATGGAATGACAAGGCAGAAATTATTATTCCTCCTCAGTTCCTTGTGGTACCTAGAAGTGGTGGGTGATATGATAGGGCAGAACTTACGTACCAAAACTTGCATGAGGTTACGGGAATGGGGAAACATGTCCATATTCGATTGGACCCTTCGCGCCTGCTGACATCGATGTCTTCGGGCTTACACACCCATTCTCTTTATTACATCCTATGGGCTTAACTCCAGCTTGCGTGCTCCTGTGCATATTCGTTTCCGAGTCGCCGACTTTCGGATAGATTACCCGCGTGTACTACAGCAGTACATGTTTGTTCATCCCCTGGGCTAGCAGATCACGACACTGGCGTCCCGGCGATCGAATCACTGTAGTCGTGGCGCTCGCTCAGTAGAATTCCGCACCTGCATCAAAGAAGGTTTCGCGACTGCTACGTGATACGTTCGGCAAGCGCCCAAGTGTGTCTCAGAAGAGTTAGATTCAGGATCAATGTGCATCTTCGTGATCGTCAACCAACGAGTGTCGTTCCTCCGAATACGCCACTCAACCCCATACTAAAGCTAGCGTTGCGTTACCCCAGATTTGGGACGGCCCGTTTCGGATAACCATTTCCATGGCAGTCTAACATGACAATTCACAAGTGCAGAACAATCGCATCTGCAGTGATTCGCATGAAGATAGATGCTTAGTCTTGTGGCGCTATGCTCAAAAAGCTCAGCTGATGAGCCAAATGGTTAAGTAAGCTCCAACTAGGTCTGCACGGAGTTGCTGATCCTGGTCGGGCTGAATTCAATATAAGGCAATGTACTGGGACGCGTGTAGGAAGCGTAAGTCTTACCAGCATTCCTGGTGCTGATCAAAGGCGTCCAACTACAATCTCGAACAGTCAGTACCATAATACGAATACTTAGCTACCAACAGTATGCCGGGAGACGAAAAGGCCGAGGTCGATCGCGCCTCTCACGAGCTGTCCAAGACATCTAAGGATGTTGAGAACGCGAATGGTCCCTACCTACCTCAATCGGATGAAGAGTACAATGTCACTCTGAAAACTTGGTGCGTTGTCGTTGTAAGTTTGACATCCATGCACGCCAGTATAAATCACTCACAGCCTTATTAGATTCTAGCTCTTTCGTACGGCATCAGTTTCTGGATTGTTCCTTCATTGAGTTCTTGCGCTGCTGTCGTTGCAACCCAACTCGGCGACCCAACAAAGGCAGCTTGGTATATCTCCTTATATACTATCACCGTGACTATTGCTTTCATGGTCTGTGGAGCAAATAGCGATCTTTTCGGTAGAAGATGGTTTATTGTTGGTGGCAATGCCATAATGTTCATTGGTTTCATCGTCGGTGGATCGGCTAAGAACAACACTTCGATGATGGCAGCAATGTCGCTCATTGGTTTCGTGAGTGTACTTTGACGAACTGTAACTTCTGATCCTGACTAAGATAGGGTGCTGGCAATGCTCAGGTGAGTCTACCATAGAGGTACTCGAATATTGACCAACTTAACCATCGCAGCTTGCGGCCTTTGCTCTTCCAGAACTGCTACCAAACAAATGGCGAGCCGCTGCCATCGTTCTAGCAGGTACACCGCCTTCGTTGAAGCTATCCATACATTTCTGACAGAAATTTGTAGATGCTGGCGTCTATTTCGCTGTCTTAGTTGGTCCCGTTGGTGGAGGTTTTGCAGCACAAAGAGCAGATACAGTAAGCCTCCCACAAGTCATGGTTTTGGTTAAACCTAAGTTTTCCACAGTGGCGTTACATCTTTTATGCTCCTGCCATTGCTGTTTTCTTCAGCTTTTTAGGACTCTACTTCTTCTATTATCCACCAAAGCACCCACGAGGATTGCCTACCGCCCAGGCGTTCAGAGAATTGGATTACGTGGGCGCCATACTGTTCATTGCTGCCGCCACATTGATTCTCGTTGGAATTGTTTACACCACGACCCTTCCCTCGAACGACCCTAAGGTCATTGGCACTCTAGTCAGCGGCTTTGTTGCGTTAGTCGCATTTGCGCTGTGGGAGACGTTTGCGCCACTGAAGCAACCTTTAACGCCAACATATGTGTTCACTCGTGATAAGGGACGCGAGCTTACCGCACCATTTATCGTCGGCTTTGTAGTGACAATGTTTTGTAAGTGGCCTGAGGTCAATGTGTCAAGTGCCCAAGAGCCATTACTAACTTCCCTGGGACAGATTATGCCATCAACATCATATGTAAGTGAATCCCGTTCGCAATCAATAAAAACAAGTCTAACCCTGACCCTTTATAGATCCGACCCAAGTCGGTGTACTTTTCACAGATGCAACTACCGATTTCAAATATCGAATTGTTCTCGGCCTCCCTGGCAACCTCGGTACGTGAAGCTTCGCAAACCATACGGCCGTGACTGACGAATATTAGGTTTGTGCTTCGGTGCTTTCCTATTGACCGTTCTTGGACACAGAATTGGCCACTGGAAATGGACCCTTACCGCTTCGGTTACCATGATGGTCGTTTTTGGAGCTTTGCTTGCGCTAGGAAACCCCGAGCGCAAGGGAATGATGATCGCCTTCGTCTTCCTGTGTCAGGTACCAACCCAGTTCTCTGCTCGTCCGTACATTGTCCGTTGACAAAGCTTTACTTAGGTTGGCTTCGGCTGGGCACAGTACCTCTCGATTGCCTTCATTCAATTTGGAGTCCCGCAAATAGGTCAGCAACCGACGTATGGATTTTGTGTTTGAGACACCACTAACTTCATGCCTTCGCCACTATAGAACTTGGCATCTCCGGTGGCCTTGCTGGTGTCGCACGATTCGCAGGTGGTGCAGTCGCTATTTCCGGTAAGTACATGACTGCAATCATGACTCGATGTACGATTTACTGACCCATGTCTCCGTTACAGTCTACCAGACGATTCTCACGAACGTGCAATCCTCGAAAGCTGCCGAGCTTGTTCCCCGCGCTGTGCTTGCTGCCGGTCTTTCGGCGGACGCGGTTCCTGCATTTCTCACCGCCTTGCCGTTGGGCGCGACAGCCCTTGCACAAGTTTCAGGCGTCACGAACGAGATCATCGCAGCAGGTGGCGCAGCCTTCCAGCAGGCGTATGTCGTAGGTCTTCGCACAACAGCCCTGAGCTCGCTCAGCTTCGGCGTGCTCGCCATCATCGCTTGCTGCTTCTGTAACGATATTGGCCCGAAGATGAACAACAAGATTGAAGTATTCTTGGAGAACGACGAGAACGCCGAGAAGAATAAGTATCACTAGGGGTCTCACACTGTGTCGAAGGCGGTCTCCTGGATGGCTATATGGCTTTCTTTAGTTAGGGGTCGGGGATGTAATGTTTACTGTGTAAAAAAAGCACCTACATTTGGGATTCTGTTCAGGGGTTAGCCACGGTAGTGGAGACATGAGAATCGTACAGGATCCACGAAGGTCCTTGAACGGTAATGATATGTACATACAACATATGCCGGTCCACCCCCACTCCCAATTGATCGCAACACCATGCAGACGACCCACCTTAGATCCAACGACAGGACCTCGACGAGCCCTTCCAACCCTGTCCCAAAATCTGATTTCGCTTTGTTAACAGCGCACTGTGGAGATCGCCTCGGTCTAAGAAAAGCCTGCTTGACTGTGCGTAATGGCTAAACACGATGAATGGCGGTGCTTGAACCAGCAGTCATGTGCAGTACTGAACGTATCCGCGGCATTGATGTGATACCCGCTCGTATGGTTTCATAGAATCAAGATGTCCCTGTGTTAGTTTATAATTAGCAAAAGGCGTGGACGGTCGCTGAGGCTTGTTCCCTGCCCGGGGTAAACATGGTCTTCTCTGCCACAACGGCTATTGATGCAAATGGAACGATCTCGTTCAGTTACTCGTGAGTAGAGCTCATGACACGAAGAGCAGCATCCGATCCACATGCACGTGGCTATCATGCAGAGTTCAGGACGTGATGGGCCGAAAACAGGCTCGTGCATTCCCCACGTGCGTCTCGATCGCACGAATTTTATCTTCCTTGGAACATCTGAATCCTTTCTCGACAAAGTGTTCGCTGCCGAGGCGAAATAAAGTGGACCGGGATGTCAGTACGCTTTGGGAAAGACCCACTCAGTTCCGCGGCGGGAGCGGAACGCAATAGGAGAACCATTCAATGCTTCGAAGGACGTGCACTCTCCCCCCCGGCCTGAATTTCGTTGAGCAACACGAAGGCGAAATTGACCAACGCAACTAAGCAAGGTCAAGACCACGCATCCCACTGAACAAGAATGATGCAATGCCAAAGGACCGTAAGACCGGCTACTGCACAGTCGCCTTGCAAAATCAATAGCCTCTGTCATTCAGTTGCCTTGGTAGTTCACGCAGTCTGGGGTCGGAGATTACATCCTCAGAATGCACATGGATGCAGCGGTGATCCCTAACCAGACTGAAGGCTCTACAGGGGCCTCATATGAAAAGTGGCGCATCATTTGCCCCAAGACAGAAGGGAACTATTCAGGTATGCGGAATCGAACAATGGATCTTTCCGCTAGGTCTGCAAGTGGTACCAGCACCGAGACCTTAACGTCGGGTACGTTCTGTCTACTGCGCTAACAGAAGGGGCATCGTGCATGGAGGGTCATCTGTCAGACTGACGGAGTCTTTATAAAGCCTGTTAGAAGTTATTCAAAATGTGCAAGCAGGCTTTCGCAACGCCTCTGTCCACTCATTCTTACACAGGCATTCAGCCTTCAGTCATTCATTAAAAACTCACCACATACATGTATGGGCTCTTTTCCCAAATACTACCCAGATTTCCACTAACAACGACAGTCATTCGTTCGTTTTAAAATGCGTGTTCTACAAATACTAGGACAGCTTGCCGCGTTCACGTCATTGGCATCCGCCGTCGATCTTGAGGGCTACGAATATGTCGTTGTCGGTTCTGGTGCTGGTGGAGGGTACGCTAATCTCTACCGTATTGTTTGACCAAGACTAACAATGCGTAGCCCACTAGCTGCCAGACTTGCAATTGCAGGCCACAAGACGCTTCTCATTGAAGCTGGCGATGACCAAGGCACAAACGTCAACTACACAGTCCCGTCGTACAACGCCAGGGTTTCGGAAGATCCCAATCTGTCATGGAACTTCTTTGTGAAGCACTATGCCGATGAGAAAAGACAGGCCCGCGACTACAAGACTACCTACGAGACCCCCGATGGTGGTCGCTACACTGGACTGACCCCACCGGCTGGCTCCAAGCAGCTTGGTACCCTCTACCCACGTACTGGAACCCTTGGAGGCTGCACTGCGCACAACGCTTTGATTGCAGTTTACCCCCATCAGAGCGATTTCGACTTCATCTCCAGCTTGACTGGTGACCAGTCCTGGTCTGCTGCCAATATGCGCAAGTACTTTTCCAAGTTGGAAGACAATCACTATCTTCTTCCTGGCCAAAAGGGCCATGGTTACGATGGATGGCTTGGGACCCAATACTCTCCCATCGATATCGTGCTTACTGACCCAAAGCTTCTCAGCTTGGTCACTGGTGCCACCTTCGCCCTCGGAAACGAGACCAACGCTGTAATCAACTTGGCGAGTCTTCTTGCCGGAGACGCGAACGCAGACACCAAGACCCGTGACACACAACCCGCAGTGTACCAAATTCCTTTGTCGACTGCTGATGGCAAGCGCACCGGCTCCCGCGAGTTCGTCCTCGCTGTTCGCGATGCGGTCAACGCCAACGGCACTAAGCGTTTCCCGTTGGATGTAAGACTGAACTGCCACGTTACTAAGGTTACTTTCGACCAGTCTGTTACTCCCCCTCGTGCTAATGGAGTCGAGTTCCTCGATGGCCAATACCTGTACAAGGCCAGCCCAAAGAGCAGGGGCGCTGCTGGAATCCCCGGCTCCGTGAAGGCTTCGCGTGAGGTCATCGTCGCAGGTGGCACCTACAACAGCCCTCAGCTGTTGAAGCTGTCCGGCGTCGGACCCGCCGATGAGCTCAAGCGATTCGACATCCCTGTCGTCGCGGATCTGCCTGGTGTCGGTACGAACCTCCAGGACCACTACGAAATTAACGTTCAAGGAAAGGCCCCATCCAACTTCTCTGCTCTGGACGGTTGCACTTTTGGAGAGGGTGGTGAAGCCAGTGACCCATGCCTTGCCCGCTGGCAGAAGTCTGTCCTTGGTAACCGTGGTATCTACGCTTCGCCAGGTCTCGGTGCTGCCATGTTCTACAAAAGCTCTGTTGCTGCTCGCAACGAGTTCGATGTTTTCGTCTTCGGTGGCCCAGTCAACTTCCGCGGATACTTTCCTGGGTACTCATTCAACGCCACTCACGAGCATGATTGGTTTACGTGGGCTATTCTTAAGGCTCATCCCCGTAACAATGCCGGATCTGTTACCCTCCAGTCCGCTAATCCCCTCGATGTTCCCGCTATTACCTACAACTACTTCGATACTGGAAGCGGTGACTATCAATCTGACATCACGGCTTTGTCAGAAGCCGTCAAACTTGCTCGCAGCTCCTTCAAGCGTCAGCTTGTCAAGATCGATGAGGTGCTGCCTGGAAAGGACGCGAATGTTGATGATTACATCAAGGACACCGCATGGGGTCACCACGCCTCTTCCACTTGCCCCATTGGTGCGGATAATGACCCAATGGCTGTCCTTGACTCCAGCTTCAGGGTCAGGGGAACTGCTGGCCTCCGTGTGGTTGATGCGTCCGTCTTCCCCAGGATTCCCGGTACATTCACCGCCGTCTCGACCTACATGGTCGCTGAGAAGGCAGCTGATGTTATCCTTGCTGAGCTTGCTGCCCAGTAAATAACCAGCAAGACATAGTACGAAAAAGAATGCGGTTGAGAAAGAAACGACAACTTGTAAATAGGCATTGATTGATGTGGATTCTGTGCGCACCAATTTGACCAACGGTATATAACACCAAAACTCCTCCTGTCCATGCTGTATTCGTGACTTCATCGTTTGCCCTTCTTGAGTACAAGACCTTTCCAGCCTTTGCTGTCCTTGATCCTGCGCAGTGCTTTACCTGCAACAGCATCCTTGTAGAGTTCATCGAGGCAGTTTTTCTTCTCCTCTTCGTCCGTGTGTTCGTGGAATTCGCACCACTCCTTCTCCATCTTCGGTCTCTCACCCCTTGCTAAAGTTGTGACTAATTCGAACAAGAATGCTTGAGGCAGTTGGCTCCGCAAAGCTGCCATGCGCTCGCTGTCCCTGTCTGGTGTCCAGTACACAGAGTACATGTCCAGGAAATACAGGCACAGTGGCGAGTTCGCAGGTAGGCTCTCGTAGGCGGAAATGACATTGCTGTGGTCAGGCATGCATTGTAGAATTTCGTCGTTGGTTTGCCAGGCCAAGATGACGGCGCGGCGAAGGGCAGGTATCTCGTATTTGTGCGCAAAAATGTATAGGGATATGAAACGGCGCTCAAGGAAACCTTCCAGCCCTCGCCACTTGTAAGGCCGAGAGCAGCACGGGCATAGTGTTTCCTTTGGTATTTCGGGCTTCTCGGTGGGGTTGCGAGCAGGCAGCGATGGGGCGCCCTTCTCGCTTTCAGTATCGCCGGGTACTTTCTCGGCAGTTGTCTGGTCCGGGCTGACGACCGTTTCAGCACCAGCATCAACAGCTGTATCATCGTTGTCAAGTTGAATTCCCCAGGATGTCGTGTCCACGTCTTCGCTTTCGGTAGCTTCCGGTATCGCTGATGTCTCTCCTCTGTTCAAGTCGACGGCGTGCGTGGGGGGATGTACTTCCTTCCCACCTTCGATTAAGTGATGAGGAATGAAGCCAGTGTATAGCCATAGCATAAAACAGTCGAAAACATCTGCGCTAGTGTCTTCGAGCTCTAGTGTGGTCCCAGAGTTCTTGTATGGAGAACTCTTTTCCTCTAGACACCGATCAAAGTAAGCCGAGCATCGTCGGAGTAACTCTCGGTGGCAGCTGAACGATTCCGGATAATCCTTCCCGCCAACTTTGACCGTGATAATGGTCTGGTCAAAGTTCCTGCCCCTGGTCAGCCTTTCAGTGAGATGCTCTAATCACGAATTTGGAACTTACCTAAAGGTATGGCCGAGAGTGGATTTCATGTTGTAGGGCATTTTGATGAGGAAGTCAGGTTCCATTCACATTGACCTTCAATTGTAGGCAGCTTGCCTACTCTTAAGGTTGTTCGGCCATCAGGAGTGAGTTTGTGGGTTTCAGCAATGGTGACAGCTGTTGCTTGGCGTTCGAGCTTCGGGAGGTCGTGGACAAGCACGGAGAGACAGAATGCTTGTCCAAAGCGACAGGATGCTTAAGTGAAACTTACATCGCTGTTCTGACCAATCGTGTCCTTGTTTATCTCAACGATCATCGGGCGAATCAGGGGGGATGGAGAAGGTGCGGATGCAGCTGAGTTTCAATTGCAGTTTCATGACGCTTGGCAGAAGTGGTGTGTCGCATGCCTTAGGCTAACAACGTGAGACCTTTCCGTAAATTGCTTGGTGGATGATTAAATCCGCCAGATATTGCTTGTTTTGCTAGGTAGATCTTGCATCGTGTCAAGCTTCGTGTGTCGAGAAGTGTTGGGTGGAGGCGTTCGTGGAGCCCCACTCCACGCACCGTGCGCCTCGTAACACCTCCATTCCTCTTCGACACTCGGCCAATATTCACAAGTATGAGCTCTGCATACTATAAGCGCTGTATCCTAATTGGAGCCACTATATCATCCTCTTAAATGTAGATATTCCGCCTACCGTGTATATGAAGCCTGAGGGGACACTTCGCTATCACAAAATCATACTACAAGTTCTTGACCTTAACGGAAGAGCAGAGTCGGTACTGAAATTTCAAGCATCGAAATTGCAGAACATTGTTTGCCTGCGACTTTTGACTGATTTCCTTGGAAACCGCGCCAGAGAAATGGGAAAGAGACTGAAGAAAATAGGTGCACAGGTCGCACATCTAGTGCTTGCCATACCATTTCCTCCACCACTCGTATAATGCAATACCTCCCGCAGTCTGGACATCTGTCGGAGAGACAGTATAGTTAGTGGCCACACAAAATCAACTGAACGGAAGCACTTACTTAGACTCCTGGTCACCCCGACCGTCCTGATCTCCACACAACGATCGAGAGCCGCCAGAACCTCTGCAGTGATGCCCCCCTTTTCGCTTCCAAGCACCAAGACACATTTTCGCGGTAAAATTCCAAGGCTAGCATTTCCAGTGTCCTCGGTCCCCAATATGCTGCTTTGGTCCGTCTGCTCAATGCCAACAGCGACATAACCGTTTCTCTTCATGGCAATTAGGAAGTCCGGTACGCCTCCAGCCTTGAGCTCGTGGATAGGGAAGTGCTTCTCCGAGGTCACACTCGTGGCTTTGAAGTCCTTGTGCGCAGTCTGCCGCAAATCTCCAATGTATAGAGCCTCCAGTCCAAAACTTTCAGCCACACGTGAGAGACCACCCACGTTGGTACAGTTTTCGATAAGTGACGCTACCAGGATTACAGAAGCTGGCCGTTGGTTTTGTTCGCTCGGTGGGCCGGCATGCGGGTGTAGAGAACTCAGGTCGAAGCCGGATTTAGTCTGGAAGAAGGTTGGTGACGCACCAGTCGGCCGGCTGACGGCTTGTTGTGGTGCAACACGGGTTACTTGGTTGTCTGTAACGTTCTTGGAGGGTAAACGTTCTCCCAACGGTATGCGCTCAGGTGGAACGGCCACACCAGACATACGATCGTCCTCGTGAAGTGCTATGAAGTCCTCATACGCAACTCGAGCTTTCTCTGGTGATTCGATGGTAAGATACTGGCCCTGAATTATGTTTACTAGCGTAAAGTCGTCTACAGCATCGAGCTTCAGGGTCCGGATTGTCCATGGTGTGGCTTGAAACTTGTCCAAACTCCGAATGAAACCGTCGAGATTTCGAATAGGCGGATTGTCTGTAATTCTCTTCCAGTTCCTACTTGAAGCGAGATCAAAGATGATTGGAATGGCATAATTCGACTGGAATACAGGGAACAAGGAGTCAGCAGTGTCTCACACGCACCAATTCAATTAATGACTTACCTCATGCCTTATCTGGACCTTCGGGCTTGCAGCCAAGCTTGTTAAATGGTTCATATACGTGACGGAAAAGTTCTCGCTCTCCAGCGGAGCAACCAAAACTGCCAACTTCATGAGACTGGCTATATGAGTCGAACTGTTCTCATCCAGCTTAGAGAAGTCTTCAAGAATCTGAGAAGCTTTGCCTGGACAGCGGTTGTAGATCCGGGCTGTGATCCATTCAAGTAGAAACCTGTAACGAGGCCACGCCTCAAGAGTCAAAGCGTGCCTAAGATAGGTCAAATATGTATCCGCATCGGATAAGGGCACACAGAAGTCGACTAGTAACAGCATAGCTTGTAGTTGAAGCACATTCTTCCACCTGCTTATGATTGGAGCTCCAGGACGTTGGTTCTTCCACGGTTCGAGTAGGCTATCAAACACCCGTTTGGCGGCTTCTGTTTGCTGCTCGGGAAAGTGCTGTAGCAGATCGAATATTGCAGCGTATGCGTACCATTCTCTTGAACCGTAATACGCTTTGTAAGACCTGTGGGGTCGCGTTTGCTGGAGCTTCTCCGCAGCAATGACCTCGAACAAAAACTCGGACTTGATTGTTGGCGGATTGTTCAGGAAGTGTAAGATGTATGTTTCGAGCTGAAGCACTCCAATAAGCTCAGGATAGGCCAGGACAGCCCGGCGGACTGACATTGCGAGCGTAGAAAGAATGTATATTCTACCCTCAGCAAGGCTTTGAAGACGGTCCAGGGCCTTCAAGAGCAAAGCACTTAAATCATGGTTTGATGTTGCCCCATCCAGCTCCGACTGTTGCGCAATGCAAACTTGTGCACAAGTAGGGTGAAAAAGTAGACGAGGTATGTGTATGGCAACAGGTCTGATGAATTGCCGCCGATCTGTCTCCTCCCAGAAGGCATCTAGGATGAGATAGAGATCCGAATAACTGATTGAAGTAGAGTCTGTCCGATCAAGTATTTTCGTCAGCTTCTTGCACATGATCGCGAAGTTTTCTCCTTGGATGCAGTGGTGATGTGACGACTCTAGGTCATTGCGTATGTCCTGTAATGTCATCGGTGATTCTGCGCGTGGCCCGCTGTTTTCCACCCTGGCTCTTGACTCGACGGGTGTTGTCAATTTGAGTGCTCCGTGTAGGATTTGCTGGTAAGCTAGCATGTCGATGTCCCTCCAGCCTGAGCTGGTCAAATCACAGATTTGTGCACAATACTCTCTGTATAAATCGCCGGCAATCTCCGGAAGTCCAGGAAGACGTGAGATGCGCGAGATCTTGTCAATCTCAGCAGAAGTCAGGGGAACGCCTAATGGTAAATCTTCTGCACACATTTGAAGGCCTTTCACCAAGCCTTCCAAGAGGTACAGTATAGAGAACTGGAACATCTTGCCTTCAGAATCGAGAATGAAGTCAAGCACGCCGATGATGACTGCTCGCCTATCGACCGCTGCTGATTGCACAACGGGCGAATTTGATTCCCTCGAATTGGCACGACGAGTGGTTACTTGGGAGTCATAGACAAACCGAGCAATGAGGTTTGACAAAGACATGCCATGCACTGAAACAGTGCTCTCTCGAGTAGCGACAACGGTGGTTGTGAACAACTCACCCGTGGTAGCCCATGGAAGAAAGCCGTCGAGAAGAAATTGCAAATGTCCCTCGATATTGCCTTGAATCTATGCAACTGTTAGCTGCGTGGTATGCCTGTACGATGTGCCTCGAACTTGACCCACCTTTATGACATGTTCCATATACCAGTTGCCAACGAGCTTGCGGACTCCATCCTGAACCATAGGGCTGAGGGCAGCCGAAAGCAACGTACTTATCATCATCGGCGTGAGTTTGGCTTCGAGTAGTTTTGTCAACTCTGGTAGACATGCCTGAACCTGGTTCGCATATCGATCGAGTACGATTGTCTCGAAGAGGGCAGAGTACTGCTCGAAAGCTTTTAGATACGCAACACGTTCGGTGAGGCAGTAACGGATGAAATCCGTATCTATGTCGCGCTGCGCCGCAAGCAGTGACTGCCTAATGATCCCGATGCAGTACTTCCGCTGATCAGCGTGTCCATATAGTAAGCCTGTCCGAAGCCTCTCCCAATAGAGATTATTTTGCAGGCAGTCGAGTTGCAGGTCGTCGATGACGGCTTGAGAGATCCATTGAAACCATGCTCGGAAGACCATACTTGGCTGCTTGCCTGTCATAGTGTCAGAAAGGGACATTGTAAAGTTTGCTGGCACGTAGCAGAAATGGAACTGATGAATTGCCAGACAGCATTATCACCCAGCAAAGCTTCGTACAAGGGACGGCCGACTCACTTTTCGTTTGATAGCTGAGCTCCACAGTGGTGAGCTGGTCCCACAGAGAGCTATCAATGATGGAGCCCGACAACACTACTTGTCCAGTGCTAGATTCGAACCTCAACCACGATTCAGTGTCCGTTGTCGTGGGTGCTACCACGACTGGCTCTCCTCTCTTTAAGAGCGAAAGGAACGCAGAAATGGCCTCAAGTGCAATTTCAGTTGTCGCGGTTAGGCCTACGAAGCGTGATAAGAGTTCTAGTGAGCCTTGATCAATGATGTGGCTACGATCACTCGGGAGCCAGTAAGAGCACTTGATGAGCGTCAAGTAGCTTGCTGCTGTACGAGCAGCTTGTCGCAAGTTGCTCTCAGGTTCATGATCATCATGCACATGCTCGTCATGAGCGTGTCCGGACAGCTGCGGTACCAGTGCAGCAAGGGCCTTATTAATGTTGTTTCTGAACAGCAGATGTGCAAAAGGGCCGTCACTACACAAGATTTCAGCCAGTCTGTAGAGATGATTTGAGTCTACTTTCTCGTGTGGAATGCGAACGAGAAGTAGGTCGCATAGTGACGCATTGAGTGTTTGCTTCTCGACAAGGCGTGCAGTTGCACTTGCATCTTCTTGGTCCTGAGAAGCCGAGAATGGACTGGCGGACTGGGTCGTCTTGACCGAAGAGCCGGGTTTGGCTGTGGCGTCTTCAGACGGCCTAAGCTTGATACACACCCTTAGAGTTTCGAGATCAAGCGGTTGGGCTGTCCTGAGTCTCTCCAGGCAAGACTTGAAGGCCTGGACTTTCAACTCTTCACTCAGAAGGTCCAGTATGATATCTGTGGTCATGATTGTTGTGCGACGGTTGGAGGCGTGCGTGTGCAGGGTCAAGCTTCCAAGGGTTTTTTTGTCGCTCTGTGCGCCGAGGAATGCGCGCCAACTTTCCACCAGGTCAGCAGCGACAATCCTGAGCGCGAATGTTTTCGCACTCTATCACGGTCAGCCACGTCGCAAGCGCTGCACAATTGTTCGAGCCTCGAGTCGTCTCATGGTTGTTGCGTCGAGAAACAATAGTCTGTGGGGTAAGCTGGTGACGTCGGGAGTTCTTTCCCTAGCAACGAGCTTTGTTTACGCTGAAAGAGGAAAGGCGCCGCCAGACCCCAACAGCGATCGCATCCATGCACCTGCTATACAAGCAAAGATCGCGGCAGCTGCTCCAGAATATTTTTTTGCTGCTGGAAGATATACTGGACCCAAGAATGTATTCAGGACACCACACCACCGCCTCGGCGCCCTCATTGCGCGCATCCGAGCCCTATGCCATGATGGCTCCACTGCCGCCTGCGGCCGATGACCCGGGCAATGTCAAGGTCGTGGTGCGCTGCAGAGCCTTTGTGAGGCGAGGTTTGTTACCAAACGGCGCTTGCGATGGACAGCGGGCTGACGGGAGCAGAGAAGGAGAAGGGCACACGATGTCTCATCCGCATGGATCCCGCGACACAGAAGACGACCCTCCTCGCACCCGCCGACGATGAAAACACTTCAAACACACGCCGAACCTATGACGACAAGGAGTTCACGTTTGACCGCTCATACTGGTCGCACGACGAGTCGGATCCCCACTATGCACACCAAGAGGACGTCTACCGCTCCTTTGGCGAGGAGTTCCTGGACCATAACTTTGAGGGATACCACACGTGCATCTTCGCCTACGGCCAGACGGGCTCTGGAAAGAGTTACACCATGATGGGCACCCCAGACAACCCAGGCTTGATCCCACGCACGTGTGAGGAGCTCTTTGACAGAATCGCACACGAGCCACGGCCCGACACAAGCTACCATGTGCAGGTCTCCTACTTTGAGGTGTACAACGAGCATGTGCGCGATTTGCTCACTCCACGCACAACCCCTCCCATTTACCTCAAGATCCGCGAGAGCCAGAAAGATGGCGTCTACGTCCAAGGCTTGACCGAGACTGAAATCAAGTCGTATGCCGATATTGAGCGCCTCTTGAGAGTCGGCGACCTGGTAAGGCGTCCCTGCCTTGTTTGCATCTAGACTCGAAACTGATCAGATTTTAGAGCCGAACAACTGCCTCCACCAAGATGAACGACACATCATCGCGATCCCATGCTGTTTTCACTATCCGACTCAGGCAGATCACTCACTCGTTGCTCTCGGATGAAACTATTGAACGTACCTCTCGCATGCGTCTCGTTGACCTTGCAGGTTCGGAGCGCGCCAAGTCGACAGAGGCCACCGGCCAGCGCCTGAAGGAGGGAGGACAAATCAACAAGTCGCTCACGACGCTTGGTCGTGTTATTGCTGCCCTTGCAGACCCTCGCCGGCAAGGCGCCAAAGGACGACGACCGCGTGAAGTGGTCCCGTACCGTGATTCGGTTCTGACTTGGCTTCTGAAGGATTCTTTGGGCGGCAACAGCAAGACTGCCATGGTCGCTTGTATCGCGCCTGCAGACTATGAGGAAACCCTGTCAACGCTACGGTACGCCGACCAAGCGAAGCGTATCCGCACCCGTGCTTTAGTCAATCAGGACAGCATATCAGCTGCGCAGCGTGATGCGCAGATTACGGAGATGGCAGAGCAGATACGCAGTCTACAAGTCAGTGTCAACGCTGCGAGTCAGCGCAAAAGGGAGGAGGCTACGGAACTCGAAGAATACCAACGTCAAGTCGCGCTGATGCAGAGGCTGATGGAGGAGAATCGGCAAATGTCAGCGGCGAAGATCAGAGCACTCACTACCGAGGTCGAAGAGCTCCGCCCAGCAAATACTGCATTACATGCTGAGATTGACTCCCTGCGTCGCCACCTAGCTCTTGCCCTGGGCGAACTCAAGAATCCTATCGTGCTGCCTCCGCCCCGTTCGCTTGGCTCGCCCAACTTTGAGCAGGAGGACTGGTTTGGCGAAGGAGACGGTAATGAGAAATCTGTCCCCGCACCCCGCGATGATGAAGGCAGTGATGATGACTCAGACTCAGACTCAGGCTACGATGAAGGAGATCACGATGAGCTGGCGCAGGAGCTGCAAAACGAAGCACAGGACTTCTTGAAGGACCTGGGCCTCTTCCGGAAGAAGGTGGGCAGCGACGTCGAGCGATTTGGTTTGAAGGAGGCTCTGGCTGAAATGATGGGGCATTGATAGTGTAATAGGGCTTGGGCTGGGTTTTGGATGATTTGATTACGAACGAATGCATGAGCGGAGGCGTTTCTGATTGGGTTGGGTCACAGGATAGGTCAACAGTCGCAGGGTTGAGGGTTGAGGGTTGAGCGTATAGCACAGTATGTAGGATAATCGTACAGTTACAATGACGAGAGCGAATGAAGGTTATCGTTAGCGTTGGCGCAGCAGTAACGTTATGCACAGACGCGCGGGCCGTGACCTCAAGTTGGGCGCACAGGTAAGTAGCTAGCTAGGCCTCGTCACATCACGTCGCTCGGCACGACAACATAACACGGCGATGACTTGACTGCGCGACATGATAGCCCGATAGCAATTGCCATGTCGAAGCCAACCGCCAACTGGGAGAAGGTGGGCGACAAGTTTTATCGCAAAGTGCAGCTCTACACGGCCGTCTTCGATGCGGACCTCGAGCTCGACAAGTACAGCGTGGTGGGCGCCCCATACAGCGGCGCAGTAGGTGGGTATGCGGCCATGCCTTGTCTTGCCAGGTGCAGCAGTACTGACCAGTTGCCAAAACAGCCATCTTCCGCGATGAGGAGAAGCTGCACGCATATCGCGGGCCCGGCGCATCCAAGTCGAGCATCGACATCTACAGCTGCGCCGGCAAGCTGATTCGCAGCATCAACGTACGGACGCCTGCACACGTGCACACTTGGTGAAGCTGCAACAGCATACTGACCGCTGCAGTGGGACAAGGGCGCCATCAAGGGCCTGGGCTGGTCTGAGGACGAGAAGCTGCTTGTCGTGACGGAAGACGGCACGGTGCGCTGCTACTATGACCTGCAGGGCGACTTTGTCCCCTTCACTCTCGGCCACGATGCAGACACGCTCGGCGTCGTCTCGTGCAAGTTCTACAGCACCGGCTTTGTCGCTCTGCTCGGCAACAACCACCTCATCTCGGTCGCCTCGTACGCGGAACCACGCCCGAAGCTGCTCGCCATCGCCCCAACCGAGCCCGTCGTGTCATGGAGCATCATCCCGCCTGCATACTCGCTCTCGCGCTCAGTCGAGGTTATTCTGGCCATCGGCACCACGCTCTATGTCGTCGACGCCACCGAGGCAGAAGATCGCAACTTTGACGCCGGCCCTTTTCGCCACATCAGCGTCAGCCCTCGCGCCGAGTTCCTTGCATTCTACACAGACGACGGCAAGGTGTGGGTCGTCAGTGGCGACTGGAGCGAGAAGCTCAGCGAGTATGACAGCAAAGTCAAGACGGTGCCCAAGGACATGCAGTGGTGCGGCTCCAACGCCGTAGCACTAGCATGGGAGGACGAGATTCACTTGATCGGCCCCAAAAGCGCTGCTGCCAAATTCTACTACGACTCGTGGGTGCATCTGCTCCCGGACGTTGACGGCATACGGCTCCTCACCAACGACGTTTGCGAATTCATCCAAAAGGTGCCCGACGAGGCCGTGGATGTATTCCGCCTAGGATCCGATTCCCCAGCTGCAAACCTTCTTGAGGCTTCGTCTCTGCTGGAGCAGAAGAGCCCCAAAGCAGATGATCTGATCCAGCTGATACGGCCGTCTCTCGCCGATGCTGTTGACACCTGCATCAAGGCGGCTGCACATGAGTACCAGATCCACTGGCAAAAGGCGCTGCTAAAAGCTGCCTCGTACGGCAAGTCGGTCCTGGACCTGTACTCGTCTGACGATTTCGTCGACACATGCGACACACTGCGAGTCCTCAACGCTGTGCGGTTTTACGAAGTTGGCTTGCCGCTCAGTTACGATCAATACCGACGCATGACCCCCGAAAAGCTCATCGAGCGCCTCACGAATCGCAACGATTACCTGCTTGCCTTGCGCGTAGCCGAGTACTTGCATCTACCGGCAAGTCGTATCCACGGACATTGGGCACAGCAGAAGGTCCGCGTATCTACTGACCCCGAAGAAGAGATCTGCAGCCTGATTGTGAAAAAGCTGCACGGGAAACCCGGCGTTTCATTTGAGGAAATCGCGCGGGCTGCTTATGATGAGGGTCGCGTTCGTCTTGCGACGGAACTACTCAACTACGAGCCAAGAGCCGGAAAGCAGGTCCCCCTACTTCTGAACATGAAAGAAGAAAACATTGCCTTGGATAAAGCTATCGAGTCTGGCGACACTGATCTTATCTACCACGTCTTGCTGCATCTCCGTAAGAAGCTACCTCTAGCTTCCTTCTTTCGCGTCATCAACAGTAGACCTGTAGCCACTGCCCTTGTCGAATCATCAGCCTGGGATCAGGACAGAGAGCTGCTGAAAGACCTCTTCTATCAAGACGACAGGAGACTAGACGGCTCAAACCTCTTGCTATCGGAAGCCCTTTCACAAAGCAGCTTGCATGCTTCGCTGGACAAGCTGAAATTAGCCAGCAAGTATTTGCAAGACTCTCGCGATGCGTCGGCCGTCTTCCAGCGACAGGCCGTCGATGAAGCCGCAAAGCTTTTTCGCCTCCAGGAGACGTTCGAGAGAGATCTGGGTTTCCGCGATACTGCGGCTGCCACGCCCGGGTCGCAACAGACCGCTTTTATCGGGCTCAGTGCGCACGAAACGATATTTCAGCTCATTCGTCAGGGTCACTACAAGCGTGCACAGAAAGTGCAGAGTGAGTTCAAGATCGCCGACAAAGCATACATGTACATCCGTCTTCGTGCCCTCGTTGCAGCGCGGCACTGGGTCGAGCTCGAAGAGTCTGCAAAGCAAAAGAAGAGCCCAATTGGGTGGGAGCCGTTCTTCAATGAAGTGCTTGCGGCAGGCAACACGAGGGTTGCAAGTGTTTTCATTCCAAAGTGTACAAATTTGCCGGTGGCCGATCGCGTGGATATGTGGGTCAAGTGCGGTCTTTTCGTCAAGGCAGGGGAAGAAGCTTTCAAGGCCAAGGATCGAGCACTACTAGAGGACCTGAGAAGTAAAGCTGGGGGAAGTGCAGCGGTGGAGATTGAGAGGCTCCTAGGCATGTTGCCTCATGGGAGGAAATAATACCATACATTTTGTTGTTGCAGACGATGTCGTCCTCCACTAACTTGCAGCATGCAAGGCGACAAACGCACTCTGGACCCGAAGTTCAACCGAGTCTCTTAAGAGCAGCCTTACCCCATGGTGCAGCAGCGAATCATACAGCACAAATCCTAGTCTGTGGAGTCTTCCCCGCATTGGCCAGGGTACCGCCTCAATACAACATCGTCATCTCGGGGTTCGCTCGCCCGGGGCACTGCACCTCTGGATGTACGGCAATTGGCTATGGCAAAGTAGCTCCAGGCACGAGACTAGGATGTTAGCCATATAAACATCACAATGCATCAGTATTCCCTCGTTCAGATGCGTTTGCATATAAAGTCACGATGAAACTTCTCCCATACCTTGTGTTTGCCTCTACGTCTCTAGCGATCCCTTATAAGCAATACATCCTTGCGCCCAAGTCCCGAACACTTCATCCTATCTCCGTACACAGCTCGAACGGCTCTGTCAGCAATCCGGAAGGCCTGACAACGACTTCATCCACCAATGGCACGTGCATCTTCGAAGGCGAGGCTGCCACAGCTTTCGACTTCGGAATTAACATTGCTGGCATCGTCACATTGAACATCGCTACAGTTTCAGACGAAAATCAATACATTGGCGTCACATTCTCAGAAAGCTCACTGTGGGTATCAAATGCGTCGAGCGACGCAACAGCCGATGCAGGAAAAGACGAGACCCTGTGGTTCCACGTGACAAGACCTGGTCGATACACTGCACCACGCGAGAAAGAGAGGGGCGGGTTCAGATATATGTCACTCATCCACAACGGCACTGGCAAGGTGGAAATTGCTGCTGCTGAAGTACACTACACCCCCATGCCACATTGGGAAGATGACGCGATTGGGAATTATACAGGCTACTTCCACTGTGATGGTAAGAACTTCATGAAGAATTAGTTGTATGTTGGCATAAGGTAGCTAACTAGGATGGTGCGCCATAGATGAACTACTTAATCGGATCTGGTACGCAGGCGCATACACCAATCAGATCTGTACCATTGATCCTCACTATGGGAACGCTCTGATTCACATATTTCAAATCAATGCGTCCGTCTCGGATGCAACAAATGTGACATGGTACAACAACTATACAATCACTCAAGGGTCGTCTGCGCTTGTTGATGGAGCGAAAAGAGATCGCATCGTATGGGCTGGGGGTAAGTCGCCGTTTGAATTCCTGGGGAATAGGCATCAGACTGACTAGATTCGTAGACATGGCGATTGCGGTACCAGGTGTCGTAGTATCCACCAACGACGTTATATCGATTGAAAACTCATTGGACTCGTTGTTCGACTTGCAGAACGAAACGACTGGACAGCTGCAGTATGCGGGGAGTCCATTCCCAGCGATCTTGAGCTTCACATATCATCTCTATACGCTGATTGGCGTGGCGGATCATTACTTGTACACTGTAAGTCTGTCTGTTTAGTCATACCCCTCGCTCGCAGAACCAATACATATGGGCCTTGAAGTAAGAGAGCGGCGTGAAGTATGTGGAGACTAACAGCGAATAGGGCGACATTGAGTATCTTTCCTCGCTTTGGTCTAAATGGAAATTTGCCCTTGAATTTTCTCTCTCCTTCATCGATGACACCGGCCTCATGAATGTTACTTCACCTTCCGACTGGCTGCGCTTCGGTATGGGCGGGCATAACATCGAAGCCAATTCGATCCTGTACTACACCATCAATCAAGGCATCCAGCTTGCGAAGGTGATGAATGACACGGCGCCAGTTGCCAATTGGACGTCTACCGCAGCGCGGGTGAAATCTGCTGCAAACGAACTGTTGTGGGATGATAAGGTGGGCATGTACAAAGACAATGAGACAACGACCTTGACACCTCAAGACGGCAACTCTTGGGCTGTGGTTGCCAATTTGACAGCAAACTCGTCGCAGGTTGAGCAGATCAGCAGCAATTTGGCGGAAAGATGGACAAAATACGGAGCACCTGCTGTCGAAGCCGCCGACGCCATATCCCCTTTCATTTCCGGATTTGAACTACAAGCTCATTTCCTCGCACAAAACGCGAGCGCTGCGCTCGAACTGATGCGGCGACAATGGGGCTTTATGCTGGATGATCCGCGCATGACCAACTCGACTTTCATCGAGGGTTATAGCACATCTGGAGAACTACATTACGCACCGTACCTCAACGATGCGAGAATTAGCCATGCACATGGGTGGGCGACAGGGCCAACGTCAAGCCTGACGTCGTATGTAGCGGGAGTCCAGTTGCTTCGTGCTGGTGGTAGAGAGTGGCGTATCGCGCCCGTGCTGGGCGATTTGAAGCATGTAGACGCAGGTTTCAGCACCAGTCTTGGATTGTTCGCCGCGAAGACGCAAGTGACAGATGATGGGTTGGAAATGGAGTTTGAGACGCCGAAGGGTACTAAGGGTGAAGTCAGAGTGCCTTTGCCGGCATGCAAGGGTCGCATGACGATGCAAGACCAGGACGGTGGATGCGAGGATATCACTGCAGAGGTCGTTTCTGCAGATGTGGGGTATATTCATGTTGCGGATGTGGAGGGTGGCAGATGGAAAGTTATGGTCGCCTGTGGAGACTAAGGTTCATGGACAGACGGATTCAAGTCGACATGGTGGGACGTGGCCGTGGGTCAAATGTACATAGTGAATTGTCCAAAACGATCTATACCCTGCCGTACTGTACAGCGAAGTTTCGCGAGCAAAGTTGGTATTACATGCAAGAAGGGCCCTGACCATGCCACAGCTTGTCGTGCTCCTATGGCCTCACGACTCGGAGGCCGTCCTTTGGAGGTGCGGCGGCCCGCTTGAAAGACTGCGTCTCGGTTAGCACTCGCCTATGCTTGGGCTAGGTGACGGAGAGAAACTGACGTTGTCACACTCTTCCCAGGCCCGTCCGGCACCGAATCCGAGACCAACAAAGGCCGGCCATGCGCGTCGCTTGAAGAGGAGGACAGAGAAGACGACCCCGAAGCCGAGGCCGAGGCCGGAGCGGATCATCATCGAGGAGAGACAGCGGTCCCACTATAGCTAATATGTCAGCGCTGAAGTAGTCTACAGCGAAGTGCGGTACGCGTGAGGTGATGTTGCCATTGGCGGTCGCGAAGCCTCTCGGTAGCAGCCTGAGGCTACGTCATCGGCCATTGGCCATGCACCGTCGGGCCAGGATATGCCGTGGCTGTTGTTGCGGGAGGCGGGAGTCGGGAGTCGGGAGTCGTGAGTCGTACCTTTTCGTTCAACAGGGCTTCGCTCATGGGGCGCGTGGTGCGCGGGATGGGCGCCACCGTCTTGGGTGACTCGTCGGCCATGGCTGTTGCTGTGTGTGTGCGGGGGGCAATTGATGGGTCGGACGCCGCGCTCGACGTGGTGTTGGTGGTGGGATGCGGACGGCGGTGGAATGTTGTCGTCCTCGTGCCGGAGCTTGCAGGTCGAGTTTGGCCATGACCACCAGAGCCTTGGCGGGTGTGGCTGCCCGGAGATGCCCAGGTGCCGGGGTGTGCTGGTCACGGCTCAACTTTTTTTTGACCTTCACCACAGCCGATGCGCTCGTGCAGCCCCGACACTTGATAGACGTCGTGACATGGCGCCCGCACTTTCTGTAGGTGCAGAAACAATGCTTGCATGCAGAACGTTGCTCACACTCCATGTAGGGCCCGCCAGATGGACCAGCGCCCACGCGCCCACGCCTGCAGTCCGTCAACCAGGACTTCTCCGACTTGGACGAGCAGATCCGCCAGGTCGCGCACATCATCCGCCTTCCACCCAACTGGGCCGACATTCGTGACAAGACCACCCGCGCAGCCGCTTTACGTCACGTGGTCGGCGCCAGAGCAGAATGGGTCTTGCGCTGGACTCTTGACAAACTCGGCAACGAGACGCACGCCGGGACCAAAGCTCGAGCAACACCGACGACATGGCAGCTGCTCGAGTGCATGATGCACGTACTGCCCGTGTCGCGCAGTGCACCCCACCTGCGCGATGCCGCCTTCCCTTCGATCCTCGAGCGAGCGCTGCTAGAAAACTTCGACAAGGACCGCAACGACCTCAACGACCCTGCTTTCCCAGCAGAAGAGGACGTGCATTCGAGGAACACTTCCGAATCTAGCGAAACCGTCTGCGACGACACACAGCTTCTCGCGGAAGCGGAAGCGAGGCTCGCCTGGCGTCTCGCCGTCGCAAAGCACCGCTTCAGCGTCCTCCACACCCCTGCTCTTGTTCACTGCAATCCACGCTCTGCTTCGACACCATCACTGGTGTAGCAAACGCACCGCATGACAATACACAGACGGAGTTGATGGAAGATGGTCTTTGAGAGTCCGATAGCGCACAAGCCCTCTCGCATAGTCCAAGTTCTGGCTTGGTGGCAGTCCAAGAATCTGGTGCAGAGACTACATGGGCGGCACGAGACATCCACTCTGCACCCCTGGTCGCCCTTGTGGACCTTTCAGTCGTCTTTGATATCTGGGAATTGCGCATGCTCGACGCGGCCGACCCCACAGGATCGTCCCCAGAAGATTTCGCCAACGAATGTATGGTTCCCACACTCCGACTCAGCGAGACTTTGAGAAGCTTGCGCGCAGACATGACAGAGCCAGAGTCTTCAAAAGCGCTGGACCTGGCCGTGCAAGCCCTCGACAAATCACTCACGAGCCATATCCTCGTACCAGCAAGATCCACCTTCTTCAGCCAAGCACACGCCAGTGCTAAAGCAGACTCTACCCGCAGAGGGGCATCAGTATTGTCTACCAGCCTCGGACCGCTTCGGGCTATCCTCCTCCGAATCGCCCAAATAGAGGATGCCGGCGAAGTTGTTCCACCCCACATGGCCTCTTTGTCAAAAGCAATTGGACATCTACTCGACCTCGCAATCCGCGTCTCCCCTTCCAGGACGCCCAAATCACGGCTGGCAGAACGACCATGGATTCAAGCCGTAGTCTTGTCCCTTGCTGAATGCGTAGGTTGCTCATTGGAAGGGCCGCCAGACTTCGTCACAACAAAGTCCGCGGCAGCCGCTTTGCAGAGCGCTCTCGAGATACTACATTCCCAGAATGTGAACATCGATTCTGCCATCCTGAGAGAAATCTTTTGGTATTACTGTGGAGTCAAATATCCTCAACAGGAAGAAAGGCAGGTGAAGTGGACCTTGATAGCGGCACTGGTCGAGCTTGACGCATCCATCTTCACCACCGAATCTCGATCTACCTCGGGCAGCTCCAAGGAGCAACACGCGGACCTCACCGAAGTCTTATTTGATCAGATATCAGATACCGAGTTCAAGGGGGTAGGCTTCAAGGATACTAGATCGCGTTTGGAAACAACCACAGTAGATGCTGCAGTTGCTCGTGCTAGCAACCAAGAGAGTCGTGAGTTCATACTTGGCCGCATAGTGAACCCCATCATGTCAGCCTTTTCACGAAACCGCAATATGCTTGGTTTCGTGCGCAGATGGGATGATCAGCTGGTGAAAAGTTACAGGTTTGAGAACCGCAAAGCTCTGAAGGAGAAGCCAGAATTTATATGGGAAGATCGTGTTCTAACAAACGCATTGTCAAGTGTTTTCGAGCAGTCTCTTACGCAGGGTCAGATTGTAGGACTTATCGAAGAGCATGTCACTCGTTTGGAAGACCTGAGTGGTGCTCTGGCCGTACAAGACAACGAAGACGTCAGAGTACGGAAGCTTGCTGCTTTCAAAAGAGCTTCTAGCAGCGCCATCATCATTCCGGCCATCCTACAGTCGACCCAATCCGATGACACCCTGGCTGCACTTCAGCAACAGCTGCATTCACTTTTCGACTTGTACGCAACATGGGTCCAAGATGAGCGTTTCGGTGCATACACCCGGCTCTCTCTATCTTGGTTTTCTCTATGCCTGCTTCTGGACAAGCTTTGGCTAATCGACTTACATGCCTCTTCGCAGCTGCAGCAAGAGGGCCTGTATCCGCTACTTGAGCAAGCTACTAAGGATCTTTCCACGAGCAGGTCAGAGTCAAGTCGGCGGAAAGTCGATTCCAGTGCACGAGCAATTGCAATGTTGTTCTCCTTGAAGGCATGCAATAAGCTACAAACGGTTCCCGGTTCCGAAGAAATTGTGCAGGAAGCTTTACGCAGGGTTATGAAGAGCTTCTACGCGAGCCAACTCAACGAATCGGAGCTCAGTCGAACAGCCGAACAGTTTTGCGCCTGCTTCGTCCAGCTTTTGAGCCACCTTGATGCACAGGTGGCTCGGGATTCGATCCTGACCATGTTTAACAGGCTCTCAATTCCGAATGGAAACATCCATGATCACATCAGTGGCCTCTTGGCTCAGGCAGTCTTCGCACACGATAGCTCGGCTTTGCATAATGCCTATTCATACGCACTTTCGGACGCCCTCCAAGAAGGAGATTCTGATCCTCTACATCGTATCGCAGTCCATGACCTTCTTCACATTCGACCTTCTGCCTTGCCGCGCGACAAAAGGGAGGCCATTCTGGATCGGTTGTCAGTCCTTTTAACACTTGGAACTGTAGTCCCCGACGATCTGCTCAGTGCCATGGCTCAATTGATGGTCATACCAAACGCGTCAGCGAGATTATCTACCGATGGAGCGGTCATCTTTGACATTGCTCTCCAGCTTCAGCAACGAGGAGCGATCTCAAGCACTGCTCTCCAGCAACTCCAACTACTATGCCAGCGTATGCTCGCTCACATTATTCCGAATCAGAGCCAAGCACAGAGTCGGGCTCTACTTGGAGAGTATCAGAAGAAGCTAAATACCCTGACTCAGGCCACAAAAAAGGTTTCGCCAACTGGTCTCGCTATCCTGCGTGCGACTATTCTGGAGCAAAAGGATTCGCAACTTCTAAGCGTCAAACAGTATGTGTCACTGCTAAAGCAATGTCTGGCCGATGATGGGACTGATGGAAAGGACACTGCATCTTTTGAGCATGTATTGGACGCCTTTGAAGAACTATCTTCCACTCTTCTGGGAGACTCTGCGTCATTGAAAGCAACAACCTCATGGCTTCGTGCGTGGGTCAAGGACAACGCAGACTTGGGATTCGTACATCACTTCGTCGCAGCTAGGCTCCATCGAAGTGGCAGACTACGTTGCGCGACTTCACAGGCTAGTGGCTAAATACAGGCTCTACTCCGATGTCAAGTGGTTTGTGGCGTTGACTGTGAAAATGCTTTGTGGTCCGCTCGCCGATGAGCAGAAGAGGAAGGCACTCGCGACCACTCTCGAAGTGTTTGCCCCACTCGAGAGGGCCGAAAAACTAAGCATTGTCTCGTTGCTCACTGATGTGGATGACTCGTATGCTCGTGCAGCATCATACACTGTCCTTCAAGTCCTGGTTTCAACACTGCCTGACAATCTTTCTACGGATGTCATTCTAAAACAAAACCAACTTGCGATTCTACCAAAGCTCTGCGGAATGCTGATCGAGGTCTCTGACGCAGCATGCTTCAATGCGCTCATGGACAGCATCAACACGCTGTTGAACCACAGTACAGCCGTTGCAACACAACACAGTATCGAATGTGTCCTTGGTGTATTGGTAAAATTTACCTCACGTACCAGCCCCGCTCTTCCCTATGATCAGGCCAGTCAAATATTCACTCGGCTTTGTGAAACGAGTCGTCTAGTTTTGCTTGTGCACCGCAGCAAAACGGGGGGCCGCTCTCACATACTCTTGCCCCTCCTGCAAGGTCTTCTGTTCTGTCTGTTCATGCCTACGTCGGCGCGCAGTGGTGCTTTACCAATGTGGCTTAGATCGAACACGTCTCAAGCAGTTTGTCTTGCGTCAACAGACGCAGCACACTATTCCCGCCTTCTAAGCACGCTGTGCAATCCACCGCAGTCGTCGATTTCCAAAGCCCATCAGCACTCTCGGAAGTCGAAGGATCTCATCGACCCTGTCAAAGCAGCACGTGAGCGGACAAGTCACTTTCTGTACCCACTTCTGGCATCATTTTGTCGTTTTCAGCTGTCGGGTCGTTTGGTCCCTGCGATACGGGCGAAAATGCTGCCAGGTCTCTGGGAACTTATCTCCACGGCCAGTCTGCATAAGGAAGAGCTTGACGCCATGTTTGCAGGGTTGAGCAGGAGCGAGAAGGATGTGTGGAGGAGTCTTTGGGGAGAATGGGAAAGTGTGCACGGGAGAAAGGAGAGATTCGTCAGTGTAGAGGGTCTATAGACAAGCATCAATCAGAGCACGAAGCCATCGCAGTTCTACAGTCCTCATTCCTGTGAACGACGTTCGTCGCCTGAGACGTTCAATGATGTGTCGTTAGAGAGGTGCACTGGCGTAAATGAAGATCTACACGTTGGCGACTGTGGGGCGAGTCAAGGCACATTATCTCAGCTGTCCGGCCCACGGCTGCTTTTCCGTTCCGTCTTGGACTAACATCGAAGCCCATCTTTCGTTATCAGTGTTCGAGAAGGCACGTGCGACCAGCCAGCACCTGCCGTGCAGGATGAAACTACTGTGGTTATAGGCAAAAGTAGTAGGGTGAGTCAGGAGGCAGGGATCAGAAATTGCACCAGCTAAACTAAGTTTAGATAGATAATATATTTCAATACTTTATATAGCAGCCTTTAGCCTCTATTATAGCCTAATATCTCTCTCTTATACTAATTACTAAGGACTGCAGGTATTCTAGTATAATAGAATTCTAAGCTTCTTATATAATTGTACGTAGCTAATTATAGCTCTACTACCTACTTATAGGTAGATCTAAGTAGTTCTACTTAATCTAGTCCTTTATCTTACTCTAAACTGCCTTAATAAGGTTAAGATCTAGTAAAAAAGCTAGCTAAGAGATAGCTTTAACCTCTCTATCTTATAGCTCTTTATATATAGATATAGCTATATAAGCTAGAGCTCTATCTTATATAAAAATAAAGCCTAGATATATTCTTATCTATTCTTTAATAATAGGCATAATTCTCTTATAATAACGTAACTAGTTAATTAAATCTTACTTCTTCTTCTAAAAGATATATAGACTTTTCTTACTACTATTAAAGTAAGCCTAGAATATCTAGCTTCTCTTTCTTAGTATTTTATCTACTAAGTAAGTATTATCTAGACTCTTACTAGATAAGTAAGTAACCTAGACTTACCTATAGCGCTCTCTAGTAACTTAGATTTTATTGCTCTAGAGTATATAGTTCTATTACTTAAGAGTCTAGCTAATATAAGCCTATACCTATACTAGCTAAGCTCTTTAATTTGCTTTAGAAAGAGATAGCTTTGCTAAAGCTATTTATTAACTATAGCTAGTAGAATATAGAGCATAGCAAATTACGTACTTAGATATACTCTAGTAAGAGTAAAAGTAGTTTAAGAGAGTAAGATAGCTTATTTAGTAAGTACTTCTACTCTAATAGATAAAAAAAATAAGCTTCTCTTTCTACTTCTAGCTTAGTAGTAAGAGTCTGCTTAATCTCTTTCTTAGAGTAATCTGCGTAGAGAGAGAGTACTTAATCTAGTATCTTAATACTCTAAGTTAATTAGAAATAAAGCTCTATATATAGCTAGCCTTATAAAGAGTATATATTTAAAGTCTCTTATTATAAGTAAGATAAGTATAGCGTAGAGAGGTAGCTAGTATCTCTATAGCTACTTAGTAAAGAGAGAAGTTACTAGAGTTTTAAGATTAAGAGCAGTATTATTTACTAGCAATAGAGCTATTTTAGCTTTATCTAAAGTCTATCTAGATCTACGAAGAAGATTATTTTTTCTAAGTTTTAGGCCTATGCAGAGTGCGCCTAAATACCTAAACTTAGTAATAGCTCTTATAAATTAGATACTTTATAATATAACTATATAACTAATTAAGCTATAATTAATAAGGCTATCTAATTATATAAAGCTCTAGCTATTATGCAATTTTCTAGTATTATAGCTAGCTATAAAAGTTATTATTACTGCTATATTTAATAATTCTTCGTACTATTATAGAAACTTGCATTACCTATCTATTAATTATCTTCTAAGATATAGTATTCTATTTCTATATTTATTGCTTCTTACACTCTTTCTTATTATAGCTTAGAGTATAGTATTTAGTTATATAGCGTCTTATCTATAGCTAAGTATATTTAGATGCATTTACCTCTAGTAAGTGCTCTAGCTATAGCATTATTTCTACCTTTTAAATAGTAAGATAGTTATATATAACGTAAGCCTTATAAGTAAGAGTATTATCTTAAAGTAGTATATATATAATTCTGCGATTTTTAAGGCTAGTAATCTATAAAGTAACTTTTTTAAGAGCACCTTTATAGTGCTTATACTTATCTACCTCTCTACGCGTATAATTACCTTATTTATAGTTATATATAGAGAGTATATACTGCTTTTTCTGCATATTATATCTCTTATTAACGTTGCTCTTATTAGCTACTAAGAAAGTAGCTTATACTTTAGTTTAAAGAAAGTTATTATAGTAGTATTAAAAAAAGTTCTCTGCCTGCAACGCAGCCTCTGCATACTCTTTCTCTTAGTCTAATTCTTTCTAATATATATAATAAAGTCTTTTATAATTATATCTAAATGCTCTATAAAATTAGAGAGCATAGTCCTTACAGTTATAATCTTTTTTTACTCTATTATTATATCTTTTTTCTTCTCTATACTATACTCTTTATATTCTCTGCTCTTCTTCTATATATGCAGAAGTTTTATTAGTAAAATAGATATATCTAAAGTTATACCTAAGCTTATCTCTAATCTTATACCTATTAGAGTTATACTCTAATGCCTAAAGATAGCATATTTTAACTTATTTAGAGATAAGTAAGAGTTTCTAACTAAGATATTTCCTTAAATAACTAGCCTTATATATAATATTTTTAAATATTAAAATGCTTATTTAAGGCGTAATACTTATAAAATTACTATTCTTAACTGCTTACTAACTCTCTTTCTTATAGTTATTATATAAGAAAGTTATAACCTTAATAATAGTAACCTTTTATTCTTAGCTTAAAAGTATACTTCTCTTCTACTCTAAATTATTTTTATATAATATTAAGTCTTATAATTTAAAACTTTCTTCTTCTACTCTCTTTTCTATGCGTTATACTAGTGCTAAGATGCCTAGTTATATCTATTTTATACATTTTAAAAGAGCATGCGCAGAGGCATAACTATTGCGCAATGCAAGTACTACGCTAGTAATAAAAGCATACTAGATTAGAGTTATTTCTTTATAGAAAGTCTTTAGAATTTTTATAACTTTGTTTTCTTTATATTTATAAGATTTTTGCTAATTTATTTAACTTATTTTAGACGTTGTAGTAGAGAGATAGAGTAGTGTTTATATAAGGATAATAGTATTAATATTTACGCGCGATGCTGCATAGGCTCTAAAACTTAAAAAAAATGAGCTTCTTTGTACAACCCCTAATAGACCCACCCCACTACTTTTGCCTGTAACCACAGTAGGGTAGCCCCATTAAGCGAGCCCCTTTCCGCGGAAGCACTGCATTTCCGTGCCGACAGTGAATCTTGAGGCTCTTTCGACGGCGTTATAACATGCTCAGAAGCTGCCTATCCATTCAAAGCAAGTAACTAATCGCTTCATCGAGAAACTGATTATACGCCAACATGTCTCTTCTTGCACGTTTCAGAAAAACTGCTTCTCAAGCCAACACGCCTTCTCCATATGAGCACGACCATGTTTATCCCGTACATGTGCTAGACGACACACCGACCATGCGCGGCATATTGCTCACGTGGACACTTTGTTTTAACGACGTATTAGATGCGGATAAACTCCAATCTTCTCTTGCCCGCCTTGTTGAAATTGGAGACTGGAGAAAGCTTGGAGGTCGGGTGAGATTGAATGTAAGCTATCCTGCCGCCAACTCATGACTGTTCTTTATACTGACCGACATTTGAAGGAGAACAAGAAGCTCGAGATCCATGTACCTCCCAAATTCACAGCAGAGCGGCCTGCTTTCTCATACAGCCATGTGGTTATTGACTCCGCCATTGCAGACCATGCTGTAGCCCAGAAGCTCCCAAAGCCAAATGGCAATGTCTCGACGGGGCTCGGACCAGACCATTTTTCTGACTTGGCAGTTCGGCCTGATGCGCCAAAGACTATGGAGGACTTACTTGCAGGCGATACTCCCCAGATGTCTGTTCATATCACATCCTTCACAAATGCGACTCTTGTCGGACTGTCATGGCCCCATACCTTGATGGATGTCATGGGTCAGCAAGCCTTCATTCAAGCCTGGTCACTTGTGCTGGCCGGTCGTGAGTCTGAAGTGCCGCCTGTGCTTGGTGCGCAAGAGGACGAATTGTGCGCAATCGCCGATGCACCTGCTGAAAATGCAGAAGAGTACATACACAAGTCGAAGCAACTGAAGGGGATGGCTATGGTGCAGTTTGGGGCACGATTCGCATGGGAGATGATGACAGGACCTGCTCCGGAGACTCGAACCATCTGTCTGTCCAAGAAAGTCGTGGCTGCTCTACGGTCACAGGCACAAAGCGACCTCCCAGATCCTGTAAATGGCGAGGAAAAGCCTTTTATCAGCGATGGTGATGTTCTAACCGGATGGACAATGCGCGCAGTAGCCACGTCTCTACCATCCCCCCGGCCTGTGACTGCGCTACACGCCATGAACGCCCGGTTCCGACTACCCTCGCTCATAAACGCAAAAGGGGTCTACCTGCAGAACATGCTGGTCCCTGGCTTCACTTTCATTCCGGCCGACACAGCAAGAGGCCCAATGGGTCCCATTGCCCTGACTAATCGGCAGCATTTACTCGAACAAGCAACAGAAGCCCAAGTCCTTGCCAGTCTGCGCGAGCAGCGAGTCAGCGGCGATCCATCCAAGCTTCTCTACAGCGATGCAAACGCTCTCCTCATGCCCTTCACGGACTGGACGAAAGCAAAATTCTTTCAGTCAGCAGACTTTGGTCCAGCGGTAGTACGAGCCAGCGATGAGCAATCGAGATGCAATCCCCCAGGTACACCGATATTCCATCACGCATCGTCGAGAAAGCCAAATCAGACAACTAGGCTGGTGGTCATCATTCTGGGCAAGGACTTTGATGACAATTATTGGATTACGATGACGATGTCGCCAAACGCCTGGAGAAACATTGAGAACAGTCTAGAAGGATTGGCCTAATGTTCTATAGCAACATAAGACACATGAAACGCTAGCCAAAATGAGCCTTTTAGGTACAAAAGTGGTCGAAAGAGATCATATTTTGTTAAGATCCATTCTCTAGGTCGAGTTATAGAACGGTACTAACCAAAGAAATCATCGTCAAAGAGGTCTTCTGCTGAAGGTCTATCCTCCGGAAGCCAGCGCAAGACTTTTCGGACAAGTGCTAGTAGCAACACTTGATTCTTGCCTTCCAGCCTGTTCTCGCGCGTTTCGAGTGTTTGATGAGAGATCGGCGTTGACGCGATCCAATTTCCTTTGTTTCTTATTAATCAAGTTTTGCATTCGGCGGTTGTGGCATGACTGCACCTTCTACATCCCAATACTGGCGACTCTTTTCGCTTCGCTGAAGAAAGCTTCTGGGTGGAGGACCAATCAGAGAAATTATCTCGGCAAGATGCTGCTCATCGTTGAGATGACCTTCCTTCACAGCACGAAACAGGCAACCTCCTTCAAACAAGTCCCAAATCTACGTGATGTCAGCACGGGTTGAGATAGAATCAATGTCACATCACGAACCATGACTCCAAAAGACCACATATCAATTTTCGAGTTCCACTCCATGCCCATAATGATTTCAGGCGCTCGGTAGACGCCCGGCATGACATCTCCAACATGTTTCTCCCCAATCCTAGCAGCACCAAAATCGCAGATCATAGGTGGTCCATTGGTGATAGGCATAGAGCGAGAACGATAGACTGTTCGATCTAAGAAGATCTTGCGGGGAGACGGATGCTCAAGCTCGGCCTGTTCGATTTCTGCAAACACTGACGGATCCGGGGCCCCCAGGAGGATATTATTAGGGTATATATCTGAATGATAAAGAAAGATATCAGCTACCAGACTCAGTAGAACGACTGCATAGAACTACCTGTATGCACAACGCCCGCCTGGTGAAGGAAGTCAAGGCCAAGAAGGACAAGTTGCAATGTTTGTTGCAAAAGTTCCTTGTTCAAGCCCTTCTCTGGAAACAGGTTTCGAAAGTCTGTGTAGCTTAGACCTAGTGGAGCGAATAGCAAGCATTTATGCATCCCGTGAGGGCCAGTTATCTGGAAGTCGTCCAGTACGAGGCGCAGCAGGTCTTTGCCAGGATGTTCGGCATCGATGGATTTGAGATGTCGAGAAATGGCCACTTCATTATTCACCTTCGTAGCACCTTGCTGCAGGATGCAGACTTTGAGGGTCAGGAGAATATTTGCTCTAATGAACACATGACTCTGTTAGCAAAAAAAAAAGATATCTTTCCTGAGACATGAAAGTGAAGGCTTTCTAGAAGACATACTGAAGATCACGACAAAGCCAGATGGTGGAGGCCGTGCCAAACCCGAGCTTGGCAACAACCTGGTACCGAGACTTGATTACCTCGCCTAACCACATCGTATAGAACCTTTCTGCTTTGTAGCTATGAATTCGCTCTTCCTCAATCTTTTCTTGTAAGGAAAGCTTCTCAAAACCGCTAGCTGGGAAATTGCGGACGAGACAACTCGTCATGGCCGTTACAGAAAATGGTGTGCGTGGCTCCGAGAATGCGTCTATATCTGTGTGGGATATGCGACATGCAGCAACTTAGAGTCCTGGAAGTCAGTTGAGGGGCTAAACTTGCTCGTTTCATAGTTCCAGATAAGAAATTAGAGCATTAACCGTAAGGAACATGCTTGTTGTGAAGGTATTCTACTAAGCTAGGGAGTTTTTTCGAGTGAAGTTAGATCGCGTAATGCCTAGTTCCGCATAATGCTCTATCTAATACTAAACTACATTTTTAATACTAATATTAGTATGCTATAAATCTATAACTATAGATCTAATCTAAACTAACGTATTTAACTACTAAGATAGCTAGACTACTAAGCTAGCTACTTTTTCTTAGTATTATAAATACTATATATAAAATATAAAATTACTCTATACTCTTTATAGATTCTTTATATAATATAGCTATATTAGATTTAGAATCTTCTTCTATATCTTTCTAATATATATAAGTATTATATTTAGTCTCTCTATAGTTACTATAGCATTATTAAGCTAGCTAAGTTCTTTCTTAATTATCTTTACTACTATTCTTCTTAGATATTATATAAGTAATAAGAGTACTTTTAGCTACTTATAATATGCTTATACTAAACTCTATTATACTGCTTATCTAAATTTACTTCTTTTTATACTTTTAATATCTTATTAACTTTACTACTTATTCTTTAAGCTCTTATATATAAGCTTTAATTAAGATATTCTTATATAGTATCTTCTTAGCTTCTTTAATAAGCTTTAAAAGCTTTTCTAAGCGCTTATTAGTAATTATATAAGAGATTTCTTTATAAGTCTTAATTAGAACTTAAATTTATATAGATTATTTAATATTTTAGATTACTAGAGCATTTCTAATAGAGCTACTAGTAGTAGCATATAAAGATAAATCTTAAAGTAATTAAGAACTTTTTTGTTAGATAGAAGGCATCGCATAAAACAGGTTAGGCAATTAACCTACTAAGAAAGATATAGAGGCTTCTATATACGTAAATAAGATGCTACGCGCACCTTAGATAGAATAATAATAATAATTTTTATCTAAGATCTTATTATATCTAATAATTAAGAGTCTTACTACCTCTATAAAGCTATAAACTATATTATTAAACTCTAACTAATAAGATGCAATAGTTATTCTATTAGATATAAAGAGCTAGATCTTATAGTACTGCTAACTTAAAATAAAATACTAATCTTAAGGCATCTAGTTACTAGCAGACCTAGAAGAAATCTAATATTCTCTTATTAGACTAATCTTTCTAATGCCTCTAGATATCTCTTAATTTAAACTAGCAATAAGCGCAAATAATATATTAATAGTATTATTATATACTATTAGAGCTAGTTAAGATAACACTTATATAATAGCTTAAAACTTAATTAAAATTTAGCAGTCTTTATTATATACTCTAATAATACTAATTTAACTATTAGACTTTTCTAAAAAGAGCTTAGAAGCATATAAAGAGAATTGCAAAGATTATAAGCTTTGCTTAGAATTATATAAGATATATAAGAGAGACTATTAAGAGAAGAGAAATAAGATCTCTAAGATAGTTAAATATATCCTTATAATAGTAACTCTGCACTTATAACTAAGCTATTACTTAGAAAATAGAATATTATAAGAATAGATAACTACTCTCTAAGATATTATTAGAGTAAATATAGATAAAGAATAAGTATAAGTATAAGAAAGATACTATATTGCACTTAAGCTAATATATATACCTATAAACTAAGAAGTATAGCTAAGTAAATATAATTAGGCTATAACTTAAGCTAAGACTCTTAAGATAGCTAAGGTTATGCAAATATAAGCTATAATAGATAATTTTCTAAGCTTAGTATTAAAAGTAGCATTAACCTAAACTATAGTATTCTATAAGCTAAAATATAATAAGAAAGCTATTAATAGGAAAAGAATAATAAAACTCTTCTATAATTATATAAGCCTCTATAATCTATTAAGAGAAAAGCTAAAAGATATATTCTTAGTAGTAGAAGCCTTATACGTAGTAAGCAGTAAATTTAACTTAGCTATATAAAGAAACGCCTTTAGTATTAAGATAAGAGCGCTATTTATAAATAATAACTAAGGCAGAGAAAACTTAAAGCTAATATATAAGCAGAAGAATAAGCAATCTATAGAGAGAAGTATAGCATTAGCTAAGAGTATATATTCTACTTATAAATAGCTGCATAATATAGCTAACTGCTATTATATAAATAGCTAATAACTAGAATAGTTTAAACTAAACTAAGGTATTATAAAACTAATATAGTATAAACTTAAACATAACCTAAGCTTATAGAAGCTAGTAGAAGAGAATATATATAAATTTAAGTAACTGCGCCTTACTATAATAGCTTTCTAATTAATTACTCTTTAAATTAAGATATTATATATACTAGAATTATCTAAGTAACTAGATAGACGTAAGATCTTAAGACTAGATAAGAGTATAATAAATATAGCTTTTGCTATAAGCAATTAAGAATATCTATTAAAGAATATATTTATTCTAGACTTTAGCTTAATAATGCATATCTATAATAATCTCTTCTAACTTAAAGATATATGCAACCTAGAGATAGAAGATTATATCTAGGCTAGAAACTTAATAATTTAGATATAAGAATATAGAGCTATTAGAGTAATAGCAGAGAGATCTTAGAGTAAATAAATTATATATCTTAAAAATATTGCATAGTACCTAGATTTTCTTTATAATCTTATCTCTTTCTAGCTACTCTAATAATAAGATATATAGTAGAATAACTAAGAGGATTTAATAAGCCTATAATAAAGAAATAGCTTAATTATAGCTATTCTATTAGAATACTATAGGCAATAGATTATTAAATAATCTGCTATACTACTATTAGCCTTCTATATGCGTATAAATTAAGCTAAATAATTACTATAAAGAGCTACTGCTATCCTATAGCATAAATAACTAGAGTATTCTAGTCTATCTACTATTAAGCATCTTATTTAGTAATCTAAGAGAGTAAGAATTAAAGAAATTACTACTATAGAATGCAATGCCTATAGTAGATTAAAATTAAAATGCTAAATATGCAGGACTTTAAGAATAAATAATAAAGAACCTAGTAAAAGAATTGCTATTAATTTCTATAAGTATAAGAAAAGCAGTTTTACTAAGAAGAAGAGCTAGATACTAGTTATCTGCAGACGTATCTAATTTATATAAGATTTCTATTTTAAGAATAATAGGCTAGCCTACTTAATTATATAACTTCTAGACTTTTTTATCTAGTTTATAAAGAAATAATTTAATATTATAGTTAAAGTTATTAAGATAGATAATAAGATTATTACTATTAAATAAGAAGTTAAGAAATAGTATATATCTCTATTAATTAGACTTAAGCTCTTTACTCTAGATACTTAAGCTTAGAATAGAGAAGTAGAGCGCTTAGAGAGTATAATAAAAGAGAAAGCATGCATAATTTAACTAGATATAAATCTTCTATAGAAACTCTAGCTAGAGATTATAAGAGTAGTAGTATACTTCTATAATTAAATACTAAATTATCTAAATAATTAGAAGATACTATATAAAGTATTCTTTATATGCGCTATAGCTATAAATAGTATAGTTACTAGACTCTAAAAACTAAACTAATCTTATCTAAAAGTATATAGATGCAAAGCTTTTATAATAATAGATAATATCTACTAAGAAAAGTTAAGACTATAGAGGCTTAATCCTAAAGCCTAGATTAGTTACTTAGTAGAATATTAATTAATAAATATCTACTATATATAGATCTCTTTTATAGCTAAGATAATTAGTACTTATAATATAGTCTTTAATAAAGAAATAATTTTTAATAGCAAAACTAAGAATCTAATAGATAATCTTATGCATAGTACTCTTAAGAAGATTTTAGCCTAAGTAAGAATAATAGAACTTCTAGGAACTTAGAGCTAATAACTAAAAACTAAGATATTCTATAAGAATAATATAACGCAGAAGAAGAGTCTACGTTCTTAGAGAACTATATACGTTAGGAAAACTAAAAATCTGTCGAATATTTATTTCTATTAATACTATAGAATTGACTGTGTTGCTAGCGAGTTAATTAATTCGAGGAATTTATGTTTGTTATTAAATATACTTTGAAACAAAACTTCGTTGAAATAGTTAGTACTGTCAGAATTGTTGGAACCGTCGACGCAACAGTCTAGCACGCAACTTTACTGTCTTTAACTATTATATTTTCTTTCTCTCTACCTACTCTGTCTTCTTACCTGCGCTATTAAAGTTTACTTCTTTAATATACTTTCCTTAGTATCTTACTACATATTTACTTCTTTCTGCATTGTAACTAGACATCACAGATATCACTAGAAAGAGCTTTGTTAGGATTGTTAGTAACATAAGAATTATTCTATTACTATGCTAGTCCTGCATTCTATATAGTTATCTACTGTTAAGCACTGTTAAGCACTGTTAAGCACCGTTGAGCACTGTTAAGCACCTTTTCTAGCAGTGCGCCGGACCTTAGCAGAGTGCTTCTAAACTTATAATAATCAGTTTAGTTTGATGCTAGTCTATGCGTTAATCTGTAACCGTTAATCCTCTACCTTATAGTTTATCTTAGGAAGTTGTTTTAACGTCCTGCTTGCCTAGTACTTTAAGTTCTAGTTTACTGTCTAGGTTAAAATAGACAATGCTAATATATATTTCTGCTAACTAGCTGAGTTAGTACACTTAGAACATAAATTGATCCTGTGTGTTCTGCCTATCTTGCAGCTCTATAATAACGACGTGCGTAGCTTCTGTCAGTATAATTACCTCTGCAAATGCTATTAAAGCTACTATGATCTAAGGCTTATCTAGATCCCTCTATTTAGCAAGCTTAAGGTTAATTTCGTGCTGTGTTATACCTCTCTGCATAACTAAGACGCTCTCGTTACTAAACTTCTC